CCTTAAAAAAGTGCAAATTATCCAAAAATATCTGAGAAACGGAAACTTCTGACACCGCTGTCGCTAATCAAATTTACAAAATTGTTCTGTGATTTGACATTTATGTCAGGCGACATCATAATTTACAGAAATCTATCATCATCTTTTGCTAAAATACTTTAATTAGTTATTTTTTCAATTTAATACAGCCTGTGGATAAATATAAACTAGGAGACATCGTTCTGTAATAAGTATTCTTCATCCTACTAAAATTATTCACAAATCCGTTCGAGGAAACTCGAGTCTTACTAGAATTACATTTTGCCATTTAAATAGCATTGCAAATAAATGGCAGTTTTTGATTGCAATTTTCTTAAATATCCAATGAAGTAGTAGAAATTAAAAATAGGAGATATCATTGATTGGAGTCTCTATATTAGCTATAAGAAAGATTCAAATCAATTGATGAAGCCAAATTAGAATCATACTGGAATTACTGAACCTATATTTTCCAATTTAAAACTACCCTCAAGTGGCGCCCTTAATTGCTTAAAAATAATCGTATTTATCTAGAGCGCGTAAGTCATTTCGAAACGTCAAACAACTGTCAATTTCTACGCACACTAAGAGAAAAAAAAATGCTTTCAACAACAACTTACGAAATATCGCACTTTCAACGGCACAAAATATCCTTTTATATCCTCAAAAATTTCCCGCGATTTTCCACCATATGTTTTCCACCGCCAAAAAGGGAAACCTGTTAGCGCCCGGTAGATACACCGACGTCGGTCGACGTCTGAGGCGTCGCGTCGCACTGTCAACACGCACCGGTCGCCGTCGCGACGCAACTGGACGCCCTCTCGCCCGCGTTCTCTCGTTTCCCGCCGCCCGGACGCCCGACGTCGATCACGCAGAGCGTCGGTTTTCCGATCATCTCCCGTTCCTCTCCCGCTTTTCCATCTCCCCTCCCCTCTCGTCTGCTTTCGTCCCGTCGCGCGCTCGACAACTGACAGCTCGCTTGTCAATCGGACAGGCTTTATTTGACATGCTGGTATATGACAGTTTCATTACTTTAGGACAGCTTTTGAATGACTGTTTAATTGAATTATGACAAGTGACAGCTTGATTGACAGTTTAATTGCATTAGGACAGCTTGAATGACAGTTTCATTGCATTAGGACATATTGAATTATAGTTTAATTGTATTAGGACAGCTTGAATGACAGTTTAATTGAAATATGACAAAAGTAACATATTGAATGAGAGTTTAAATGCTTTAGGACAGCTTGAATGACAGTTTAATTGCATTAGGACATCTTGAATTATAGTTTAATTGCATTAGGACAGCTTGAATGACAGTTTAATTGAATTATGACAAAAGTAACATATTGAATGAGAGTTTAAATGCTTTAGGACAGCTTGAATTACAGTTTAATTGCATTAGGACAGCTTGAATGACAGTTTAATTGAATTATGACAAAAGTAACATCTTGAATTACAGTTTAATTGCATTAGGACATCTTGAATGAGAGTTTAATTGAATTATGACAAGTGACAGCTCGTATGTCGGCTAAAAACATTATGACAATTGACAGATTAATCATGAATTTAACGTAAGTAGTCGATTTTTAATCGTTTTAATGGATTTCTTTTGTAACATATATACAGGGTGTGCCAGATAAGAAGGGAAAAATAAAATATTTGTTTCGCCCTGTATTCGTGTGTAAAAAGTGAGCTGTCATTTCGTAATTACTTCGCGTAATTCGGACGTTATTCGTGCGTCTTGGCGCTGTTTTGTTTGCGCTTTTCCACGGGAAATTCGAAATTTGCATGGAAATTTCTCTATGTATCCAGTCGGTTCTGGATTTGGAGTTTCTCATGCATTCGTTATTCCAGAATGTTTTATTCATCAATGGGCTTCCTCGAGCCGAGCAGGCTATGGCTTTTCATTTATTTTTCTCGATTTTTTTTTTATATTATTATTATTATTATTTTTCCTCTCTAAGCCGGGATTCTTTTGTATCTACACGTGCGTTTCCTTATCATTCTTATCTTACAATTAAATTATTTTCGAGTACATTTTGTTTGACAGTTCTAACGTCAAATATGACAGATGAAACACCGGCCTACTCTGCGAAAATGTCGCACATTTAATTTCGTATTTTTTTCCGATAAATTCGATCGAAATAAAAAGCAAACGATGGCCTTATAAAAATAATTATCGTAAAGAACTCTCGGTGAACTTGATAGGGCAATTACCGGTTCGTTTTTAGCGAATTTTAAAATAAGAATACTTATCGAAAACAAGGCAGACCGGACCGAGTTCTCGCTTTATTCTGCTCGTGAACGGTCAATTCGACTTGATCGAATTAAAATTAATCGATCCAAAATACATATATTTAATTCTTTAATGGTTCTAGACAGTTCTAAACGATTCTGGAGCGTTCTAAATGAGTCTGGAGAGTTCTAAATGATTCTGGACCATTCTAAATGATACTACACATGATTCTAAACAGTTCTAGATGATTCTAAACAGCTCTAAATGATTCTGGAGCCTTCTAAATGATACTACACGGTCTTAAATGATTCTGGTGCGTTTGAAATGAGTCTAGATAGAGTTCTAAATGATTCCGAAGCGTTCTAGAATGTTCTAAACAGTTTTAAATGATTCCGAAGCGTTCTAGATTGTTCTAAACAGTTCTAAATGATTCTGAAGCGTTCTATTTGATACTACACGGTCCTAAATTATTCTGGAGCGTTCTAAATTACTCTGGAGAGTTCTAAATGATTCCGAAGCGTTCTAGAATGTTCTAAACAGTTCTAAATGATTCTGGAGCATTCTAAATGATGCTACAACGGTTATAAATGAGTCTGGAGAGTTCTAAATGATTCCGCAACGTTGTAGAATGTTCTAAACAATTCTAAACGATTCAGGCCGAGAACTTTTCACCCCACCCTGGTATTTGTACTTCGTAACCCAAAAATGTTCCATCGCATATCGCCGTCAAGTCCAATTAACGGACGTCCGCGCTTATTCAACTGGCTTTGAAAAAAGGCTTTAAGTTCATTGTGTTATCGGTTGGTTTTTTGCGGTGCTCGCAAGAGAGACCTTGTCGAAACTGGCTCGATTTTTTTCTCTCCTTCTCCACGCACGCACCAAAAGGCGATCAACCCGATGGACGAGGAAGGACAAAGGGTCCTGGAGATGTATAAAAGGCCGGTGGAATCGGATGGTTGGGTATCAGAAGTTGTCTTTACTATTGACAAGTCTGTGCAGCAGTAACCCAGTCGACATGTTCAAATTGGTGAGTTTGTTTGGATTTTGTTAGGGTGATGTATTGGGCGGGCTACGTCCCTCGACCCCGAGCTGAAGGCGAGCCGGGTTATACTTCGTCTCGATGTTGTTATACTAATTTTAGTTCAATTCGATGAAAGGATCGTGAGTATCTCGAAAACTAATCGATGTAGAATCGTCCCGTTTGTTTCGTTTGGTAGAAAAAATGTTTTTCTTTAATTTTTGAAGAATCTAAAATGTTCGAAAATTGAGTGGTTTTCGAGATATTTTGAGTTTTTTTATAGATTGTATTTTAGTGTAATTCCATGAAAAATTGTAATTATCTTCGTAACTAATCAAGATAAAATCATCCAGTTTGTTTCATTTTGTAGAAAAAACGATTCTCTTTAATTTTTGAAAAATCCAAAATGTTCGAAAATTAAGTAGTTTTAATGATAATTGTTGTTTTTTTGTGAGTTGTATTTTAGTACATCTAAATGAAAAATTGCAAATATCTCCATCACACATCGATATAAAATCACCCAGTCTGTTTTATTTTGTAGGAAAAACATTTCTCTATAATTTTTGAAGAATCCAAAATGTTTATAAATTGCGTTGTTTTCGAGATATTTTGAGTTTTTTTTATTGGTAGCATTTTAGTGCAATTTATTGAAAGAGTGTAATTATCTCCAAAACTAATCAAGATAAAATCACCCAGTTTGTTTCATTTTGCAGAAAAAACGTTACTCTTTAATTTTTGAAGAATTCAAAATGTTTATAAATTGCGTTGTTTTCGAGATATTTTAAGATTTTTAAAGAGTAGCATTTTAGTGCAACGTAATGAAAAATTTTAATTATCTCGAAAACTAATCGAGATAAAATCACCCAGATTGTTTCATTTTGTAGAAAAAACGTTACTCTTTAATTTTCGAAGAATCCAATTTTGTCGATATTCGCTTAATTTTCGAAATATTCAACTTATAGATTACTTTAGTACGATTACTTTTCCTATACCTCCTTACCCCAGCGAACCCGAGCTGCACAGCCTATACAAGCAAAGACCACGACTCACATTTCTCCCTCTTTCAGATCGCTTTCTTCGCCATCTTGGCCGCCGCCTTCGCCGTCCCGGCGCCCGAGCCCAAGCCGAAACCGGACCCGCTCACCCTCTACACCGCCGGGGCGGCCGCCCCATTGACGTACAACGCCTACCAGCCCATCGCCTACTCGGGCCTGGGCTACAACTACATCCCCTACGCCTACAACTACAACTACTACGCCCCGCTCGCCTACAGGAACCTCTACCTTTGAGCGGCCCGAGCGATCGACACGGCCTATTGACTGACTATTTAGATCATAAGCGAAATTTTTTTGTGCCTGTATTTCCTTTTACGAGTCGAAATTTGTTGTGATTTGGCTAGCGAATTAAAAAATTTAATCGATTTATGTACTTTTCATTACCTCCTATGTACTGGCGCCGATGGGTATAATGTGAAAATCATAGACAAAATAAAAATCTTTCTTTCTCTACGGTGAAAATCATAAAAATTTGAACGAAATGTTCAAAAGAACAAGAACAAGAAAAAAGAACAATAAATCATAACTGTATCAAGAAATACAATAATTAAATTATAGCAAAGACATACAAACAAACGCATTTTTTTCAGAGTAAGAAGATAGTTGGCAACGTCCCTAAAAACAATTTTAACCACCAATTCTTAATGTGATTGGTTAATGACTTGTGATTTCAAACTTTAAAAATTAATTGCGGCCTTAATAAGAAACGGAAAAAATTAAAAATTTCACCAACGATTTTATAAGAACACGTAGTTTTATAAAAAAAAGTCGTACTCGCCTCCATTTCGAACAATACATTTAATATTGCAGTGTAATTTTTACAGAGAAAAAAAATTATCCTATATACATGTTGTATTATACAAACGCTTCCCAATTAAAAACAAAACCGGATTGCAACGGAATCATGCGATAAATTTCACAGAACATTAAAATACACAAGGAATGATACAATAGAATAGAACAAACGAATTAATCCTACATCATTTTATAACATGACAATAAACCTATACAACAATTTATATATCCGAAAATACTATTTAATTTCGACCCCTCCTCGGCCGAGCCACAATCGCACGAAAAAAAGCATCTTAATCAGTGAATTTCCTGTTGACATTACGCCCGAACAGAGCGTTACGAATCTGGGGCACCAGTTGTTGCGAGATCAAATCCAATCGCGCCTCCAGCGTGTTGGCGATCTTCACTTTGTTCTTCAACGCCAGCAAATCGATCCCGCCGGTGGTCTCCTGCGACAGGTGCGACTCGTCGTCGATCTTCAGGTGCACCTCCTTGCCCGTCATGTCCTTGTACTTGGTCTGCACGTTGCCCAGGATCGACTTGACCAGGTCCCTGTCCTGCGGGCGCACCCGGACCGTTACTTCTTTCTCAAACAGCTACAATAAAAATCGTACATTAGGTATACATATACTCTACTATTGCTTGTGGATTGTATTGACCTGGTAGAGTCCTTGAAGGATGAGGCTCTCGAGGATGTGACCGTACTTTCCTTGGTCTCGGGTGACTTCGCCGAGGTGCTTACGGGCCTCTTCGAGCACAGCTCGAACGTGGTCTTCTCTAACTTTGAGCACCTTCAATCTGGCCTGGTTCAGCATGTTCGACGATTGGCTGTAATTAATCACGTGATTGAATCGGTTTTAATGGAATTATTGTAGTTTGCTTACATTTTCTTCTGGAGCTCGACTTGCTTCTCTTTCTTCTCGTAGTACTCCATGATTTTGAGGCGCTGCTGTTGGACCAAACGGCCCTTTTCAATGTTGAACTCCTCCTCGGCTTTGGCGTCGATTTCTTCGGCCTTCTCGTTGGCTTCTTGCTCGATGAAAGCCATCATGTGCTTGATCTACATTTACAACAGCAAATTAGTACGTTGTTAAAGTTTAACGAGCTTTAAATATGTAAATTACACATCGATTTCTAGGCGGAAATTCGTACCTGTTTCTGGACATCTGCGTCGCTTAGCGCCATTTTGGATGAGTTCGAAAGACGATTTCGGGAATTTGTTAGATGAAAAACGAGAGTTTTCTCGACCGAACTACGCCCAACACTTTTCTTGCAGGATAAACTCGTTCAAAATGGGAGCTGCCACTGTCGATCATATGATCTGTCAAAATAAGTCTCATGACAACCTAGAGATGTCAATTTCGGAACCTAAAATCTGTTACTAACTTCACAGATCCCACCTCTAGTACTTTGAAAACAAGAAAATTACAAGATTATTAGTTCATATGAGTTAAATAAGGAACTTTATCGGTTTACTTTTTTAATTAGAATATAACCAAGCGATTTTGTACCTACTGAATCTATCAGAATTCAACTTAAGTTACCACTTCTTCTTTCTAGTTTGTTGGCCTCGACTACTAATGGTCATTCTGCCAACTTAATTTAAGTTCCTCTGATAATGACATAACAAAACGTCAATTACGTCAATACAATTTACGTTGACAGCTCGTTTCGCAAACATGGCGGAATAAATAAACAACAAAATCCCGATGCCGTGCGACGAAAACCTCGATTAGAAAGATGTGCGAATCGGTGATGGGAATCCTGAACGAAATACTGAAAGTAGAAGGCATCGAAGAGGCGTTCAGCTGCTTTCTCATTCACAAAATCTCGAACGAAACCGAAAAAATCTCGCTATGGCAGGAGGAACTGAACGCGGCCTTTCGCTCGGTCAACGCCGATCAATCCGAAGCGGCTATAAAGCAATACCTGGGCATCGCCTACGGTTGTTCGAGGAACCGGTTGCGTTTGCTCATGGAGCTGCTGGTGACCAGCGTGAAAACCGGCGTCCTGCCGGCCAGGAAGGTCTGCGAATTGATTTGCACCAGCGAGCTATTGCAATGCAACAACGCCAATTTCTGGGTGGAATGCTTCAAAGTAGTTCTAAAGATAATCGATTTGGTCGAGTACAAAGGCGTTAGGGAGATTATGAAGGTTAGTTCTAGTTTACGATTGTATTACGAGTTATTTTAATCGAGTATTTCAGGCTTGTTGCGAAAAAGCTAAAACTTTACCGTGGAGGCTGAATTCCGGTCTTCAACCGCAGGCCCAAGCCCTGATGGACGTAGCCCAGAAAATAATGGACAGAGACGCTTGCCTTCTACCCGGCTATTTACTCGTCAACGAACTACAAAAAGCCTATCCGGACTGTCCCCATTGGAGGTTATCGGCGTTGTTCTCCGACTACGTCGAGAGCTTCAGAGCCTGCGCCCAAATGGTCTCTATCATCGGCCAAGCCGAAATGAGACCGATCGTCGAACACAGCGGTTGCCCCGAACATTTCATCAACACCTGGAAACTGGATCCCACCACTCTAAGATTCGCCGTTAAAGGTTGATTATTAATCGCTTTAAAAGTAGTAACTAATCGAATCTGTTAAGGTACCCTACCGTACGAACCGGAGCTCCTCGAAAAGCAAACCGGCCTGTTGAGATACATCCTCGAACAACCGTACAGCAGAGACATGGTGTGCGGCATACTCGGTTTGAACAAACAACACAAGCAACATTGCCAAGCCATCGAAGAGCAACTCATCGAATTAGTGGTGTTGGCTTTGGAGAAAACCGAAGTGGAAGGCGACGAACAGGCCACGCATGATCTCTGGTTGCACCTCTCCTCGCAGCTCATCTACTTCGTTCTCTTCCAATTCGCCAGCTTCCCCAGCTTCGTGATATCCCTGCACTCGCGCCTCCAAGGCAGAGACCTGCGCCGCGGTCGCGACCAGCTCATGTGGGTGCTGCTGCAGTTCATCTCCGGCTCGATACAGCGCAACCCTCTGTCGAACTTCCTGCCGGTGTTGCGCCTCTACGAGCTGCTCTATCCCGAGCAGGAGCAACAGCTGCCCGTGCCCGACTACAACCAGCCCCATTGCACGCGCCAAATGGCGATGACCTGCATCTGGTTGCACCTCACCAAGAAGGCGCAATCGGAGCAGGCGAACGCCGCCTGGCCGGTGCCGACGAAGCTGCGCGGCCACTACGATTTCCTGCAGCATTTGGTGCCGCCCAGCAACACGGCGTTGGCCATGGGCAACGATTATCGCATAGCGTTGTTGTGCAACGCCTACTCGACCAATCAGGATTACTTTAGGTGAGTCGTGTTGGCGTTCTAATCGATCGAAATAAGTTGAAGTTGAAGTTTATTTCCCATTAGCAAACCGATGGCGGCGCTGGTGGAAACGATACAGGGCAGCTCGAAGTCTTCGTCGCCTCCTACGGCGCCACTCAGCATGAAGATACTCGATTCTCTCACGGTGCATTCGAAGATGAGCCTCATCCACAGCATCGTGACGCACGTCATCAAGCTGGCCCAAACGAAATCCGGCATGCCTTTATCTCCGGCTCTAGTGGAAACGTACAGTAGATTGTTGGTGTACACGGAAATCGAATCGTTGGGCATCAAAGGTTTCCTCAACCAGCTGTTGCCGCAGGTGTACAAATCGCACGCTTGGGGCACGCTCTACACGCTCTTGGAGATGTTTAGTTACCGGATGCACCACATCCATCCGCACTATCGCGTCCAATTGCTCAGCCATTTGCATTCGCTGGCCGCCGTGCCGCAGGCCAATCAGACCCAATTGCATCTGTGCGTCGAATCCACCGCTTTGAGGCTCATCACCGGTACGTATTGATTCGATTTAACTCGCTTATGTAAAACACAAAACCTACTCGTCAACATAAAACAGCGGAATTCTAAGACTAACGCAAGACAACATCGCTTCGAAAGTTCAACTGCGCGTCGTAAAATTCCCCAAGTCAAATGGGAGAATTAACATTGACACTAGGGACATTTTGAACTGCGCGGATAATACTAAAAGTTACCAAATAGTCTAACGAAAATGGATATCCTTTACTAACGTTAACTGTTTGTAAAATGCAGGTTTGGGTAGCGGCGACGTGCAGCCGGAGCTGTCGCGCTTCCTCGCCGAGCCGAAGGGCATCGTCTCGGCCGAATCGGAGGAGCTGAACAGGGCGCTGGTGTTGACGTTGGCGCGGGCGTCGCACGTGTCCGGCACGGACGGTTCGTGGTGTCACGAGCTGTTGGCCACCATACAGCAGAGCACGCCGCACGCGTGGGCCCCTCAAACGCTCGAATGTTTTCCGCGCTCGATGGCCGAGTTCTTCATACAGCACGTGGTGCCCAAGGAGAACAAGCAGCAATTGAAGAAGGCCGTCGAAGAGGAGAACCGAAAGTGGGCGTCGATGAACAACGAGAACGACATCATGGCGCACTTCGGCGTGCCCGGCGCGCCGCCTTTGTTCTTGTGCTTGTTGTGGAGGATGCTGTTGGATACAGAACATATCAGTCCCATTGCTTACAAGTAAGGTCCTCTCTTATTCATTGAATTCGCTTATCAGTTACAGTTACATATCCGATTCTCGCTCGCTGCGCGAGCTCGTGTTTATTGGTCTACCGGCCTCCTACGCAAAGACAGTTATATAGCCGGATCCTCGCTCGGTTTATGTAATTAACGTTTCTTTAAAAACGAATCGCCCTGTACTATATTTCAATTTAATTTAAAATAATTTTTCACTTAAGATAAAAAAACGCCCCGTATATCAATTTTTCCGATTTCCTTAATGAAAAAACACCCTGTACATCAAATTAAATGTCAACGTATCCATAGAAACGCAAAAGTCATCCATTTTGTCTTTCATTCGGGAATGATCGTACGTCATCGTAGATCTGGAAGTTTTCACTTCCGGTTCGACGACAGCCGTAAAATATTCATCGATTTCGAAAAATCTTTATAATTCGATAAATAATAATTAAGAAAATGGGATAAAAATTTGGTAGATAGAAAAATGTCGTATCTATCAATTTTCGCTTTCAAAATTTTCTAAAAGATGATAGTTTCCGAATTTTGGCGTTACAAACTTGAAGACAATTTAAAAACGGTTTTTTCGAAAAAACTCAAAAAGTGCAGATCGGAAAAACAAGTCTCTTTTATTGGATGGAAAAAAGAATTTTCAATTATTTTGCAAGTATGAAAAATGTTCGTAAATCTTACCGTTTACGAGTTATTTCGATTTTTAGAAAACCCTCAAAAACTATTTTCCACGATATTTTCCCAAAACGAATTTTTCCTGAAAAACGGCTGTATACGAAAGTCGAGAGAACCGATGGAGAATCTTTTGGGAGATTTTGAAGCGAATCGAACCAACTCGATTCGAGAAAAGTGCGAAAAACCGAAAAAAAAAAAACGTTTATTTCGCTCATTTGACGCTGAAGATGAAATTTTATCGAGTCGAAACGTCGATATCCCGATCGGGCGTGTGCGTTTCCATAGGATTCGATACTTTTCCCGGTCGAAAAGGACGAACGGCGGCCGTAAAAAAAATCTCGGCCTTACTATGGGCCTTACAGCTTCATAGTATTAGCGATGCATGACTTATTTTAATTATTTTATAGAATATTGGAGAGGATTGGAGCGCGAGCGCTGTCGGCGCACTTGCGAAAGTTCTGCGATTGCCTGGTGTTCGAGTTCAGCAACTCGCCGGGGGGGCAGCACGTGAACAAGTGCGTCGACACCGTGAACGATATGATATGGAAGTACAACATCGTCACCATCGATCGCCTGGTGTTGTGCCTGGCCCTCCGCACGCAAGAAGGTAAAACGCACCAGTGAAAATATGGCAGCGAAATAAAGGAAAAATCAAACTAAATTTAGCGCGTTCGGTTTTAGGTAGCGAGGCGCAGGTGTGCTCGTTCATCATACAATTGGTGCTGCTGAAGGCGTCGGAGTTTCGCACCAGAGTGCAGGACTTCGTCAAGGACAATTCGCCGGATCATTGGAACCAGACCAATTGGCACGAGAAGCATTTGGAGTTCCAGAGGAAGTATCCGGAGAAGTTCGCGCCCGAAGAACAGAGCGGCGGCTACCATCCGAACTTCGGCAACGTCTGTCTCAGATTTTTGCCAGTGTTCGATATAGTCGTGCATCGATTTCTCGAAATACCCCAGGTGACTAAAAGCCTGGAGATTCTCCTCGAGCACCTCGGTTGTTTGTACAAGTTCCACGATCGGCCCGTCACCTATTTGTACAACACGTTGCACTATTACGAATCGAAGTTGCGCGACAGGCCGCCTCTAAAGAGAAAGTAATTATAAAAGTAACGCGATTTTGTAACCGTTATTTTTCACGACGCCCAACTCTACTCCAATGCAATCTTCCCTAATTCTACCGCGTTGATTTGCGTGGATTAGAGATGGACGTTCCGAAAAAGTAACAGTTACTAACTTGTTAACTACTACATACTTGAAATTTGTTAATAGATTAGTAGCGGCGGTGCTGGGTAGCCTGAAAGAAACTCTATCGGAACCGTACCAAGCGTTCCTCAAGATGAACGCCGAGGAAATTTGGGTGCCCGAATTGGACTATTACATCCAAGTGATCCGAAGGATAGTGGAGGTGATTGGTGGTACCAGCGCGAATTCTCTAACCGATTGGCGGTTCAACGAGTTCCCTAACGCCGGCGCTCACATACTCTACACCTCCTGCGTGGAACTGATGGCTCTCTCAGCAGGTCCTCCTGCCGTAGCCAACGGTCTACTCGACGTCGTCGCGAAAGGTAAGCAATTACAAAGCAAATAGATCGTAGTTAAAACGAATTTATGGCGGTAGGTTACGTGATGATCCCGCCGGGCGACATCCACCAATGGGTGAACGCCATCGGGCTGGTCCTGTCCTCGTTGCCGGCCAGCTACTGGACGGTGTTGCACGATCGCTTGATCGCCGCGCTCTCGGAATTGGAATCGTGGCCGTACGATTGTTCGCCGTTCGAGCTGTTCGATTTCAAGCAGACGCACGCCGGCCTGTTGCACAACCGGTTCAGCTACATGCTGGCGCTGGCGCACTCGGTGTGGCACCACGCCGGCGTCGGGCAGATAGCGAGCGTGCCGCGTTGGGTGCGCGAATGCCTGCCGGCGTGCGTCAAGCGCGAGGAGCAGTTCCTCTACGCCTGCCACTTGGTGGGGCCGTTCCTGCAGCGGTTCAACGGGCCGCTGTTGGGCGAGCTGACGACGGCGCTGTACGAGCTGCTGGCGCAGGTGGACCAGGCGCAGGCCGATATGCGGTACATGGATCCCATTTGCGATCTGTTGTACCACATCAAATATATGTTCGTCGGGGATAGTATGAAGAAGGAGTTGGAGGCGGTGGTGAGGCGGTTGAGGCCGCAGTTGCAGCTGCGGTTGCGGTTTATAGCGCATCTTACGATCGAGGAGGTGCACGCTAATTGACTTGTTAATTGTATCGGATAGGTCGCAAAATGTTATTTTTTATTGGATTTGTTATTAATAAAACAAAGTTGGTTTTTTAATTATTCGTGATGCTATCACCTGGAAGTTGAGTAAAGATTTCTATCAACGGGATACAATAGGGAAGGGTAAGTTTTTATAGGAATTTCCTGAAAGTTGGGCAACACACATTACGCGTAATGGCATTATTATAGAGATTTGCCTTACTAGTAGTTGTACTACTCTTTTACGATTAGATTCAATACAAAATATTATTTTACTGTTGATTGCATATACATAAAATTAACTGGTTTGTTAAAATATTTCGTTTTTACCACCTGAAAGTTAGGCAACAAACATTACGGATAATGTTGTTACATACAGATTACCTATTTGCTTTACTAGTAATCGTATTAAAAATGTTATTTTATTAATGTTTGCATCTAAAATTAACTAGTTTGTTAAAAATATCTCGTTTATAAACGATTTTAGAGTGACCAAATGACCGCAATAAATGTCGTCAAAAATTGACAGATATCCGCCATGTTTAATAATAAAAAAGAAGAAAATTATAGGTTATGACGCTTGTTTTGAAATGGCAATGCAAAATATCGTAAATAAACTGGAAAACACTGACTTAAACGATGAAAAATCAAGCGAAGAACGATCCTCATCGTCCAGCGAAGGTATTACAACCATTTCGTACTAAATATTCGCTCAAATACGACGTTTTTTAGACGAGTGCGAGGCCATTCCGGACTTCCCGGTGGCTATGTGGGACTTCAACCAATGCGATCCGAAGAAGTGCTCCGGCCGCAAACTCGCCCGCATGAACCTAGTCAAATGCCTGAAGCCCAAACAGCGATTCCACGGGCTGGTCTTGACCCCTACGGCCCAGAAATGCGTCAGCCCATCGGACAGGGACATCGTAGAGCACAAAGGCGTCGCGGTGGTGGACTGTTCGTGGGCGAAAATCGACGAGACGCCCCTGGCGGCTTTGAAGCCCGCGCACGGCCGGCTGTTGCCCTTTCTGGTCGCCACGAATCCCGTGAATTACGGCAAACCGTGCCAGTTGAGCTGCGTAGAAGCCCTGGCGGCCGCCATGTACATAACGGGGTACAAGCAGGAGGCCAGGCTGTACATGGGGAAGTTCTCCTGGGGGCATTCCTTCGAGGAATTGAACCGGGAACTCCTGGAGATTTATGCTCGGTGTACGGACAGTAAATCTGTGATTAAAGCTCAGAACGAGTACATCGAAAAGGAGCAGAGGGAGCAAGAAAATAGGAAAAGTAATATATTTAGGGGAATCGTGACAAGTGGCCTAATATTTGCGATTTTTCAGCTACATCCGATTTTCCAAGTTCGAGCGATTCAAGCGATGATGATGATGAATAAATTTATACTGCTTATTACGTTTATTTATATACACTGTTGTATAACGATTTGTTTTATTTCTATCTGTATTCAAAGGATATTTTGAAGCCGTCTTTGAATTTAAGCAGCATCTGCAATTTCAATTCGATTTCCTCGACAGTTTTGTACTCCGAATACACTCTAAAACGTCTAATTAACGTGGATAGTATCGTTTTTATGCTCATCAAAGCGTATTTAGAACCTACAAAACAACGTTAAAGTATACAGGGTGTCCCAATGATAAAGCAGCCAATTTAATCACACCCTGTACATACACCGACTGACGAAAATCATCGTCAGCAGCGACGTCACTGAATCTAGCCAATCGCAGCGCTCGATTGTCAATCTAACTTATTAACCGACCAATGAGAGCATTCGCCGAGTAGTGACATCACCGCCGTTCGTTATCGAGTTTAAGCCTACTATTTATGTTTTATCGACTGACCTATGCAATTCCTGAGGCCGTAGGAAAAGGGCAAATACGTGCAAGGATGCCGCTTGGAGGATTCTTCGGGCAGAAACCGATCCGGGTCGAACTTCAACGGGTCCTTCCAGTATTTGGGGCTCCTGTGCACGTAAATGGGCAGTACGACTGCAGCGCTACCGGCCGGTACCACTTTACCATCTAAACAACAACCCGTTGTAATATTTATCGAGACGCCTCGTATATTTTAGCGTATACAGGGCGTCCCGGATTTACCTAGAGAAACGTCTTGGGCGATGGATCTGGCGTAGACGGGAGCTACGGGGAAGAGCCTCAGGGTTTCTTTGATCACTCTCTCGGTGTATTTCAATCGGGGCAAATCGCCTGCTTCGATGTAGCCGTCTCCGCCGACCACTTGCACTATTTCTTCGTACACTTTTTCCTAAAAAAATAGTTAATAATAAACGGTGTAATGGCTAATGTTGATAGGCACCTGGACGTCGGGAAACATTCCCAGTGTTGTTAGTACCGCGCATATACTGGCGGCGGTCGTTTCAGTACCCTGAAATAATTGAAAAATGTTGTTACAAAATGGCTGCTATTCAGCGCACTTTTTTAAAGCTAACCAATTGTTTAACTTGACAGTTTTACATTGTTGTTATGGAGTAACTAAGGAGATTCTTTCAAATTGACAGATTTACATTGTTGTTATGGAGTAACTAAGGAGATTCTTTCATTTGACAGTTTTACATTGGTTATGTTATGGAGTAATTAAGGAGATTCTTTCACATTAAAGAAACTATTTAAGCAATTGACTAGTTTTAAAAAAACGTTGAGTACAGACAACCGGCTGTAACTGTGAAAATTTGGGTTTGTAAATACAAATACCGCTGCGAGGAAAGTGCGAATTTCCGCGTTCAATTCGTCTTCGGTGAAATTGGAATTTTCCAACAGCAAATCGAGGAAGGCCGGTTTGTTCGGCGAAATGTGATCTTCTTGGCGTGTGTCTGTCAATTCGGATTTTTTTTGTTTGATCACCTGCCGGAGAAAAATCGCATTTTGTAAATTATAACACGAATATATTATTAAGTCGTTTACCTCTGCTGTAATGTCGAAGTAATATTTTATATTTTCGTCGTACGTTCGCTTCAAGTTCGACAGTTTCCAAATCACCGGGTTCATGTAGTAAATGTCGAAGATTTTTCGATTAGCCGTCTCCATCAATCTATTTAAACCAACCAATTTATTCTTTAAATTAACCGAATTCGTAGTAAATAACTCACGTAGCGAGACATTCCCCGATTCCCCGGTGATTCCTCGATTGCACTTTCATATCCACCCCCATCGCGGTTTCTGCCAACAATTTAATTAGAGCACTTATGAGGTCAAAAGTTTCTCTATTACCGCAAACTATATCCAAAGTACATCTAGCCACCACTGGATACCAATCGATCCCTTTCTCCCCCACCAGCTCGCCTATTTTATCCCCCAGCAGCTTGGCCTTCTCTTCGAACACCCTCACGAAGGACTCCAGGATCTTCTGGTTGAAAGACGGAGCGATGGTCCTTCGATGGCGCTTCCAAATCTTTCCTAAAATCCAAAAAATCTACTCAAAAAACCCAAAAATCTCCAAAGAACCTCACCTGGAGCTGTCACCAAACCATTCCCCAGCACCTCCGTGAGAGGCTCGTAGACGAATAGATCTTTATCCATAGATTGCGGACCGTTGAGGATGATCTCGATGTGCCTGGGATTGGACACCAGGATGAACAGGGTGGACCTCAGCCAGATTTTGCACGTGTCCCATCGGTCTTGCAGCGACACCAGGTTATCCAGGACGTCTGGAACACGAGATTATCTCGATTGTATCCAGTTTTCGTTAATGGTGTGATGTACATACCGTTGCTGGAGCCTACGAGGGCGTAGGAGGAGCCGATTAGAGGCAGAGGAACGGGTCCTGGTAGTAAAAACCCGTACCAATAGAGCTTCCTGCGGGTCCACAAGTGGTTCAAGCACCATATTAGGGAAATTATGGATACCGTTTCCAGGAGGTACTTCTGGAGTTGATGTTGAGGTCCAGTCGAGTCTACGTGGTCCATTTGGAGATTAACTCTGAAGTGTTAATTTTGTGTTAGTTTTAATTATACAGGGTGTTTGAAAGATACAAAAAATGCTACTTACTTGTTTTTATATTTTTCACAAAACAAAACGGAAATTAATAGAAATAGTTATACGCGGTGTAGCTGGACAAGAAGTGATCTAAGAAATGGAATTGCACCAACGGAAAAAAAGTTAAATTACTCATAACAGTCTATAAATAAAGGGGATATGCAAATTTTTCGAATTTTTTCCTCGTTTCATTGTCACGTTCCCGTCCTTTCGCCTTTCTCCGGATTTATCCGCGGATCGAATCGATTAAAAATGATCCAATTACAGTTACATTGCGCGAGTACTACCAGTACCATTCGCGGTCGATTGTAATGTTGAAATAATTATCGGAATGTCAATGTCGCGGGGGATTTACACGTTGCTACAAAAAAATGGCCCTTTACGAATTTGGGTTAACGGCCATTAGCATAAGAATCGCGGAAGTTTGCGATGTCCCGGTACTCGTTTCGTTTATTTTTCTTTCGTCATCGTTAAGTTTAAAGCGTAATATCGCAATCGGTGACGCAACGAGTGGAGATTTTTTCTTAGAAAAATAAATAATGACGTTAGAATCGTTGTGGTCTAAATACATGCAAAGAAGTGAGTAAAAAGCGTGTATTAGTAAATTAGTAATCCTCAATATGTAAATATTATTATTAACTAGCACACCTCCTTGTATATAAGTTTACGCACATTGTGGTTTCCTGCATTCATGGGATTTTCGTCGGTTTCTGGGCAAATATTCGGAAAATATAAATTATACATGTACCAGTCATCGTGCAAAATGCGTCCGAAGAAGATCCTAGTGTCGTTAATATTGTGCTCGTCCTTATGGTGTTTCGTAAGTAACCATTTTTATACCCCTTGGTTCATTTCAGTTTGCAATATACACCTTGCTCCATTTCCGATTGCAACATGGTCATTTCTATATGAGTGGAATAAAGGAAGATTATTAAAATGACAGTTGTCAGAGTGAAAAGTTGCAATGACACAAATGTCACTATTTCTTTTTCCTTTAAGTGTCTATTGGAAGTTGTCTTTATCGCATCCATATATAGGGTGTTAATTAATTGTATGCCGATACTTCAGGATGTGAATATTTGGGTGATTTTAAGAAGAAAAGTTTATATCAATGTATGTCCTAAAACTCTTAGTTTTCGTGCTACAAGGTGTTAAAATTTTAGAAAAAAACTTTTCTATCATAATTTTCTTATTACTCCAGATATTTTTAAGAAATTTTGTATATACTTTTTAATTATTAAGGAGCATTTTTTGAGGTATAAGATTTTTTTTAATTTTCACCAGTGACGTCCGTACGGGGTTTCAACTGAATAAGTTTGAAAAAAAATGGTACACCACTGCTTTTTCTAAAAACTTAAATTATTTTTAAAATCCTCATTTATTTTGTAGCAAATTCGGTCAGAAGACTTATTTTCGTAAGACGCACCATTTTCGCGTAAAAAAATAAAAACCAAAACCATTTTTCCCAAGTTCATTTTGAGACTGTATATGTATAGTCGGTGCAAAACAAAATATCAATGCACGCCATCTACAAGTCTACAGGATAATTCGTATACAAATAAAATGACAACTGACAGTTGACATTCGTTTATTTAGGCGACATCAGCCAAATCGACTCGCTTAAAACCCCACAAAACCGCCAAATTCGTCCCGAAAAAAACCACCTGCAAATCGAAGGACCTCTGCAACGAGGCGCCCGACTACCCCGCCGAAGACATGGCCCGATTGCTGCGCAAGCACCGGAAGAAATTGCAGTACCTGCCCGGCACGGTGGTGAAAACGTTGGGCGACAAGCACCCCAGACCGGTCCTGCGATCGCCCGACGTCGGCGAGAACCTCTGCAGAACCATGCGGTACTCGGTGATTCCCAAGATCGCCTACGACACCCAAAACCGGCCCAAGTACATCGTCAACGTGGCCAACTTCACGCAGATCATCAAGTACGAGACGTGCGTGTGAGTATCCGAATAGCTTAATAATCCGAGGCCTAAATCGAAGCAATATAAAAAAAATCAAATAGAAGATTTTAACGCGGGGTTTTCTGTTTGATTGTTTGTTTGTTTGTTTCACGGACCTATAATTTTCTTATAGTCTTATAAGTCTTATACATTAGAGAATGTTTCCCGTTATTTGAAGACTTTTTGAGCTTCGCTTTTTTCACACAACTTATCTCAGCCAATCAGCGTCGAGCTACATATAAATCACGGTCGTGTGAAACGACAGTTTGAGCTGTCAAAACTTCAAAAATTATTTTTTGACATTTCGAGGAGAAAATGGAGAAATACATTAACCGAAGATACATTAGGCATAATGTTAACAACAAAATTATCGCTGATTTAAGTAAATTTTTATATTTAGCATCTATTTTTAGTTTGAATATAACATTTCTTAATGGTAATTCTGTACAGGGTGTCCAACGAGGAGTTAAAACTATCTGTATATTGGAAACTACTTATCCGATTTAAATAATATTTAGTATGTATATGATATGCAATAAGACGAACCTCTTAAAAATATTTTGACAGTCGTAACACTTCCGGATATACCAGAAGTAGGCGTCAACTTTGTTATTTTAAATGGAACACCCTGTATAATAATTAATTTTCGAAATATATGTAAAATTTTAGGGTACTTTTGTGTAAAACACTTTTTTCAAAAATGCATATTTTTTGAGTTAATAATTTTTGTTTGAAGAATTTGACCGATGCAGACCCTTATGAATTATTTTTGTACGGGGATCCCCTTAAAGATATGAAAATTGTTTCTGCAGGGTGGCTACTAGAAAGGTCAGAGGTATTTGAACCAGCGTTGAAAAACTTTTTATTTTATACAGGGTGTGTACAAAACATGCGTATAGTTGAACATCAAAAATATCAAATTTCTTCATTTTTTTAAATGGAACCACCCAGTTTTTTCTATTTAAATGAAATCAGCGGTCAAAAATAAGGGAATTAGTTTTAGGAACCCTGTTCCTGTTTTATCCTCAAATAACGGGACACTTTTTCTACCTATGCTTCCAGAATCCAGACCTTTAGAAATATAGGACCTAATAGTTTGTTTGTTCCAGGAACGAAAACGAGAGTTGTTATGGCAACGAGGTGTGGCCGGACGCGATGAGGACGTTTTGTAAGAGAGCCTACACCGTCATCAGGCTTTTAAGCGTATCGCATTCGGGGAAAATGCAGTACGCCTATTTTCCGGTGCCCAGTAATTGCGTTTGTTCGTATTTGAAAACCATACCGTACGATTTCAGGTGATTTAAAACGGAAGGTTTTTAGATTGTAAAACTGTGATACTGTGATTTCGTTTGTGATTGATTTTTTTTTGATTGTTTTTAAATTGTTGACTTTTGTGTTAGTTGGTATCTAATTATCTAACTAAAAGAGTCATCCGTATTTCCTGCAATGGAGTCGATTATGTCTGTTTATTTGATGCTCAAAAATCTGTATATACACTCTAGAGAATCAATTATTTGGCTAGAAGAATCATTCGTTTGCCCAAGAGAGTCGATTATTTCAATTTATCTGCTCAAAAATCTGTATATACACTCTAGAGAATCAATTATTTGGCTAGAAGAATCATTCGTTTGCCCAAGAGAGTCGATTATTTCAATTTATCTGCTCAAAAATCTGTATATACACTCTAGAGAATCAATTATTTGGTTAGAAGAATCATTCGTTTGCCCAAGAGAGTCGATTATTTCAATTTATCTGCTCAAAAATCTGTATATACACTCTAGAGAATCAATTATTTGGCTAGAAGAATCATTCGTTTGCCCAAGAGAGTCGATTATTTCTATTTATCTACTCAAAAATCTATATATACACTTTAGAGAATCAATTATTTGCCTAAAAGACTCAATCGTGTACCCAAAAGAGTCGATTTTTTCTATTTATCTGCTCAAAAATGTATAATATGCACTCTAGAGAATTAATTATTTGCCTAAAAGAGTCATTCGTAGGCCCAAGAGAGTCGATTGTTTCTATTTATCTGCTCAAAAATTTATAAATACTCTTGAGAATCAATTATTTGGCTAGAAGAGTCATTCGTATGCCGAATAGAGTTGAATATTTCTATTTATCTGCCCAAAAATTTATGTATGCACTCTAGCAGAATCAATTATCTGTTCAAAAGAGTCATTCGTAAACCCAAGAGAGTCGATTATTTCTATTTACCTACTAAAAAATTGATATATTCAACAGTTCACCGACAATTTAATTAGATATAATCTTAATTTAACAAAAGACTTAGAGATTACCTACAACATTCTACATTATACAATTTCCTATTTATTATTATTGTAAAGTATAATTTATTATATATTGTAAACAAATAAATATTTATATACTATATACGAAGTCTTTTTTTTATACGTTTCTGTCCTACAATAAAATACAATTGGAAATTCGCAGACAAGTTTCACCGCTTGCCGCATTTATTTAACTCAAATTTTTGACAGCTGTCAACCTTTTGACAGCCGTCAACCATTTTGACAGTGACAGCTGTCACACAACCGTCGAGAATCTATTGTTTGGCGTGGCGTTTCTGGAACTCCTCCATGAACTGGACCAAAAGCCGCACGTCCGCCAACGTGACGGCGTTGTAGAGACTGGCCCGGATGCCGCCCACCGACCGGTGGCCTTTTAGCTGGTGCATGCGCAGCTTCTCGGCCTCCTGCAGGAACAGCTCTTCGAGCTTCTCGTCGCCGCCGCCGACGCGGAACGGCACGTTCATCCTGCTCCTGCAGTCCTCGTCGATGGGACAGGAATAAAAGCCGCCCGAGGCCACCATGGCGCCGTACAGCAGGCCGCTCTTCTCCTGCGACTGCTTGGCCATTTCGTCGAGGCCGCCGTTGCGTTTGATCCATTGCAACACCTTCTCGGTGACGTATACGCTGCAATGTAAAAGACCGACGATTTTTAGTATACAAACGTTTGTCATTCTGTCATACATCAAGCAAGGCCTGCTAGATTGTAACAATGTATTTTGACAAGTCTCATACGAAAACCAAAGCATACTAAGATTACAACAAAGTATTTTGACAACTTTCTTACAAAAACCAAAGCATACTAAGATTACAACAAAGTATTTTGACAACTGTCATACGAAAACCAGAGCATACTAATATTATAACAAAGTATTGACAACTCTCATACAAAAACCAAAGCATACTAGATTATAACAAAGTATTGACCATTCTGATACAAAACCAAGGCATACTAAGATAATAATAAAGTATTTTGACAATTCTCATACAAAAACCAAAGCATACTAGATTATAACAAAGTATTTTGACAATTCTCATACAAAAACCAAAGCATACTAGATTATAACAAAGTATTTTGATAATTCTCATATGAAAACCAAAGCATACTAAGATTATAATAAAGTATTTTGACAATTTTCATACTAAAACCAAAGCATACTAGATTATAACAAAGGATTTTGACAATTTTCATACGAAAACCAAAGCATACTAGATTATAACAAAGCATTTTAATAATTCTCATACGAAAACCAAAGCATACTAAGATTATAACAATGTATTGACAATTCTCATACAAAAACCAAAGCATACTAAGATTATAGCAAAGCATTGATCATTCTCTTACCAAGGCATACTAGATTATAACAAAGTATTGACAGTTCTCATACGAAAACCAAGGCGTACTAGACAATAACAAAGTATTGATCAGTCTCATATGCAAAACCAAGGCATTATGGACTGTCTTTTGATGAATGATGAGTGGATGAATGCAATGAGACTTACGAGAAGGTGGCGGGGGTGTTGTGTACGGAGTTTTCCTTGGCGATGTGCGTGAAATCGAAGACGGACGGGCAGCATTTCATGGGATTCCCCAGGAGGTCTTCGCGTATGATGACCACCACGACGCCCGACGGGCCGATGTTCTTCTGGGCGCCGGCGAATATGACGCCGAACTGGAAAGGAAATGTGGATATAAAGCCTCCTCTGGATGGTGACGAGTTTGGATTGGATAGAGGCTCTCTTTCTTACCTTGGATACGTCGATTTTTTTGCTCATTATGCTGGAGGACATGTCGCTGACCAATGGCACTCCGTTGGTTTCCGGTATGTAGGAAAATTCGACACCTAGAAACGAGGAAATTTCTTTACCAAGCATCGAGGAGTATGTGGTCAATATGGAAGCTTTTTGGGGCAATGGGACCATCGCGGAATAATCTTGGAGCTTCATAGAACAACATAGAAGCTGCCTAGAGTAACTAGAATGTCATGAATTAACCTCGGAGGCTCCTATAACAAAATAGAAGCTTCGTAGGATAACTTAGAAGTACAGAATAAGAGCTGAATAAGACCTAGAAGATTCATTGGACAAAATAGGAGTTTTATAAGATTTCCTAAAGCTTCATTCGACAAAATAAGAGTTTTATATGTCCTTCTAGAGCTTCATTGTACAAAATAAGAGTTTTATATGACGTCCTAGAGCTTGATTGTACAAAATAAGAGTTTTATATGAGCTCCTAGAGCTTCATTGGACAAAATAAGAGTGTCACAAGACCTCCAAGAAGCTTCATTGGACAAAATAAGAGTGTCACAAGACCTCCAAGAAGCTTCATTGGACAAAATAAGAGTTTTATATGACCTCCTAGAGCTTCATTGTACAAAATAAGAGTTTTATATGACCTCCTAAAGCTTCATTGGTCAAAATAAGAGTTTTATAAGACCTCCAAGAAGCTTCATTGGACAAAACAAGGGTTTCATATGTCCTTCTAGAGCTTCATTGGTCAAAATCAGAGTTTCACAAGACCTCCAAGAAGCTTCGTTGGACATCTTAAGAAGACATAGCTTTATAAGACAACACAGAAGCTTCATAGGACAAACTCCTTTCCAACTCACCGTCGACGGTTTCATTATCGCAGTAGTAAACGTAAGAAGCCTGCGGGTTCATCTTCCACGTGGACCTGTCGGGGATGCTGCCCGGCTTGTCGGCCTTGGGAAACACCAAATTCACCTCGCCGTATTTGGCCGCCTCCTTGGCCGCCTTCGCCGACCACGTGCCGGTCACCGCGTAATCGGCGGCGCCCGTCCGGTTGATCAGGTTCATGGCGACGGCGGCGAAGGCGCCGCAGCCGCCGCCCTGCATCAGCAGGATCTTGTAGTTGTCCGGCACTTGCCTGCGAAGGAGATGCGGTGTAAAAGCGGTGTCCAATTGGACGATTTTGGAGGAGGGAAATGGGTACTTACAGGAGTTCCCTGACGGCCGTTTGGACGTCCGCGTTGATCTTGGTGTACTCTTTGCTCCTGTGGCTCATCTCGATGAGGCTCATGCCGGTGTCCTGGTAGGAGAGGAACTCCTTTTGGACATCCTCGAGGACCTGGAGCAGTCGAATAATGTGCGTTTGAATGACGAAATGCGATAGTACTATTGAGGTTACTGGAGACAATGAAATGAGTTTATTTAGATAACGGATCGGTCCGGGTGAATTGGACTGGTTTATCTGGATTGCGCAATGAAAGAGGTCAGAGTTTTTCGTGGTGTCCCATATGGGAAAATGGAGATGGTAGGCTTGCTGGTGTTAGATGACGGTGATGTGGCCGGTGGAAAGAGGAGCCCAGCCGCTCGATGGACCGGATTTGGTGCATATTGATTTTTTTTCTCACTTACCTCGCGTGGCAGTTTGGCGGGTCCCGCGCCGAAATTCAACGCCGACTGCGTGCTTCCCATATTTATGATGTGTTATTCTTTTTTTTTTTTAGTTGGAGTTTTTCGCGATTTTCCACGATTTTCCGCGCGATTTTCGTTCGACGGACGATCGATAACTGGACAATGGATCGCTGCGATTTATCTTTTATAAACAACTTTTGAATTTGTTTACACGGTTTTCGTATCGCTCGAATGGAATTGGGAAAGAGAGTAGGACGTGTTAGATACCAATAGAAATCGCGGCGTTGCCGGCTCCGCCGGAATTTCCTTAGAAATCTGTTTTTTTTTTCAAGAAATCAAAGCTTTATAGGGCAATGGAACCATTTTGAAGGTTTATAGAATAACATGGAAGCTTCTTAGTGTAATAGGAACTTCACATAAATCTCTGGAAGTTCTAGGAAGAAAAAAAGTGTGGTAAAAGACCTTCTAAAAGTTTAATTTGATAAAATATCAGCTTTATAAGACCTCCTGGAAGCTTCGTTAGACAAAAAATCAGCTAGATGGGACACTGTAAGAATTTTTCTAGAGTTTTTGCTATGTTGCCGGCACCTCCGCAATTTCCTCGGAAATCTGTTTTTTTCCAAGAAATCAAAGCTTAAAAGAACCATCTTTAAGGTTTATAGAATAACATTGAAGCTTCTTATAGTGTAATAATAACTTCACATAGATGATCTTGGAAGTTCTAGGAAGAAAAACAGTGTGGTAAAAGACCTTCTAAAAGTTTAATTTGATAAAATATCAGCTTTATAAGACCTCCTGGAAGTTTCGTTAGACAAAAAATCAGATCTATAGGACACTGTAAGAAGACTTAGAACTACACAGGAACTTCATAGGATTACCCAATTTTTCTAGAGCATTTGCAATGTTGCCGGTACCTCCACGATTTCCCAGGAAACCTGATTTTATAAAGCACCCCTAAAAAGTACCTAACCTAAGCTAGACAATTAGGCATTTTACACACCTGATACTTATAGAATTTATTAGGAAAGAGAACGTTTGGCAACACCGCTTCTCTCACATATCGTATGTAAATTTCATGCAATACTTGTGACGTATTAACAACGTTGTTTCTAGGTGAATGAATTGCTTTTATTATCGCAACAATTTATTTACCACACACGACATTGTGTTGTTTTTATTGCGTTTGATTTATCAACAAATTAGCTCGAATTTCGGGGATGAAGATCGCATTGTTTTTGCCCGATGTAATTTCCCAATATATGGTTGACGCAACTCCCATATGACATGGCGTGATGTGCGAAAATACACCATAAATAATTTATTTGTCGAGCAATCCACGTAATAATAATGTTAAAGCGATAAGTGGGTTTCATAAGAGGGTAAAATTTGTGACCTCCCGGCATGGAATAATGAACCTTATCGCGGGTATGTTTCCCATAGATACGGTGTTATATTTGCATTCGAAGATTCCTATTACTCGTATAAACGATACGCTCGGTAATTATTAGATAATTTTTATTGTTAACACGATTTTTATAAAACCATTTCGACAATATACAATATTGATTCAAACAGAGTTAAATAAAAGTTAAATTTTTAGTACCGAAATGAAAAAGGTTAAAAAATCCCTTTTGGAATAATCAAAATATTGTAACGATGCCACCTAATTTCATATGTCATTGTGTCACATTTTATTACGCCATCTTGTCAAATTGTGTGACAGTTGTACTGTCATTGTGTCAAATTGATTCAAGTCAAATTATGTGACAGTTATTCTGATATTGTGACTTAATTGACATTGACGCGATAATGGCGTTTTTTGTTACTCCAAATTAAAACTATTTTAACCCTTTTCTTGTATCTCAAATTATGTATTTAACTTTACAAAAGTTTCTTACACTGCTTATAGTAAACAATTTTCTATATAAACTTACAGGGTGTGCAATTTAAATAATAACGTCTGTACAACAAAGCATTATTAGTACACCCTGTACATACATATAAGTAATAGGCTATAAAAAATCCAGCAAGAATCTGGTATACCGTGTGTCCCAAATAACCGTCTAATATTCCTCGTATCTGATATACCGTGTGTCCCAGATAATTTAGGGCGCCCGGAACGTCTGGAATTGAACTAAACGAGATCATGAACGTTGGAAATATTCGGTAATATTCAATCGCTGTCGTCCATGTCCTCGTTCCTGGACCGGTTCAACGGCCTTCGGCTCTCTTCGTCCGATCCGTAGATGACGTCCTCGTCCGAGTCGTTGATCATCGAAAAAGCCGGATTATCCTTCGTCAATCCCATATCTGGAACATCCAGAAGATAATTATTCTCTATTTGTACGAGTAGGTACATCGCAGAGGCTGTGAGATTTTGGTATCTGTTTTGACGTTTCAGTTTGACAGTTTGTAAGTTACAATTACGGTCCTATATTTCTAAGGTCTGGAAACATAGGTAGAAAAAGTGACCCGTTATTTGAGGATAAAAACAGGGTTCCGAAAACGGCCGATAGGAGGCGATGTTGTAAAGGACTACAGTTTTTTGCGTACGAATTATTTAGAATTAGCATTAAGAAAGCTATATTCAAACTAAAAATAGATACAAAATATAGAAATATACTTAAATCAGCGATGATTTTGTTGTAAACAATCATGCCTCACGTATCTTCGGTTAATGTATTTCTCCATTTTCTCCTCGAAATGTCAAATAATAATTTTTGAAGTTTTGACAGCTTGAACTGTCGTTTCACACAACCGCGATTTATAAGTAGCGCGACGCTGATTGGCTGAGATAATTTGGTCCTCCGATCGTTCGCCACCATGCGGCTCAAAAGTGAAGCTCAAAAAGTCCTCAAATAACGGGACACATTCTCTAATGCATAAGCATAGGAAGTTTCCAGACCTTAGAAATATACGGCCGAGGTTTTGACGTTTCATAAGTGACAGTTTATAAGCGAAAGATCCTCGGGCTACTTGATACGATAATACGATACATTTTAAAAGCCTTCTACCGCTCGGTTATTCGGCTCCACGTTATTTAGAAGGCCTCTTACCGTTGAGGTTCCTGCTGCCCGGCGAATACACGTAGGCCATGGCGTAGAGATAGAAATTCAACAGACCGTAAAACGACATAAACTCCGACGAATTGCTGTAGTGCGTCGACAATTCGGCGACGAAATTATCCTCTAACACGCCGACGCCGAACCTCAGCACCGTCACCGCACAACTCACCATCAGCACCACCAACATCAACAATGTCAGGAACTTCAATCGAAGACCTGCGAAACAAATCCACGGTCGCTCAGACTTCTCACTTGCCATCTTACCATTTGTCATCTGTCACTTGTCATCTGTCACTTGTCATCTGTCACTTGTCATCTGTCACTTGTCATCTGTCACTTGTCATCTGTCATCTGTCACTTGTCATCTGTCATGTGAGTTGTTTTGGGTGACTTACCGAAGTAAGGCATAGATCGGAGTTCTGTGTAGGCTTTCAATATCAAAATAGTGAGATATATCAAGTAGACGATGCCGAATATGTAGAAAAAAGCTTTAACGACCTACGAAAAACGAAAATGTTATAAAAATTTCTGAGCTCCTCTGTGTGTATTTTTCTATACTTACGTAAAAATTCGAAGTATCGACGGTGTGATTGTACGTGGGATCTTTTAATTCGTTGATTCGTTCCCACGTGGATAGAATTATGGCGGGGAACCACAGCATCGCTATTATAAACACCTTCGGCATATAAAACGTCAACAGATGTCGCTCGTTCTGAAGAGAAAAAGAGAATCACACAAAATGGCCGCCTGTCAAAACTGTCGAAGCTGTATATTAATATTATTGGCTAATGTAAAGTTGGTCGCTAAGAAACACTAAGAATAATGGATGAAAAATATGTCACCTGTCTGAGACCGTGGTAGATGCAGAGCCAAAACAACAGCAGGGCGCATAGGAAACTGGCCTGAGCTATGGCGTCGATCATGCCGGGCAGCCAGGAATTGAGCAGAAACGACATGGGAAACACCGGATCTGAAACCGCCATATTTACAAAAAATTCACCTCATCAATGCATCAAAGCGAGCCGTCGAACTCACTGTCGTAGGCCATCAGCATGGGCAACAAAATGGACATCCATTTCTGCTCGATGGACCAATCGTACATGGCGTACTTCCGCAAAGTGTGCTGGTACCAACACTGAAAAACCAAATCCCCTATAGTTAAATGCACAACCTACTCGACTAATCTATAAGACACCAACTCTAGTTGGTTGGACACTTACCGTTACAACGAAGGTAAAGGCCAAAAAGAAGAACCTGAACCATATTTCGATTTGGGTGAATCCCGGATTGTAAGTCTTGAACTAATCCATACGAAACAAGCATACAAAAAAAGTTTTATTTGGAGTGATGGAAGTTTGCGGAGTACTCACGTAGAAATCGAGCTCTTTGATGTTGTAATGCGAATGGAAGGCCTCCAATCCGAAGAAATTCACGGTGATTATGTAATGGGCGTAGTCCAAATAGCCCAAATGCAGCACGATGAATTCCTCGCAGCTTTGCCGGTCGCATTTCAAGTGCCTCGTCCTGTGGAACAGCCGAATTTAGAATTTGGTCTGTCCTGGTCAAGGTCTTATACAGGGTGGCCCAGAACTCACGCTCCACAGGGAAATGCCCTATGGAGCACACCTTCTTCAGGGACTTACCTGTTGTTGCTGTTCGCTGTCAGGATCCTCACCGGCTTGTGTTCCTCGCTCAATCCGGATATGCCCACCGACACCTCGAATATTTTATCGATTATTTCGCCTGGAAAAAACATCGATGAATATACAGGGAGCAACGAAAAACATCGATGAATATACAGGGAGCAACGAAAAACATTATAGAAACCGATTACCGTCCGTGTTTTCCGTCGACAGCTTGGCTATCACCCACAATTGCTGCGAGTAGGTGGACAATTTGGGCGTTTTCATCACAAACGGACCAGTTGCAACATTCCTGCTACCACCCGTGATACTGCCATTACCTTTAGGCAGTAAGGAAATACCATCCACGCGCGTTGTCAACGTTATAGGCGGCCCTGAAACACGTCAAAACTTCATTTTAATCTGTCTACTGCCACCTGTCATCTAAATGTTAATGTAGTGTACTGTCGTACGTCAAAATCACGTCAACCACTGTCGCCTGTCAAAATCGAGTGTGCTTGATATTTGTTATTATTGTTATGACTTTGTTTATCACCTGCCAATCCGACGAATATGCCCAATCCGAAGCAAGTGAAAAACGTGATGAAAACCATCACGAACTCTCTTTTGTGCATCGTGTACAGTCTCATCTGAACCGACCTGGAAATTATTCATTAAGCCAATATAAATAAATTGATACTCTGTTAAACTGAGATTGTTCTTTTGTCCATTTGTCCATACGTTCTTTTGTTCATTCATCCATTTGATCATTCGTTCATTTGTTCAATGTTCATTCGTCTATTTGTTCATTCGTCCATTTGTTCAATCGTCCATTTGTTCATTCGTCCATTTGTCCATTCGTCCATTTGTTCAATCGTCCATTTGTTCATTCGTCCATTTGTTCATTCGTCCATTTGTTCATTTATCCATTTGTTCATTCGTCCATTTGTTCATTCGTTTTTATAGCGAATCATCCGGAAAAAGCTATTCATTTTCTAACATACATATAGTGTGTTTATTTATAATAGTTCGTGAGGTCATAGAGGTTTTATAAAGCGATATAAAATACCTTTCGCAGCGATCGTGATGATAGGCGGGCGCTATGTACTTGTCGAATTCGCCGAAAACGTCCGAGCATTGGGAGAGAACGTTTCGAACCTTGGCCGACCATCCTCCGGATGGCAGGTGATAGTTGTAGCCGAGCGTCGGGTTTTCCGGTCTCGTCGACATTTTCCCCGAATTAAATCGACTCGACCTGCACTATTATCGGCGATTATAGTCTGGTGAAAGTTCGGATATTTTTAGTAAACACCCGATTTTGTGTACTGATAAGCGGATTTTCTTGCGCTTTTCTTATTTCACTTTCGTTATTTTCCTTTTCGTCGGGAACTGGAGATTTTCGCGAATTCGAAACGCACTAAAAAACGCACTGAAATGTCTACACTGCACGACAACCGGATATTTTCTGCTGGAAAATGCGGTTTTCTCGACGGCTTTCCGCCTGATTTTCCGCCGAGTTATTGATCGGCTGCGCGCGCGCGCTTTTCACACGTCGCGCGCGAGGAAAATCCGGATTTTCCGGCGTTCTCGCGAGGACTTGTTGATTTTCCGAACGAGTTATATGGAAAACGCAATTATTTTTTCCACAATTTTATTTTCGAGTACAACGATAAAAAAATTAAATAATGTATAAATTTGTTCAAGACGAAACGTACGCACACACATATATAATATACAGGATGTTCCGATTATATAAATACAAACATTTATTGTTCTTACGTATTTACTGTTTCCTATAACGTCAAATCGGTTTGGAATTTCCTTGAGAGCGGCGCTATATACGGAAATTTGGCAACGCTGCATTCCGAAACTGATTTGTGGTTATTGGAAAAAAAAACACATTTAAATTACTCTAATTCTCTAAACACATTGTACCAAAAAGAGTATCAAATGATTGTCTTTGGTTCGTGCAATCATTACCGTTAACAGATATACAGGGTGTCCTATAAAATTGCGATTAATCTCCGGAAGTATACAGGGTGTTGATTAATTGTATGCCGATACTTCAGGATGTGAATATTTGGATGATTTTAAGAAGAAAAGTTTATATCAATGTATGTCCTTAACCTCTTAGTTTTCGAGCTACAGAGTGTTAAAATTTTAGAAAAAAAAAAACTTTTCTATCATAATTTTCTTATTACTCCAGATATTTTTATGAAATTTTGTATACACTTTTTAATTATTAAGGAGCATGTTTTGAGACGCAAGAATTTTTTAAATTTTCACCAGTGACGTTCGTACGGGGTTTGAACTGAATATGTTTGAAGAAAAAATGGTACGCTACTGTTTTTTTTTAAAACTAAAATTATTTTTAAAATCCTCGTTTATTTTGTAGCAAATTCGGTCAGAAGACTTATTTTCCTAAGACGCACCATTTTCGCGTAAAAAAATAAAATCCAAAACCATTTTTTCCCAAATTTATTTTGAGACTGCTTTTGATATTTTGTTAAAATTTGTTAGGCGCACCATGCATGGAAACACTTTTTTTTGGGGATAAAAATTAATTTTCTACTATTACCAGTGACGTCCACGTCCGAAATTTCATAAAAATATCTGCCGTAATAAGAAAATTATAATAGAAAAGTTTTTTTTTTTCTAAAATTTTAACACCCTGTAGCTCGAAAACTAAGAGGTTTAGGACATACATTGATATAAACTTTTCTTCTTAAAATCATCCAAATATTCACATCCTGAAGTATTAGCATTCAATTAATTAACACCCTGTATAGAAAAAAATTGGGACACCCTGTAATTGAAATATAGACTTGTATCAAAAGTTCAAGATTCAGTTTGTTTCAGATGGAAATTTTAATGTTACAATAAATATATATCCTTAAATTTAAACAGTCACATTTAACAATTAATCAACATTTATTATATAATTTTTTTTATTTGTTTTTCTCATTGTTTATATTTGTATCCAGCTGGATGTGTGAAGGAATTTTTATCACAATTACATTTAACATGTATACAAGATATGGATAACAAGGGATTCATTATTTAGTCTTTATGCGTTTTTTCATTTGTCAATATAGTCTGGGGGCAAATTGTTTAATTATTTAATTATCAACTACACACCAATTTCGTATTTAAATTCGAGACATTTACATATGGAAGGATAGAAACTAACCTATACACATGTGATCATTGATTGCCATTAAATTTGAGCACCTAATTTTGACGTACCCGGTATATTCGAAAGAATGTACCTACAGCAAATTAAAGCCACTTGCCCTGTACTAAATTCATTTTAGATCCATTCGGAATTGTTGACAAACGATGAAAGTATTAACGAAGATAAAATCTTATAGTACAGGAATACTCGAGTTGTTTTATAGTACGAGAAAAGTCGAGGGAAAACTTAAGAACGGTAACAACTATAGTCCGGGAAATTCGAGTGAAAAATAGTACGAGAAACGTCGCTGAAGAAGAAAGAAGGTCTAAGAAAGGCAACGGAAGTAGCCCGGAAAATTGCATGGAATGAAATAAAATTGTATATAGTCCAGGAAAAGTGTGTAAGAAACCGGAAAATAATATTTTAATACGTTTGATACGTTACGTATTTTTCGTATGGACGGACGTTCCCGACGACTGCGATGAGTTTCTGTGCCTGCTCAACGAATTTATGAACTCCTCATTTTCCTTACGAACTGAAAAAAAATAAAGAAAATTCTCTTAATTACGATTTTATTAGATTAATTAGAGGGCAAGAAAAATCAAAATATCTAGGAAACTATAGAGAGGCCTAAGAAAAATCAAAATATTTAAGAAACTGGATGAGTTACCACTTTGGTGCAAATTGGAGAGTTGAATAATGATGTTTCCTCTAAAAAATGAAGCAATAATCACTTTTCTAGATAGCACAGTTCCCGAGTTATAGGTACTTGAAAATGAAAACATTTTTTTTAATTTATGGAGAGGCCTAAGAAAAATCAAAATATCTAATAAACTGGACGAGTTACCACTTTGATTCAAATTGGAGAGTTGAATAATGAAAGTTTCCTCTAAAAAATGAAGCAATAATAACTTTTCTAGATAGCACTGTTCCCGACTTATAGGTACTTCAAAATGAACACAATTTTTTAATTTATGGAGAGGCCTAAGAAAAATCAAAATATCTAAGAAACTGTACGAGTTACCACTTTGATCCAAATTGGAAAATTTGGTGATCGAATCTTCATCTACAAAACGAAAGCAACAACCAAATTTCCCGAACGAATTAAAACAGTCAACCAATTACAATCGAAAACCCCACAACCTTAAACCTTACCACTCGGTGTGCTCGCACAAATCCGGATTCGCAGCGAAAGTATAGTAAGTAACATTCACCGTCGAATTATCCCGCTGCAGCGCCACCGTCGACCGATGCGTCAGCGTCACCAACACCGCCGATACGCTGATCAGCGACAGCACGAAAAAGGCCCCCAGCACCGACATCACGATCGCCCGCCGCCTCCGACCCGCCTCCACCTCCACCTCCGGCGCCGCCGCCGCCTCCCTGGACGAGTTCCCGCCCGAGCTCCGGCGACGCCGGTGCTCCCGCGACGCGCTCGACCGCCGCGACGACCCCTCGGAGCGGCGGCGGCGGCCGCAGCTCCGCCGCCGCCACCGCGCCGCCTCGTCGAGCTCGCGCAGCAGCCCGTCCAGGGAGGCGGCGCGCCGGAGGGGGTGGTTGTAGTGGTGCGAAAACGAGCCGGACCTGGACGAGCGCCGGGGATGCACCGCTGATAATAATTGCGAGTCTGGGTTGTTGTTGGTTCGCATGGCTGGTTCGGACTGGATGTGAGTTGGTAGGCCTGCTTTTTTTTGGTATTTTTACGTTTTTCGATTCGGGAAATTCGCGTGTTTATGGATCGGTGGATTAAAAATAGAGAGAATCAAGAACGTGTTTACGTAGTGCATAAACAGACCTATAAACTGTTTATGTTGTATACGAGGAGCGTTCGATGGTGTTTCGTTCAAATATTTACGAGGTTTGATCGATAATTTTCGTAGCACACTTTCTTATACAGTCTTATACCAGAAATTATATATCATAGAGAAGCGAAACGATGGGGTTTTAAATAAGTTGTCTTCATTTTACGTTGATTGTCAAAGTTGTATTTAGTCAATGAGCTGATGTGAAGTAATATTTAATATTTTAATATTTAAGGTGTGTGTAAATAAAAAATAAAAATTACATTATAGCATATGCGCATGGACTATTCATAAATTTCGCCGAAATAGTTCGCTCAAATAGTGTACAAAATACCAGTTTTCTCATTGTATTATGTTATCGAAAATTTGCCCAATCAAAACCAACGAAAACGACAATTTGTTTCGCTTCTCTGTCATTTTAGTATCATTCTTTGTTCAACCCATAGGAGATAGCCATACACTGTGCTTCATTCCAGATCGCAACATAGATTATATAGGCTATAGGTGCGATAAAGACAACTTCCATTAGACACTTACAAAGGAAAAAGAAAGAGTGACTGATTTGTGTCAATACAACTTTCCACTCTGACAGCTGTCATTTTAATAACCTCTCTTTGTTCCACTCATACAAATGACCATATTGCAATCGGAAATGGAGGGAGCAAGGTGTATATATTTTCTGGATATAAATTAGTAGTAACTCACCGATATCGTCTATAATGGGCGCCATCCTCAGGGTGATGCCGACCAGCAGCAGGCACATGAAGAGCAGCACGCAGGCCGTCGCGACGATCGTCCACTTGGCCTTCTTCGTCGAATCCTCGACGGCGACGGCGACGTCGCCCGACGCCGCCTCGATCAGGTAGGCGCCGCCGCCGACGCGCGCCAATTCGCAGCGTCTTTTGGCGCGACGCTTGCGACGCCGGCGCCGGCGCCGTTTCCGACGCGCCGCCGCCTCCATATCGTTGTCGTCGCGGCGCGCCGACGCGTAATCGGCGTCCGAATGGAGCCTGAAAGGCGGGGAATTACCCGGTTGATTTTTTTAACGGCCTTTAACTTAACTGGCGTGAAGCTAGTTTGGTTAGTTCTTGTGGACTCGAACGAAAAAGTAGTGTAAATTTGTTGATATTGATGGATAAATGTCGGGGAATTATCCAAAATATATTTAACGGCCTCGAACGTAGCGAGTATGCAACTAGTTCAAACAATTCAATTTGTAGAAGCTGTTTTTGGATGAAAAAAGGAGAGCATTTCTGAGATTTTTTTTAAAAGAACATTAACGGCCTTTAACGTAGCAAGTATGCAGTTAGTTCAAACGATTTAAGTTGTAGAGACCGTTTCTAGAAAAAGAAGAACGTTTTTGGTGTCTGAAAGTCGGGGAATAACCCGTTAAAATATCCCTAAAACGGTCTCTAACGTGACGAGTAAACAGCTAAAGTCCGAAAGCTTCGCAATATTCATTCGGAAGTAAAAGAACAGCAGATAAATCCTTACAATTGTCCTTCGATGTCCTGGCTGCAACAACAACCGGTCGGAGGCCTGTCGTTGACGGTGCAACAATCGATGTTGTCGCATTGGAACGATTGGTACCGATCTTCGTCGCTGATCGTCGACGAGGCCTCGAAACTGGACTGCCCGAATCGGTAGTGACTACCCGCCGACGACGTGGAGAAATCCTTTTTCAACGCTAAACGTCATAGAAACCAAAAATTATACCTCACAAATGCATCAAAAGAGAAGAAAACAAGTCCACAGCCTACCGGATTTCCGGGCCGTCGTCTCGACGGGCCCCGTTTGTTGCGGTTGTTCGGCCAATTTCTCGTTGACGACGCCGATTTTGACGGATGACGGGCGATCTGTCAGCCGGAATCTCTTCAAAATGGACCGGGGTATTTCGCGCGTTCTGTGTTTCCCGCGATGACGGTCGTCCCTCAAGGCCCGCGCTTTGTTTTCGAGCAAGGTCTGCAGGATGGCCTCTAACCTGGCTAGGCTCGAGGCCACGTTGGTCTTGCGACTGACGGCCCAAAGGTCTTCGGTCGAGACGGCCTTGTCTTCCATGGCGTACTAGATGATTGGTAGCCGTCGAGTCGATCAACATCAGTGATTTTTTTTTGTTATGTTGGTACTGCGAAGAGAAATAATTTATGTGATTATAACGGCGGTTCAAACAACGAGTTTTCCAATTCCAAGGCCTGCTGAGTACGCGAGATCAAACAAACTGTTGGAATTTTGAATTTAAATTAGGTAGATAATTAGACGGGTGCTGATGTATTCAATTAGTCGGGAGTTTATTATATTTTCGATTTGTTTAGTTTTTCGGATAGTTTCGAGAATTTCGTAAATACCGACGAACAGTTATTGCGAAAAATATTTTGTATTTTTTTCCGAGGTGTTCAACAGATATACAGAGCTTCCCATTTAAGACAACTCCCCTTGTTATTTGGTTATAAAACGTATAAAAAATTCACCTTAACATCTATTAATATTTCTATTCATAAAACAAATCATTTACTCGTTATTAATTATCCTAAAAATACACTCTATTTATTCGAAAATTCCACACACATATTCCCCCGCTGACGAGCACTCGGTTTTCGTTCATTCATTACTCGCAAATTACCCGCAACAAATCCACCGAAAATTCACCAAACTCACCTCAATCCACCCGGCGACTCATCACAACGCGGCGCCCCCAATCAACTCGCCCGGGGGGAGCCCCGATTCGACTCGATACACAAATCAAGAGACGCTGACAATGTACACAGTGTCGATCGAGGGGGTTGTATTGTATCGTCGGTATCCCAGTTGGCGGGCGTCGTGTCTACGCCAGCGCGGACGCGGCGCGTTTGACGGGCGTCGCGGCGCTCTCGGTCACCCGCAGCTGCCGGTCGGGAAATCCGGGCGGTTTTCCTCCGTCTGAAGGGCCGATCGATTTTTAGCGCGAGCGATTTTTTCCCGTCGCTTGCGAATTTGTGCCGCGCAATTAGGCGTCGCGACGGCGATTGTAGGTGTTTTTGCGATGCAAACGCTCGATTTGTTAATTAACAAAAAAATATTCATGTAGCCGAAGGGCTTGTTTGACGAGGCCGCTGGGAAAATAAGAATCGTCGATGTCAACTTATGTCATAATTGTCAATACGAGCGTTTGTTTGTATGCCAAAAGAACGAACGGTAATGACAAGTAATTTGACAGATCCACATAAGTTAGACAAAGACGTGACATATTGAAATTATTGCTATTCTTCTCCTACGTGAGCTTAACCAGGCGATATTCGACCTTACGATTCCGAGGTAGAATCAGGTGGTCTGTGTTTATTAACCTTAATAATAATTTCTAGAAAAAGAAAATGGCGTACGGCGATTTCGGAATGAACAATCGAAGCTAATAGAAGCTAAATAGAGGAAAGGGCGATGGAGGGCGGTTCGAAAGGATCGCCGGACGAGATAAAATCGACGGCCGTCGTGAAGTATTCGCTGCCGAAACCGGCGCAATTCATCCAGCTGCAATGCAACACCAACTTGAACCGGCCCCCTTCAAATTGGCTGAGCAGCTCGGCCGATTCCTACGGCTTGCAGCAGATGCTCACCAATCACAAGGGTTTCACCAGGTGGGCGCTCTAATCCTTCAACAAAATGTTTATAATACACGCTCAAAATGATACATTTTTAGCTTTAAAATGGCGCATATGTTTCCGGATTGCGTCGGAGAAGTCGACGTCGTTTCGGACGCCGAAAACATCAAGAAACTCTTGAAAATACCCTATCACAAGGGCCACATCAGCATGATGGTGCATCGCATCGAAAACACCTTACTCATCGACGATTTCGATATATACAAGCACTTGTTGAAAACCGCCGAAACGGAGTGGGCTTGGCTGAGGAAGTTCTTCGTCGACAACGTCAGCAGGGCGACTTGCAACGAAGACAGGAATTTATACACCAACAGCAGGCGTCGCGAGGCTCTGAGAGAAAAAAGCCTCGTCTCCAAGTTTCTCTATCACAGTTTGGTGCCCTCCGATACCACCGAGAGTAATAACGGATTCGAAACTGAGCAACCCGTTAGAGATCCCCCTTTACCCGAACCGTCCCCTTCGACCGAGTGTCCCGATTCCCCGACGTCTGGCCACAACTACAACAGAAACGTCGTTTGGACATTCGAGGACATCGAAATGCTTTTGGGCAAGTTTCGAAACAATCTAAAACTCGCATAATCTAATAAATAACATTGTAGGTACCGATATGCCGATATTCGGAGGAGGCACCCACCCTTGCATATCCCTCCGATTAAGAGACATGAGCAAACCGATCAGCGTACTAACAGGCATCGATTACTGGCTGGACAACCTCATGTCGAACGTACCCGAAGTGGTGATGTGCTACCATTTGAACGGCATAGTCCAAAAGTACGAGCTGATCAAAACCGAAGATCTACCGCAAATGGACAACTCCAAGTTCTCCCCGAAGCTGATCCGGGACGTCGCCCAGAACATCCTGAGCTTCCTGAAATCGAACGCCACCAAAGCGGGCCACACCTACTGGCTGTTCAAAGGCAAGGACGAGGAGGTGATCAAATTGTACGATCTGACCAGCCTGTGTTCGGAGCAGGACGTCGAAAACGGCCAGAATCCTTTCACTATACCGGTGGCGATGCTGCTCTATCGAGTGGCCCGGAACATGAAGCACTCCAGCGATCGACCGCAACCGGGCACCATCCGCACGCTGCTCAAAAACTGCGTGAAACTCCTGCCGCACGAGAAGTACCCCGAAATCGTCACATCTTCGTTGTACATGTTGTCCGATTTGTATGTTCCGGCCAAAACGAACCCGGAGAATCCGGAGTTGGACGAGCGCGAGCACGAGGAAACCGAATCGCACTACGAAGACGATCTATCGGACGACGAAAACGAACCGATGAAGACCCTGGTATTGGAAGATAAGCGATTCGAAACGTTCAAAAACTACTACAAACCGCCGGCTCCCATCGGAGGGACTGTAGCCGAAAGGTGCCTGCAAGCAGTACAATACGTAGCCCTAGGTCTCAACTGTCTCAAGTATTTCGCGGAGAACGAGCCGGCCGGTAAGCGAGATCGCGACGACGACGAGGAAATCAAAATGGCCAAACAGTTCGAGGCCATACCGATGCCCTACGGCAAACTGTCCGATTCGAGCAACGCGACTCGAAAGGGCAAGAAAAAGGAGCGCAAACGGAAACAGGATCACGCCAATCCGGACAAACCGAACAACGCCTTGCTGCCCAAGAACCTGCACGAGGCCCAAACCCTGCCCACCTGGCAGGAGAAGGACACCGACAACATCTCGTGGAAGAACCACCTGAAGACGTTGTTGTACGAAAAAGCGGTGTTGGTCTACGCCACGTTGTCCGAACACTACTTCCTATCGGGCCAGTACGGCTCGAGCCTACGGTACATCGGCTTCCTGGCCCGATGCCAGTTGGTCACCAATCGGTTGCTCTACGCCTCGAACGCCTTGCGCGAAAACTGCCTGCTGGGCCGGGCCGGCGATTGCTGCATCATGATGGTACAAAATTGGAGTAAGTTCTCGCTAGCCGATGATGTTCGTCCGATTTGTACTAACAGATAGGATTCGTAGGTAAATGCGAGATCTACAACCAGCAACTGTTGACCGTTCGGGACGAGGACGCCGGCATGTTGGAGCAACTGGAACGCGACGAGCAATCCCATCGGATCGATATCGGCGAGAGCGCCACCCGATGCGTGTTCCTCTTCGACGTGCGAACGGTCGAACAGATGCTGTTGAAGGCGGTGGAATGTTACGAGACGGCCGTGAAGATATCGCCGTCGGACGGGGGCCTGCGACGGCTCGCGAACGGCCTCAACGAATTGAGCACGTTCTATTTGAATCGCGCCAAAGGCGAGAAGGACGCGCGCGATCTGATCGAGTCCTGTCGCAAGGCGGAGACCTATCTGACGAAGGGTTTGGAGTTGTTCGAGTCGGTTAAAGACGACGCCAACGTGGCGCTGTTGTCGACTAATATAGGACATTTGCATAGGTTCGTAGATTAGATGGTAGATAAACGTTTGGAAAGGGGGGGGGCGAAGCTCTATTGAATGGTATTGGACGCTGGCGTAGTAAAAGGCCGCAAGAGATGCGTCCGCCGAGTGCGAATTCGGAACAATTCGGATTTTCACTAATACTATAAAGCTGTAAGGCCCAAATTCGTAGGGTCATTCTCGAGATTTTTTTTACGGCCGCCGTTCGTCCTTTTCGACCGGGAAAAGTATTGAATCCTATGGAAATGCACACGCCCGATCGGAATATCGACGTATCGACTCGATAAAAGTTCATCTTCAGTGTCAAATGAGCGAAATAAACTTTTTTTTTTGCAACTATCCCGGGATATGCAACTATCCCGAGCTGATAAGCGAGTCGTTTTTATAACGCCGAAATGAGTTTAGCCGATGAAATGAACTAAAAGAAGGTCTTTTTTTGGGTAATCTGCGGATACAGTAAATGAGGTTCGGTTGAATTTTAGGTTGTTGGCGCACGCGCACGCGCCCAAAGACCGCTGCGAGATCACCCAACAGGAGAAAGTTCACTACAACAAGGCCGTGGTGAATTACAAGAAGGCGCTGCAGGTGTTGGGCGATCGGAAGAGTTGCCCGGCCATTTGGGACACCGTCAAATGGGAATTGTCGACGACGTTGTTTAATTTGTGTTGGATCATGCACGAGAATCCGCCATCGCATTTGGTACGATCGTTTTTACACAAATTATTAAATTATCTCTAAACTTATCGTGGCGATTTTCAGAGCAAAACCGAAGCGGAAAAGGAGGTGATCGAAACGTTGCAAAAGGCTTTGCAGTATTGCGATTTCGACGAGACCAACGATAAGTATCTGTTGTATGTGTATCGAGGAGCTATTATACACTATCGCATCGCTTCGTTGTATCACAGCCATTTTTTATCGACTCCCAACGATTCCGCCAACAGAAAACACATCGTACAATTGGCCAAAATCAATTACGAGAAAGCCTCGAAGATGTACCTGCAAAGCTCCGACGCTTTCAACTATTTAACGTCGCAAATGCAACGGGTGGCTTTGTCCGAACATTTATCAGGAAGTACGTATATACAGTGTATCGAGAAAATAGATGTCAATAATTCGGGAGCGTATAATTGACATCAAAATAAGGGTACAACTTTATATAAATTTTATTAATTTGAGCCCCCAAGTACATTTTTGTTAGTTTATCGATTAAAGAATGTATTTACGATACGTTTGTGTTATACAGATTGTCCCCATAAAAGAAACGAATTGTTAACCACTGGGAACACTGTCTTCCAGAGAATAATGTAGGATTCATTTTATCACCAAATTGGGCACACGGGTGTAGGTAATAAACCACAAAAATTTTATATTGTTCTCATGTATAACTTGGAAATAAAACCTAAAAATAAGTTTTAAATTTCCGACTTTAAAGACCTCTAGCTCAAAAATGGAGACTCAAATTAACAAAATTTATACGAAGATATACCCTTATTTTGATGTCATTTATACGTTCGCGAGTTATTGACTTCCATTTTCTGGACACCCTCTATATTACTTAACATCGATCGTTTATACGAAATAACTAATTGTTTTAGTCAGCAACAACATGAACACGAAGATCAAACACCTGCAGGATTGCTTGGAGATCATCGTGGAACTGAACGCGGCCGTGCGATTGATGATCGACAAGAAAATCGACGTCGACGACGGCGAGGAGAGCGACGGGGATTCGTACGGGACGTGTTTGTCGCTGTTGAAATTGATCGGTACGAGATTACAGCACGTTTTGAAGCTGCTGGTCAAGTACTGCATGAGCAAACCGCGTCCGAACAAAGACTGCGACCGGCTGGCCGAGACGTACAAGGCCTGCTACAAGTTGTCTTTAGGTTTGAAGGACGACTCGAATTACGCGGCGTTGTTGAATCAATTGGGCGACGTGTTGGGTTCCATACGAACGCAATGCGAACGGTCGATTCAATCGATTTGAAGCTGTTTTATCTTTAATTTTTTAAGTACACGTTACAAAGGTGTTGAATCCTTTTAACTTTATAAATGCTGTGATATATTAAAGAGTATAATCGAAGTATTTACCGAGTTTGATTATCGAACGCCGTGGCCCTGGCCGATTCCCTGGATCATTCTCCTGCCGAGTTCTTCGGGGGAACGAAGCTCGCCTGGCACGCCTTCGGCCGATACGTCCATTTCGATTTCGTCTTCCTCTTCTTCATCGTGCGTTTCCGATTCGTCGTCGTCTTCGTTGTCGTCCTCGTCGTCCTCGTCTTCTTCCTCTTCGACGGGCTGAAAATATAGAGGACGTGCTGTATAAATTATACGCTCGAGGAATTACGAAATAAGTCGGTGTACCTCGGACGTGGTTTTTCCGATGGGCGTTAGATCGGCGTTGAATTGTTTTATGGATTGCAACTGTAAAAAACGTAATATGAGTTCATTTTTAATCGGCGGTTTAGGAATGGAAATTGACTCACCCAATTTTGGTGTTCCCTTTCCAATTGGGATAGTTCGTCTTCGCAATCGCGCGGTTGGTCCACTTGGAACCACGACGATTCGAACAATCTCGGTTTTAAATTTGGAAATAATGGTATGTTACTCATTTTATTCGTTCGTTGTTAATTGTTATTGTTTGTTTATATTTTAATGGTAAATTGTAACTTAACCTATAAATTTTTTCTTCCTTTTAATTTAAGACCTAACCTACTAAGGCTATTCGGCATAACCTACAATTTTGACATTCGGTTTGTCAATTTGTTGCACCAGTGTAACACTGGAGTAGCTCAAAGAAACGAATTTAAATCACATGTTCTTGTTTATTTGTATGTCTATCCTTTTTTTTTCAAATGTCAGTGGTTCTTTGTTCATTTTTTAAACAATAACATACGGAAAGTTTTGTTATTTAATATTCTTTTCGATTTAGGAAATATATTAATAAAAAAATACATAAAATAACCATTGCATTTATTTATTTCACTTCAACACTCACTTTAATAACGCACACCTAGCAACAACAAAAAAAAAAGAAAAAAAATTAAAAATGAAAAGTACACATTTTCGCTTATCATAATACGACAGAGTTTTTACCGAACGAAATAAATGCAAAGTGTATCAAAAAAAAATAACAATACCTCACAATACATACAAACAGCACGTAACCTCCGGTTTATACATATCATAATTTTTTTGTTCTCGAAAAAAAAAAAAGAATCTGCTCTCTTACATCACTATGAAGTCATCATATCACTAACTGACGAAGTATTTACATTGGGCCCCTTCAACGAATCGTTGATATCCCGCCTGAACATCGACAAATTCTGCGTAAACCTACCAACAAAAAAATAAATAAATTAATAACATCCTCCCCTTAGATCATATACATATTGCTCCATTTCCGATTGCAACATGGTCATTTCTATAAGTGGAACAAAGAAAGATTATTAAAATGACAGTTGTCAGAGTGAAAAGTTGCAATGACACAAATATCACTCTTTCTTTTTTCTTTATAAGTGTCTAATGGTAGTTGTCTTTATCGTACCCATGGCAAATATAACCTATGTTGCGATCAAAAATGGAGCAATTGGCAGACCAAAACAAAGATAAATCTATGCAGAATTCCATAGAGCAAAAAAGAGAGTATAATTTAGGCATGTTGTAGATGTTGGCAACAGGAACGTAAATGTAATTCTTATGGCATTGATGCATCCACGTTAGTATATATGATCTAAGTTCATTATCCTCAAAGGCTTAAAACGTTTTATCGATTTTTGAGTGACCAACTTCACACTTGTCAATAATTATACGGTTTTGACAGGCCGCCATTTTGTGTGCGATTCTCTTTTTCTCTTCAGAACGAGCGACATCTGTTGACGCCTGGTGACATCTGATGACGACGATCTAAGATCCTCCCCTAACAATAAACAATTCACCAAAAATCCCCATCTTATCCTACCTATCCCTGTTCTTCGTCAGCAAATTCCTCTCGATGCCGTCCATGAGATTCTCGAACCATTGCGCCATGGCCGCCTGCTTGTCGGGCGGCTGGCCCCTGATGATGTTCTCGCGCATCCTGTTGAAATAGTCCTCGTTGAGCAGGATGAGGCCGAGCAGCGGCCGCGACATCGACCACTGGTTGCGGCAATCGTCGAACATGATCACGTTCAGGACGGTGCTCAGGATCTGCTGCAGGATCTCCGGGTGCATTTCCAACACCTTCAGGAACATGTCGCTGTTGGGCGCCATGCCGGCCCGTTGCTCCTTGCCCGGGTACACTGGAACAACGATTTTGGACGCTGAATTAGGAATTATTAGAAACGATTTACCGATTCGTATCGTCATAGAACAGTTCGGTACTCTGTTGTAGTACGTATATCGAGTTAAAGACGGTTCTAATTGATTCTGGCGCGTTCTAAACAGTTCTAAATGTTTTAGACAATTCTAAATGAATCTGGAAGGTTCTGAATGGTTCTAGTCGACAATTCTAAATGATTCTGGAACGTTCTAAATGGTTCTAGGCAATTCCAAATGAATCTGGAACGTTCTGAATGGTTCTAGTAGACAATTCTAAATGATTCTGGAACGTTCTAAATGGTTCTAGGCAATTCTAAATGAATCTGGAACGTTCTGAATGGTTCTAGACTGTTCTAAATGATTCTGGAACGTTCTGAATGATTCTAGACAATTCTAAATTAATCTGGAACGTTCTGAATTGTTCTAGACAGTTCTAAATGTTTCTGGAACGTTCTGAATGGTTCTAGAGAGTTCTAAATGATTCTGTGACTTATCGGAGAACAATTCGGCCTACTTTTATGGGAATAAAATTAGCTGCTACTCACCTTTTTGCGTCAATTGCTTGAATAGATAGGTCACGATGTGATCGAGAGTCGCGCAACATCCGGTGCAAACCATCGTATCTGAAATCAAATTGAATTAGTTCGAAATAACGACGCCAGAGCGAGCCTATAAAAATGTTATAAAAAATGATGACATTTAACAGCGAAACGTTCTGTATACTACAATTCGCTTACCTTTAACACATTTAGGACTAAATCGACTAAAGAAAAAAATATAGAAAAGGGGTCTAATAATGAGAATAGATAATAATATGAAAATAATAATGAAAATTCTGAACTATCTTCATACTTCATTCGCATGCAATTTCAAATCGAACGTTCCCGATGCAACAACGAAGCAAACGAATGTACAGGATGTCCCACGAGGACGCCTGCTGCATTTGTAGTGTTTTAATATTACAAGGGTAAGGTGAACACTTTCATATGTAAATTTACATTAGTCTTCTTATTAAGTAGAAATCTTTAGTTCTGGACAGTTTTAAAAGATTCTGGAGCGTTCTAAATGAGTACATAGCTATCTAAACAGTTCTGAAGCTTTCTAAACGGTTCTGAAGCGTTCTAAATGATTCTGGAGCGTTTTAAATGGTTCTAGACAGTTCTAAATGATTCAAGCTGCAAACTTTTCACCCTACCCTCGTATGTGATTAGAGTTAAATCCTCTTATCTAATCTGATTAAAACATTTACACACATAGTGTTGAAACAACCTACTTATACAATCCAATGATTACCAAAAAAGAAAATACTTACAATTAGTAGTACTAATAGAATTCATTATTTTACGATAAAATCTTTATAATAATGTATTTTCTTTTGTGATCAAATCAACAATAAATACCAGGTGACCTACGAAATGACAGGTTGACAGTAACCCTATTTTAACCAAGTAACTGTACAGTAAAAGGCCAACCTGTCACCTAACATCTAGTCACCCAAGCATCGTATACGTGCAACACAAAGGCGCTAACGTGTCAAAAAACGATACAACGCGCACAAAACAACGTCGATGCGGATCTTCTCACAAAAAAAAATTAAACAGTAAACCCTGTAAACAGATCCGCATAGCGTTCGATTCGGCGTCGACTAAAAAATGCATTCTCGTTGCCTGCACGATCGTTCGTCGTGCGTCCCTGTGTACTGCACGGACCTGTAAAATGATTTAGGTGCCCACCTAAGGCCGTTAATCCCTCCGATATCGACGACAATATGTAGAGGAACACCTGCGGCTCCAACGTCGACAGGAAACTCATGTGGTCCTGCGCCAGGCACTCCAACAGCACGTAGTACGTCTGCGACAGCTTAGGATAATCCTGGAAAAAAAACGGAAATATTATATTAAAGGGTCCAAAACTTCTGGGATTTACGTTGAGAAATAGACGATTCGTGCTAAGCGATACGCCCTCTGGCGGATAGTCTAAGAACCGAGCTAAGAGTCAGTGTGCAGCTATTGTCTTTGTTGTTGTTTATGTTTATTTCAGATCAATTTACCAGTAAATCCGATTGGGAAATCGACAGCAACAATTTGACGAATATATTCAAAGCGTTATCCAAGGCTTCGTCGCCGTACAATCGAAACACCCCGAAGTTCACGTAACTACCACAGAGGGCGGCCTTCAGCATCGAAAAACATATCGAGATGCCCTTCAATTTCAACGGGTACGTTTGCTCTTTGGCCACGTCTACGTTTAATATTCTACTACCTAAAAAAAAGAAAAGAAAAAAAAACGATTAATAATTAATGTGTATAGGCAATCGTATTTTTCGGAAGGCTCACCGTAACTACAAATAATTTTACTAGCTTCCCTAAACAACAGAATGCCGTTGGGCGATGAAACGTCGAATTGCAATCGTTGCGATCTATTTTGTACTAATTCAGCGAACAGCTTCAATACGGGCGTGGTCACTTGCGGTTCGTGATACCACAATTCTATCGCTCTAAGCAATATCGGCGTGTAATTCGGATAACTATCCATAAAACGTTAAGGAAAAACCATCGTAATTATTGATCGCGCCTCGTACACGCCTAAACGCTTCACAAACGAGGGTTGTTCGATACTTCATGATGTGAATATTTGGGTGATTTTAAGAAGAAAAGTTTATATCGATGTATGTCCTAAACCTATTAGTTTTCGAGCTACAGGATGTTGAAATTTTACATCTATTAATATAAACTTTTCTTCTTGAAATAATCCAAATATTCACATCCCAAAGTATCGACACTCAATTAATTAATACCCAGCACAAACGCACTTTAATACAGCACGTTTCGTTCGAAACCTCTTCGATTACAAATAAAAAAAAAGGATACATCCAATCGAACAGCATCATATAAGAGGTTTTGGTATTGAACGAAAACGCCAAACCCCTCAAATCCCTAGCCAAGCCGATGAGCGCCTTCTTGGCCTCGTCGGAGGCGAACAACGGCGAATCCGCGGACGCCAACATCGTACCGATACTTTCGAAAGAAGCTACAACAGAAAAAAAAATAACCCTTAATTATCGATCGAACCTCGTATACGCGAACGAAGCTACAACAGAAAAAAATTATACAGATTGCTCCATTTTTTCATTACAATATAGGCTATGGGTGCAACAAAGACAACTTCAATTAGACACTTAGACACTCAATTAGGAAAAAGAAAGAGTCTTTTCACCCCGACAACTGTCATTTTAATAATCATTCTTTGTTCAACTAATAGAAATTCTCATGTTGCAATCGCGAATGAAGCACGGTGTATATATATCGATCGAACCTCGTACAAAATACGAGGGACGATCGTAAAATATAAAATTACCAGTACCGGTAAGCGGTAACATGAACGTATGGAATCGATCCTCGTCCTCGCCCAAATCGACCATCAGCAATCGACCCAACGACGTGTAGAACATCGAACGGCATCGCATCTCGGCGACGGCCACCGAATTGCCGAGGAACGGGAAATGCTCGCTCGTGTGATTGTTCAACATGAATTGCACCTCGTCCAATTTCACCAATTTCCTCACGCAACTGTAGCCCACCGACAGATCGTTCAACAGTTGCAACGTCTTGCTGATTATCTGCTCGCTGCGGCCCCAATATTTCAAATTCGTTATGCTGAAACGTTGTCAATCGATTAGTTTTTTTCGATCTCGGTTAAATCTCGTACGCAATACCCGCCATTTTATCGTACAAACAAACGACGTACAAAATGGCGGTTTCGGAACAATATAATTACATTTTCCTAATAAAAACGCTAAGTACGGTGGCCTCGTCGTTGAGACCCAACGCCTCCGACAATCTCCTGTAGACCTTCGAATTCTTCTGCACCTGATCGCCCACGTAGATCTTTCTAAAAGCCTCGAAGAAACTCAACATGGCCAATTCTAATTTCTCACAGCCGCCTTGCACCAATCGCGAATCCGTCAAATTCATGAGCTGCAGTACTCGACAGACGAGCTCGCCGTCCATCGTATCGTGCTCCTCGTTACTGTTGAACGACACCCGACCGCCTATCGCCGAACTGATTATGTACACCAGCCACGTTAATTGACCTACAATACAAAAAAAAAGCAATCAGTACTACTACAACTACTTCTCGCAGCCAATATACGAACCCTCTTGCACTGTAATCTCCATCCTTTGGCCGGGATTGCCGAGCAACTCCGAGTAACTTCGAACGGCCTGATCGAACAGTTGCACGAGCAACACGCAGGTCTTTTGGTACTCGCACCGACCGATCACCGACAACTGTTCCAATTGCTGTTGTACCATACCCAAATCGTCCAAAGGATCTTCGAGACCTTCTCGAACCACAACGGTGACCGATTCCAATCGGGACGTTATGTAGGCGTTGGTCACTTCGGGCGTGTAGGTTTCCAACAGGTGAGGCTCGGTGGCCTTGACGTACGGCACCGAAGCCACCATTCGCTGCCACAGGCTGAGCAAATAGTGCACGCTGTTCGGCGCGAATTGCCACATCCGCAGGCTTTGCACCGTAAACTTGGCGATGAGCTGTATGGCCTCGGGGTAGTTGTCGACCATGACGAGCTCGCCCAGCTGATAGTTGGACTTCAATCGGGCCAACAGCCGGCAAAATTCGTGGTAGTTGGCCGGATCGCTGAGCCCTTGCGGGTTCTGCAGGATGTGCTTGACGCCGTTGACGAGGTGCGTGAGAAACTTGGCCCGTTCCGTGTTGCTGAACAGCGACCGTCGCACCGAGGCGATTTGCACCAGACACGACAGCGCCAACGACGACAGCGTGTTGGGCAACGAATGGTACAGATCGAAGAACAACTTCAACGTGGTGAAGTCCAAAAAGGCCGGCCTCCAACTCGTCGGTATTTGGACGGTGCACAGATCGTCCGACGATTCGTCCGTCGAGGTGCCGATGAAATCGAACGTGAGACAATTCTGGGCGAGCCTCAACAGCTGCGTCATCAGGCCGTGCTGGCTCTCGTCGTTGAAATTCAAATTTTTACAATTCTCCCGGGCGTTGCCCAGCAACGTGCAGGACAATCGGAATATCTCGAACAACTGGGTATCTCTAAACGACGAAGCTATTTTTCTGTGTTTCGTGAGCGATCGGTTCGCTTCCACTTCCGATATCTGGTTCATTTCGCACGTCAACTGCGACAGCAACTGTACGCCTATCATGCAATGCTCCACGGAGCCCTAAAAAAGATGCTCAATTCGTATCATCAACGGTAAATAATCGATCGATAACGATTTTACCTGGAGGAATTTACCGATGTCGGCTACGACGTTTCGAAACACGAATTCATCCTTGTGCGAATCGAACCAGCCGAGCTTGGTGATACGAGCGAACAGCGTGACGAGCGCCTGCAGCACGAAATTGGGCAGCTTCGGCCTCGTCGCCAGGTAATTCAGCACGTAGTTTCGGATGTCGACGCGTTGCTGGAGGCTCAGGCCGTGGGCCGGTCGCGACACGAGCTTGGTCAAGGTGGTGGCCGCGAGGAGTTGGGCGTAGGAGGAGTCGCCGCGATCGAGGAGCACCTGGCACTTGGTCAGGGCGTCCGGCCCCGTTTGGAATATGACTAACGTCTTTTCCGCATCCTCTCTGACGTTGGTGTCTTGGGATTCGTACAGTTGCTTGCAGAACAATTCCAATTGTCTTATCTCCTGGCGGATATGAAAATGCGTTAAGTACAGTCATACTTGAACCAGTACGTGCGCTATTAGTGCATTTGAACCGTTGATACGGTTAAGTAAATTATAGTTAATTGAGTTTTGTTGGATACCAACCTGTTCGTCAGCCATTTCCGTCTTGGTTCATTTGGATATTTCGGGTTATTATGGCTGTAATCTCCGATTCGATGGTGACTTAAATGGAACCGGATTATGTCCCGCAATCGCCTCAATTCCACAACACAACCTCCACTCGAAAAAACAACGCAAATTTCATGTTATAGCCATCTACAACTCGGTCGTAGCGCCAAATTCAAAATCGCTGCGATTAACGGCTGTAATTCGGGCGTTTTGAATGAAAGATCGTACTTCGGCCGTTTCGACGGTTAATTTGGGAGAATTTGGGCGGTTTTAGACTGATTTTTCGTTCGAAAACGCCGAAATATATCGAAAAATTTCAATCCGGTCGGGCCGGTTGATTTTTGACGTATGTCAATTGTCAAAACTGTCAATAATAGAGCAAACGATACCAAGGTCGCAATACATGATAAGGATTGATCAACGTCATTCTTCTTTTTTTAGGTAATTCGAAATATTAATAAGGTATACAGCCAATAATAAATCCTAAAGCTAATTAGATATTCCTTTTATTATTAATCAGTACAAAATAAGGGAAACAAACGATGCAAAATTCGTTATTTATTGACTTTGGAGGCGACGTTGAACGGCGTAAACACCTCGTAATCGGCCACGGTGAAATTGTATTCGCCCATCAGCACCGAAGGGGAAGCCCCGTCGCCGTCGTACGTGTGAGGCAAGTTGGAATAACTGTCCATGTTCATGTTACAATTGCTGGATATCAGCAAATCCGCGCCCGCCCCGAATATCGGCCCCGAACTGCAAACACAACGAGCGCATTAATTCCCAATTCGAGTACCACTAACTTCGACAATCCACTCACTCGGGATGGTAGCAGATAGCGAACGGTTTCTTCACCAAATGGAACTGAGTCGGAGACACGTCTTGGTGATTGTACAGGGTGAATATAAAAGCTCGTTCGGAATGTATGTAATGGCTCTTCCCCTGCGGCCTGCCCCACACGGCGTCGCTGAAACCTCCGCATATCTCACCCCGGGTACCCTGAAACGTTTCGATACCATCACATAAATACTTTACACTAGTTAATAGAGTACCGCTCACCAAAACGATGACGTACGTGGGCGACACGCTATCGCAGTGCCTGTGAAACGTCGCCGCCGAATAGCCGTGGCTGCTGGCCCGATAGACGAGCCTCCAGCTCTGGCGGGCGTTGCCGTACCAGGCGTTCAGTATGCGCTGGAAGTGGCTCTTGTCCTGGCCGAGGATCGTCGAGCCGGGAAACGTGTGGGGCGATATGCGCGGCTTCAGCCGCTGGTCCTCCGACGCCTCGGGGTACTTGCTGGGCAGCGCGGCGTGCCGGTAGCGTTCCAGGCTCAGCTCCATCGGCACGGCGCCCGTCGGTTCCACCTCTTCGGCGAACACTTGGCTGTCTGAGTGAGAAATTTGTGACTACTCTGCGAGTGTTAAGCGACTGGTTTACCTATGAGTAAGAGTCGCACGTGTTTGATGACCAACGATAGGTGTTGGCAAACTCTGGCGCGTTCCTCCTCGGTCCAATGGGCTGTTGGTTGGGTGACGCCCGCTTGGTATTTGGCCCAGTTGAGGACGGCCCTCCAGACGTCTTCTTCTTCTAAACACAACTGCAATGTGGACATTATAGGAGTTTTGTGTTGATTCGTACAATGGGTAAATTGCTCACGTAATCGGACGATATCACTTTGATTACAGCTTCTTTGGGTAGGCTCAGAAACGAGTTGGTTCGGACGCATTCCGAGGCGTTTTCGCCCACGAAGCTGACGCATCTTTCCACGAAACCAGAAGCAGCTTTACCGCCTGAAACACATTCGATCTATTACAAAACATACTCGAAAACAAACCAACATAATTATAACTACATTAATACAATTAATCTCGTAAGAAAGCACTTTTTATTCACCAAAAACCTTATCAACTATCTAAACAAATTGTGTGTTTAGGATCGTAATACAACTAAGTTTAAATCAAGTCTTTCGGATGTTTTTTGGGAGTTTCGAGTTAAGGATCCGGTTTGATGTTTTGTATGACGGTAATGTTGTCGCCTTTGAGCATGATCCTGCCCAACGGGCGTCGGTTCTTGGTCTTCAGGTAAACCTCCTCGGCGTCGTCGAGCACCAGGTTCATGTACTCGTCGAAGCCGACTATGTGGCCTTCGATGCGCAGCCGGACGTTCTCGTACAGCCACACCTGCACTCTCGAGCGATTCTGTAGGTAGCGGAATATCAGGTTGATCGGTTGCACCATCACCTTTTGGACCTTTTGCGGTTTGTAAGCCATGATTTTCGATCGTTTGGGATTCGTTTGAGTTAACCTATAAACACCCCGAACGCCAAACAAGTTGATTTGACTTTTGACAGTAATGGCAGTTGACGTTTCGGCGTTACCGATTAGGAACGAAGGTTTGTTCGTTTGTACAAAATTGTCACTAATTTCCGTGAAATTGTAGTCTGTTAATATTTTGCATTACTTTTATTAACACAGGAATCATTGATTAATCTTGTTACGGAATCACATTAATTGTAAATTTATAAAATGAGCATTTTAGAACTGAACTGAAGTTGGTTACAGTTAATTCTTCATCTTTGTATTGATGCCTCAGCTGCTTAGGCTATTCGGCCTAATATATTCATGTATTATTAACGTATAAATGGCGTATTTCGCAATTATTTTAAGCTTACCCGGCGATTTATCGTGTATATCCATAGCGGCGGACAGGAACGTGCATGCGCTCGGAACGGACAACGTAGAAGTCACGTGATCTTCGCAGGCGTTGCGCAATTCGTCGACGCCCAATTCCTGAGCTAGGGCCATCATCTCGAACACCCCGTTGTCTTGCAGAAGAATCTGCCGAGCAATTGTAAACGAAATACGGAATTAATTTCTACTCGCGGCCTTCGCTACAAGAGGTATTCAGCCACGCCTTCGCAATACTCGCACTGAATAGCCCCGACAGCTGAGGTCTCAAAGTAAATTAAGTAAAGAAGAAGAGGATCGGTGAAATACCTTTCCGGTGTAGACGTACAACAGGAACTGTTTGAACGTTTCGGGGGCCGTTTGGGGTAACCTGATGGGCGTGGGAGTCCCCGGCGCCGCCGGTGATACACTGCAGCCGGGTATCCGGCATATCTCGCCGCGCTTCGCCTTCTGGAAGCTCCTGCATCTGCGAAAAACACGACAGTTGTCTATCTGTCAAGATGGCGACGCTCGTTCGGGGGATTTACCTGGCCATTAGGATGACGCGATGCGCGTGCACCCGTTCCTCGTCCCGGCCCAGCACGAACACCACGTCCGCCGAATCGGTGTCTTGCAGCAGCTGTTGGAGATCGTCGAGCAGCCTCGGGACGCCGGCCAGGGCCTTGTCGCCCGGCAAACCGGCCCCCAAGCCGCCTATCCGAGTGCCCATTTAATTCTAAATACAACCGGCAACGTCGCACTACCAGTACCTTAAATAATAAATGATAGAATACTATTAGAATACCTACTGCTACTTCTCGATATTAGCGATTATAATAAATCAAAAGGATATAAAAAAAAACGTTTTTTTTTAAATCTCTACTTACGTTCGATTCAATTTTTGCAAATAAACGGGTTGGCTGTGGAAGAAATTCTCGGGGCACACAGTCGACTGGGATCCGCGCGTTTCTGCTTGCGGTACTCTTCCTTGCTCTTCATTTGCCGGCGCGAGTTAAACGAAGAGAGATGCAGGTGTGTGATTCAGGTAAAACAGGTACCACAGGTAGGTTTACTGCCCTCGGTGAAAAGCGGCGTTGCCGGATCGGTAAAATTTCCGCGAAAATGCGTAAATGTAACGAAGGGCATAGAAAAAGTGTGTTTTGTGCTATTTACCATTGCAACATTCAGCTAGTAATTTAGTACGTTCAAAAAATACACGAGTAGTTCAAGATTATTACAATTTCTTCTTCTTTTACAATAGAAATGAAAGCTATACACATAAAGTAAAAGACCATTAACTGTTGACTTTAGCATCTGTCAACGTGAACTGTCAAATGTAATTGCAAATTTGTTTTGTATGTGCATTAGAGTGATTTTTTTGAAAACATTTTCGTTATATTTATGCATTCGCAAGTAGTTTTAGTCGAATATGGATAAAAATAAATCGGAATCTTTCATTTTAAGCCTCAACGACATCGGTCAGAAGATATGCACGTCTCAAAGCGAGCCAAATAAAAAGTAACAGACACCTAATGAAACGACTAAATTTGTTCGTTTAACGATTCATTTTTAGATATATATTAGACGACGACGGCAACATGACTGAATATTTTCCTCAAGACTCCCTTTCCAGCGTTAAAATCGACCAGCAATGTACCGTAAGCGAAGAGGACAGCAACGATACAAATCACAGCGATAACCAGAATATCAACTCATTAGAATATCCCACGCATTTGGGTATAATAAAATCCTTTAATACATCAATAGATCGATAATTCAACGTTATTTTAAAGGTATAATGAACTCCCTAGACAGCGTTACGGAATTCGAGGAGAATCTAATGAACGAGCTGGACTCCGACTTAATGAACCTCCAGTCACAATACATAATGCAACACATGGACATCAGGGAGCCCTTGACGAAGTTGAGGAAACTTATCGAAAATAGATTAGGCGTGGGGTTGCAGGGATACGTTTTCGCTCTACAGGGTGTACAAATTGTACGTGAATTAATCGATATATGTTAGTTAGGGATGTTAATTAGCAGTCTTTCATAGCTCGAAGACGATAAAAATTTAGTGGACCAGTGCGTACAAGGCGAGGGTTTAGTCCAAATCAACGTGCAAGTACAGACGAATTTGAAACGGATAAATATCATCGATGTATTGAAACCGGCCGAAGATTACGTACATATCGGTTAGTCGATAAACTACTCGTTGAGTTAATTCATTCGTTGATCGTTTTGTTTAGAAGATGCCAAAGAGGAGGATCAAAAAGAGAGCGACAGCGAACCGGAGAAAACCCTCGAAACGGTCGACAAACCCAAAAACATCGTTCAATGGCAAGTCGACGTGAACTACAAGAAGGAACAGGAACGATTGAAAATCCCTTCGGATCCCAAAGATTGGTGAGCCGCGCGACCCTAAGCTCAAAGGCCGCAATGACGTCACGCTCGGTGTAGTGACGTCACTCTAGCAGTGACTAATCCGATTTCGGGTGTATTTCAGGAGCACCCTGCACGTGCGCCATTGGATCCAATGGGCGGTGCGACAGTTCAATCTCACCGATATCAAATTGAGCGACTGGCACATGGACGGCGGTCGATTGAACGGGCTGACCATCCAGGATTTCCAGAAAATCGTCCGCACCGATCCGGGCGACGTTTTCTGGACGCATTTGGAGTTGCTGAGGAAGATGAAGGTCGTCGGTAAGTCGCCTCGTTAGCGAATCGAACGAACCCCGATTACAAATACGTTTTCTCGACAGCTACGAAGAAAGAGCCACCTAAGCGGATCATACCGAAAGTAATCAAAGTGAACAAGGTAATTATACTTATCGGCCTGTAATTAGCGCGTCTGTTTAGCTTTAGAGTGGCTCTAAAGTCACGTCTTTAACTTGACAGTTTTACATTGTTGTTATGGAGTAACTAAGGAGATTCTTTCATTTTTGACAGTTTTACATTGTTTGTTATGGAGTAACTAAGGAGATTGTTTCATTTTTGACAATTTTACATTGTTGTTATGGAGTAACTAGGGATTCGAGACGCGACTTTAGAGTCACTCTAAAGTTAAACAGAAGCGCTGAATATGGGTCAATCTATTTAAAAACTAGGAGGAGCGATTTGAATTTATGTTGGCAACACTCGCGCTTACAAATATTCTAGTAACTTTGCTCCTTCTAGTTTTTAAATAGAGTATAGATCGAATAAAGAAGCGCTTCGAGATCGTGTAAGTTGTTTGATTACAGCCGGTGAAGAAGGACTTGAAAATCCTGAATTATTCAACGAACGTGCGTTACTTCGATCCTTCTACTTACACAACGGGCAACAACAAAACGGGCAGCAACGGGCAAATCCAGCTGTGGCAGTTCCTGCTCGAGTTACTCACGTCTCGCGAATACAAAACCGTCATACAATGGATAGGTTGTTTGTTTACAACCCATTATTATTCACGATTCATTAACTATAGCGTCTTTTCGAAACAGGTAAAGACGGCGAGTTCCGCCTGAATCATCCCGAAGTGGTGGCGCATCTCTGGGGCGAGAGAAAGAACAAACCGACGATGAACTACGAGAAGCTGTCGAGGGCCTTGCGGTACTACTACGACGGCGATATGATATCGAAGGTGCACGGTAAACGGTTCGTCTACAAGTTCGTCTGCGATCTGAAGCAATTGCTCGGCTACAGCGCCGTCGAATTGGCCAATTTGGTCAAGTACGGTTGTCCCGATGAGAAATGAACCTGGTCCTGTGATATTTCGGTTTTTCGGATGTTCGCGTCGAATGATTTATTGTACCTCAATAAGCTCGTCAAATATCCGAAAATACGACAAATTACTCAAACAGTTATCTAACTGTTTGAGATAAGATTATCGTTTTCGCTCTATTTGTGGAATTTGTACTGTAACTGTTGTAAATAAGAGATTAGTTTAATTTAAAGTTCGTGCGTTTTTTAAAATGACTGAAACGTCATTTTTAGTCATTTCCATATAGTTCGAAATTTCCATCCAAAGTGCCATCGTTAAAATGATTTTGGAACTTTATAAATGATTTTAGACGGTTCTAAATGATTCTAGAGCGTCCTAAAATGATTTTGGAGCGTACTAAAATGACTTTGGAGCGTTCTAAATGATTCTGGAGCTTTCTAAATGATTTTGGAGCGTCCTAAAATGATTTTGGAGCGTCCAAAAATGATTTTGGAACGTTATGAATGATTCCAAATGGTTCAAAATGATTTCAGAACGTTCTAAAATGATTTTGGAGCGTACTAAAATGACTTTGGAGCGTTCTAAATGATTCTGGAGCTTTCTAAATGATTTTGGAGCATCATAAAATGACTTTGGAGCCTTCAAAATGATTCTGAAGCGTTTTAAATGATTCTGAAGCTTTCTAAATGATTTTGGAGCGTCCTAAAATGACTTTGGAGCGTTCAAAATGATTCTGGAGCGTTCTAAATGATTTGGGAGCGTTCTAAATGATTTGGGAGCGTTCTAAAATGACTTTGGAGCGTTCTAAATGATTTTAGACAGTTCTAATTGGTTTTAGACAGTTCTAAATGATTTTGGAGCGTTCTAAAATGATTTTGGAACGTTATGAATGATTCCAAATGGTTCAAAATGATTTCAGAACGTTCTAAACGAACGCAAATGTTTCGATTCCTATCGAGGACATCTTCAGGTGGCCATTTCAGCGATTTTTTGTCGTTTCATCATTTCATTTTCATAAATTAAACATTGATTGTTTTAACATGACTAAATCTACTGTACACAAATCGTTCGCCTTCGACTCGACACGAACGCATTTCGAAAATCGTTTAAAACAGATATTTGCGATAAATAAATATTTGCGTTGCCATGTTGTGTAATTAGCGAAACGTGGGAACGCGTCGAGCCGGCGAATTTGATAAAAAAAAAATGCGAACGAAAAACTCGGATCGTTTCATTTCGCACGAGCATCCCGCCGGATGCGATCGAAGTCAATAAATTCATTCCGTTTAATCGATCTTTTTCGATCTACTTTCCGCGCCATATTTGCCCGGCGAACGTCACCGGTGCGATTCTAATCTTAGTAATCTTCGACAAACTTGTTTTGTCGACGCGCTACCAGTATAAAAAAACCGGCCCGAAAAGCGATTAATCCAATTCGAAGGTACTCTTCACCCACGCCTAACATGTGAGTGTCACCAAACAGGCCCCCCGAAACGCGCTAGCCATGAAGTCGAGTCTCGACGCGAGCCGGTTCTACAGGAACTCCTTGTACCAATACTACTCCTGCTTCACCGGTAAGTACCCATCGACCTCTACAATCGGTCCGTTACCCGTCGATTTTCCAGCCACCCTGACGTTCGTCGTCAGCGGCATGCACTACAGCTGGACGTCCCCCTCGCTGCCCGCCCTGCTGGCGGCCGATTCGCCGGTGCCGGTCACGGAGAGCGACGGCTATTGGTTGGCCAACATGCCCATGTTCGGGGCGGTGGCCGGCAGCCTGTCGGCCCCTCTGCTCGTCGACCTCCTGGGCCGGCGCAGGACCATCATGCTGTGCTCCGTCCCGTACATACTCTCTTGGATCATGATCCTGTTCGCCGGCAGGATCGAGCTGATGCTGGCGGCCAGGTAAGAGCCTCATAACGCGCTCCGCGAGCCTGAGTGATTAGATTTCTCGGTCGGTAGGTTCATAGCGGGCATCTCGGACGGCTGGGGATTCTCCGCCGTGCCGATCTACATCGGGGAAATCACCGAGCCTAAGATCCGGGGATTGTTCGGTTCGTCGGTCAGCGTCGCTTATATTCTCGGCATGTTGCTGATCAACATCGTAGGCTCCTACTGCACCGTCAGCCAAACAGCTTTGATATCCTGCTGTTTACCAGTCGCTCTGCTGGTCGCCGCCAAAACGATACCCGAATCTCCCTACTTTCTCATCATGAAAGGCAACACTGCAGGTAAACCTGTCGGATTATGTAGAGTAGTTGAAAAGTTCCAATCGATTATATTCCGCAGGTGCTAAAGAGAATTTGCGGTTGCTACGAGGCCGTTTCGACGTGGACGAGGAGACCGCCAGGATACAAGGCAACATCGAAAAGGACGCGTCGATCAAAACCAATCCGACGGCCCTTCTGACGGTCCCCGCCAACCGCAAGGCCTTCCTGGTGCTCGTCCTGTTGAAGTCCACGCAGGAGCTGAGCGGCGACTCGGCCATCGCCTTCTACACACAAAGCATCTTCAAGGAAGCCGGCAGCGACATGCCCGAGCAGCTGGCCGCCATCGTGTTCTTCTCGCTGGAGCTGCTGGTGACCGCGGTGGCGTCTGGCGCGGTCGACCGGATCGGCCGGCGGCCGCTGTTGATCTTCTCCGTGTGCTCGGTGAGCGCCACGCTGCTGGCCGAAGGCGGCTACTTCTACGCGAGGAACTGCACCGCGTGGGACGTGAGCGGCCTGACGGCGGTGCCGCTGGCGGCGCTGTTCGCGTTCGTCGTGTGCTACAGCTTGGGCTTGAAGACGATACCGATGCTGATGCTGGGCGAGGTGTTCCAGCAGGACGTGAAGGCGGTGGCGTTGTGCGCCGGCGATCTGTACGCCGTGTTGATGGTGACCAGCGTCACCAAGGTGTTCCAGGTGACCAAGGACGCCTACGGGATGCACGTACCGTTCCTGTTCTTCGGCGCCTCCTGCGCGGCGCTCCTGGTGCCCGTCGTGTTGTTCGTGCCGGAGACCAAAGGGAAAACCTTGCAGGAGATCCAGAACTACTTCAATTCGCAAACAAAGACTGTTAGAGTTTAGTTGTAATAAATTTTTTTTATAACAAGATATATAAGTTTTCGTTGAATTTTCTAATCGAATTCGAGCCGGCGGAAGCTGCCCGATATGCTGCCCGAGCCGGTGGGATCGTCTTTGGGCGCGCTCCTGCGCGTCACGATGCCCTCGTCGGTGAGCAGCTTCATTCGATCGAAGGACATCAGCCGGTTGCGCTTCGATTGCATCTCGTCCTTCCACAGGCTGATCATCTCGTCGGCGGGCACGAGGCCGCCGAGCTCCAGCGGCAGGCAGCGGGCGCCGAGCTGCTCGTGCAGCTTCTCCAGCGATTCGTCCATCTGCGAAATTCCGCCGCTCGTTATATTTTACTCTAGCGAATCGTCGAATGAATTTTACCCAAATGCGGTTCCTCAATTTCGACGTGATCAGGCTCTTGGTCGCCTCGAAAACGTACCGGGCTATCGTCGATAGGCTCGTCACGGCGAACAGCTTGTGCCTCATCGGAAACGATTGCTGTAAACACGGTAAGTAAGAGACCGATTAGCCTGATAGAAAATTGCTTGTAGAAGAGATTGTACCAGGAATGGTGTAGGTTTGTGAAGCTAATCTGCTGCACGCATAAGGTTTGGTTGCTTCCTAAAGGTAACCTGATGCATTCAGAAGGGAAGGTATAAGATAGAGTAGTCTTATAAAGGCAACCTGATGCATTCAGGAGGGAAGGTATAAGATAGAGTAGCCTTATAAAGGTAACCTGATGCATTTAGAAGGGAAGGTATGAGATGAAGTAGCTTAATAAAGGTAACCTGATGCATTCAGAAAGAAGGTATAAGATGGAGTAGCTTTATGACATTTAGAAGGGAAGGTATAAGATGGAGTAGCTTTATGAAGGTAACCTGATGCATTCAGAATAAATGATAGGATTGGGTAGATGGTAGATGTATTGAGTTCTACTGATGAAGTTATTAGAGTAAAATGAGCTACTCAAATAAAACCGTTGAGGCATTCTTAAAGAGATAATCCCAAGAATTGTGAAGCTATATACACCAATATAGTACAACCAGAAGATACGAAAGACCTTGAACAAGAGACAGCTCGACAACTGACACTTGACATATATGAATTGGCTTCCTTACCTCGCCCCATTTGATCAGATATCCGAAGTCCTTGGTGTAGAACAAGGGTATGAGGGCGGGCGAGACGTTTCCTGCTTGAAGGACGTGGGTCACTCCCATCACCTGACAATCCTCGTCCTCCAGCAGCGTTTCGAAGGTAACGGCGTCGGCTCGCTGTATGTCCAAACCGGTAACGGTCGTCACGTCAATGGCGCCTGAAAATTGCATCATCGAATAAACGGAAAAATTAGGGAGAGATACTAAGCGAAACTTACTGAAATTGTACAAAACCACCCTCCTGCCGTGACGGTCGCGGAACGGGCTCGCGTAAATGTACCTGGAAACGATTGGGTTGGTACTACCGATATTTGAATATATACAGGGTGGCCCAGAACTCACGCCACACCGGGAAAGGCTTTATGGAAACGACAATGGAGATGCTAAAACTGTTGTCAAAAACATGAAAAGTTATTCCTTTGGTATATAAAGAGGTTTAAAATTGACCAATCCCAGTAGGAATTCAAATCAACGAAAATGACGTGAATTAGCTATACACCAATTTGACATTCCTACCGGATTTAAATTCCTACCGGGATTGGTCGATTTTGAACCTCTTTATTTACCAAAGAAATAACTTTTTCCTGCCTTCGACTGCAGTTTCGGTATCTCCATTGTCGTTTCCATAAGGCATTTCACGGTGGGGCGTGAGTTCTGGATAACCCTGTATAAACAGCGTTGCCAAACTTACCCTTTTTCTATTAAATCCAACGTTTTCGGTTCGGTGTAGTCCAAATTGCACAGCACGGACGGGAACATTTGCCGGAAGTTAAGATACTTCAACAGCGTCTGCTGCGCCATCGGTATGCTGTATTTTCTGGCTCGCAGGAATCTCAATAGGAAATTATCATCTGCAAAATAATTGACGTTTGACATACGACAGTTGTTGTATGACGCGAGGGCGTGATACCATCCATATTGGACGTTTGATGAGGATATTGAGGATTAAAAAATGGATAGTGTAGATACCTGTTATGCAATTTTCGATGTGGGGGTTTTGTTGTATCCAATTCTTCAATTGCTTCAAGCATTCGTTGCGCGCGCTTTCGGTTTCTCTCAGCTCGATTTTCTCCTCGTTGTACAATTGGCTTTCGATCAGATTCTGCCTATCGATCAGCATTTGATTTTTTATCATCGAAATCTCCATGTTAAACTCGCACTAGTCGCAACTTCACTAGAAACTTCTTTCTCTTCGCCTTCGGGTGGTACTCTCGCCGAAACGAATTTAAATGTCGTTTGAAACGGATTTTCGACTAATTTTCCAAGCTAATTAAAGGCTAATTATGCAGCGCTTTCTCGGGGCGCATACATCGAACGCAGCAACGTCACCGATCCGATAATACGTATTCTTTTTTTGGAATCGGAAGTACCGGCTATCAATAATCGATTAACGATTAGGTTTTAATAATTCTGCTGGAAAAATCACGTTCGAACATAATTTGCTTATCGCCTCGCATATAATAAAACTGCAAAAGCAGGGACACACGTGATTGATTCATCGATTGATTAAAATGACTCACGTGGGATTTGTTTAATGTATATACATTATATAATTCGATTTGTTAATACACACACGTGTAATGTAATCCATCTACAAACGCTTTATTCAATTATTTACAAAGTAATAAAAAATACCTTAATCGTTATTTCTATTGAATGGTATTCGTTTGAACAATTAAACAAATTATCTACTAACTGTCACGTTATTACATATACAGGTTGCTCCATTTTTGATCGCAAAATAGGTTATATAGGCCATGGGTGCGATAAAGACAACTTCCATTAGACACTTACAAAGGAAAAGGAAAGAGTGACATTTGTGTCATTGCAACTTTTCACTCTGACAACTGTCATTTTAATAATCTCTCTTTGTTCCACTCATAGAAATGACCATGTTGCAATCGGAAATGGAGCAAGGTGTATACATACACCGGCAAATTTAAAGGAACAGATTGAAAATGTAATATATTTCTATATTTTATTGTCTTATAGTCTATATCTAGGTAGCTATCAAGGTTCCTAAATAAAGGTATTAAAAATGTGTTTTATTTTGATAGTTAAGATAATTTCGATTATTTTTTGTTTTATATTTTTGACTCTATCTTTTAAAATAAAGTGGCGGGCGATGTTTGAATAGTTTGACAAATAAATGGTAATAACTTTTAAACGGCTGGACCGATTTTCAAAAAAATGAAATTGTTGAAAAGGGCTTTCTTTGGTCTATAATTTGCACTATATAAGATATTATTTTAATTGCTTGCTTGACCGCAAGACGGCGTTTTCCGGCATTACTTCAAGAAACACCGATTTTCTCGGCTTCATAATAGAGAAAATAATTGGATTTTATATCTGTTCCTTTAAACATGCCGGTGTGTGTATGTGTGTATTTAGAAAACGATTAAGGATTCATTAAATTCTTCCTATTTCTCCTTTATCAGCGTTCAAACGGACCGTATCGCCAGTAGTGAAGCGTTTCGTGGCGTTTTTCACGCCCACGATGCACGGCAAACCGTATTCTCTCGCCACGACAGCGCCTAAAACAACAACATCACGCGTTTGTAACGCCTATCGCAACCATCCGGTACCGTTCTAACGACCTACCGTGCGACACGAGACCGCCCAATTCCGTCACGACGCCGCTCAGCATCGGAAAATACGGCGACCACCCGATATCGGTGCTGTAAGTCACCAAAACGTCGCCTAAAAAAAATCGATTTTCATCCAAACACATCGATGAATCCACTCATCTTGTCATCTGTCATATGTCACTCGTCATCTGTCATATGTCACTCGTCATCTGTCATCTGTCACTTTAGTGACGCCCAGTTTTGTCATCTTTATAGATTGAATTTCTTTTGTACCTGTTTGGAGTAGATGTATGTCGCCGAGGCTGTTGATGACGCAGGCCCGGCCTTCTGCGACGCCCCCGCAGACGGTGGTGCCCTTGCAAAGGTCGCTCGATGTTCGATGGTGCGATGGGAATCGATCGTCTTCGGCGTCCGGGCGGGGATCGCCGAACATTATTTCCGGGAATCGCAATTTGTTCCACTTGGGGTACAATTTTTGGCGTCTGGTGGCCCTGGAATTGAAGCGTTTGAAGTTGGGACATATTCGTCTATGGAGAGGAATCTACCGCAGAAGGATCATTTGGACGAGGATATGTTGGAGTAGGACGTTCTGAAGAAGTATCTACTGGAAGACAGTTGATTAGATGATTAGATCTACTTCGGAAAATTCTATTGAACGAACACTCTCTTGGAGAATCTATTGAACAGAAATCTACTGCAGAAAAATCTATTGGACAAGGATTTGAGGGAGTCGAAATCGTCGAATCGTCTGATGAAGATTATACTGGAAAAAATAGATAGGAGAAAAGAATCTACTGGAGAAGGATCTAGTGCAGAGAATCCCCTTAGAAGAATCTACTGTAGAAGAATCTACTGTAGAAGAAACTACTGTAGAAGAATCTACTGTAGAAGAATCTACTGTAGAAGAATCCACTGTAGAAGAATCTACCGTAGAAGAATCTACTATAGAAGAATCCACTGAAGGAATATGTTTGAATGATCCACCAAATACCATCAAAAACCCACACTTTAAGAGAGTTCTACAACAGCGAGATCTTACTCTTACTTTGTGATCAAACTGGGGCTTCTTCCCGCCAATACGGTGCCTATTTCCGTGTGTGTAAGATGGTAAATTAAATCTTCCGATGGTAAATATCCGTTCATCACCATTTGCTTGGCCAATACCCTGTAGGCTCGTCTCAATCTGTCGAAGGCCCTGATCATTTCCGATTTCGTTTGCTCCCTGACGCCCACGGATTTTCTAATCTTCTTCACGAGGAAATGGATGATAAACCTGCGAATTCGGTGGTGCTTATGTTCAAATTCAGCCGGCGACAGCCGGGTTAGAAGTACCTAGAGAGTTTCTTACGAGGAGATTTCAAACCCCGGATGATTTCCTCCAAGGAATGCTGCACCTTCTTCGTCCTTTGCGCCGTCACGTTGGCCTTTATCATCTGCACCACCACCGACGGATCTTCCTTCCACGATTTCTCCATCAACTCGAACTGCAACCGAATTCGAACACCGACAGCTCACCGGCGAACTTCCCGCGAATTTCGCTTACCTCTCCCAAATTTCGATGGCCGTGCTTGGCCAGAAACTCCTCCAATAAATCGAAGGCCGGCCGGCAGTTCTCTCTCAACCAATCCACCCCTCGATTCGCCTCGATTTCCAGGAAACGCCCTTCGCACCCGGCCCGCTTGATCAATCCCGCCACTTCCTCCACGTACTTCGGCACCTCCGCCGACACCACGTCCTCGCAGCTGGACAAAATGGCCGCGAAATCGGACAGATGCTCCTCTGTTAATTCTGCAAAATATGGAAATCCGTTGATTGGACAAGAATCGACTGCAGAAGAAGTATCTCAACTGAACAAGAGTTTACTGAATAATCTACTGGAGATAAATCTACTGGACAAGAATCAATTGAAGAAGGAGGAAAACTGTACATCGATCGATACTCTGGGTACCTGTTTTGCCTTCGAGCAGCACATTCATCGCTATAATTTGATAGAACACGGACACTGCGCTGGTCTTCGAATGACACGTGCACACCTCCACGATATCCTCGAAACTCCCGTCGATTTTCCGGTAATTCGCCGACGGATCATCGTCGATCGACAGATCCAAATCCAAACCGTCCACCAGCCGTTTCGACAGTCCCACCAGATCCCTCCAATCGTTCGACATGACCCTCAGAGGCTCCGCCATTTGGAACCACAACGACGACGCGCCCATTCGCTTCAAGGCGGATTCGTTGATGGCCTCGTCCAGAACGGGATGCCCGAATATCGCCAGATCCACTATGGTGGAGCTCACGTGGACGTCGCGACGCAGGTTCTTGTGTATCGACTAGAAATACAAACGAATCGTTTAGGAAAATACTATCCGGAAAGGTAAATATACTCACGATGACCACGTCCAACAGGACGTTGTGCTGGTGCGTGATCATGCCCTTCATCGACATCGGATCGAAATTCAACTGGGCGAATCGCTGTACGGCCCAATCGGCACACTTGATCGACGTCGAATGCGAGAGCGCCGCGACGGCGTTCGGCATCACCTCCTTGACGTTGGCCGTCGTGTACACGTAGTGCGTCGATCTGGTGGGCGAGTCCATCTCGTGGGCGAGCTCGACGTCCGACCAAGACGTCAGCGTCGTGACGGCCCTCGATTGCAACAGGAACAGCTTATCCTGCGAACGAGAGAGTTTTGCGCGAGTTTCGTAGAGGTTTCGAGTTTAGAGGTACCTCGCGGAAAGCCCATTCGACGTCCCGGTGGTTGCCGAAGGCCTCTTCGAGCACCAAACCGACCTTGCCCAGTCGGACGGCTTGTCGGTCCGATATGCTCCAGGCGGATCCGTCTCCGGTGGTTTCCTCGACGCCGTCGCCGGCCGCTCTGATGACTTTGTTCTTGGCGCCCAGCGCTTTATCGATCAGGCAGATTTTCCCGTCCCACGTGCGGTTCAATACGAACGTGTCCGGATCGCTTTCGCCCGATACGACGGTCTAAAACACGCGGAAAATCGAAGCTAGATCGCCACAAACATCGTTGCAAGATCGTGCTATCCTTGGACCTAACCATGGATAGCTCGAACTTATCTAAAGCTTGTGCACGTTAGCTGAGACAATTAGATTGTACGAGGGTTCATCGAGCTATCCTCGGACTATCTGGGATAGTTATATAGTACCTCTCCCAATCCGAAATTGGAGGTGACCACCATCTGGGAGGGATTCGACGTGGTCGGATGGCAAGTGAAGAGAACGCCGGCCGAATCGGATCTCACCAATTTCTGCACCACCACCGCCATGTCGGCGACGACCGGCAACCCGTGCTTCCTGGTGAATTGAAACGTTTAGAGTTAGAAGGTAAAGGTTGTGGTGCTGGTACCATCTGTATAGAACGCTTTGGAAGGCGTACAAAGAGGCCCAGCAGGCGCTGAGGGCCGTTAGGACTTCGGTTCGGTCGCGACATCCTAGGAACGTTTCGTTTTGTCCGGCCGACGAGAGTTCATCGGAATCTTCTCCGATGGCTGATGATCTGACCGCCCAGCCTAGATAATCGGATTCGTCGCTGTACTCCTGCAATTTGTCGATAATGCAACGTTGGAGTTCGGAGGTAATTGCGGCGTTTCTGATTCTGCTGGTCACTCTGTTGTTGGGGAAGAAACGAATCATTGTGGAGAAGGGATTATAGAATTGAGGTTTGGTAGTTACTCTTTGCAGGTTTCTTCTAAATCGCCTTCGGCGCGACCGCAACAAATCGCGTCTAATTGGGATATGGCAGCGGCCAATTGGGAATCGTTGGCTATGTTGCTTCTGTAAGCAATCACCGTCACCACGAATCCGGGGGGAATGGTGAACTAAAATATTCAAAAATCGAGGTAATAATGGATCTGAAATTAAACTGGAAAGTGCCCTTACCAAATCGGATTGCAACGACGAGATCAAGCCCAAGGAGTTCCCTTTGCCGCCCGTCAGGTCTAGTATCTGGGAATCTTCTTCGTTCAGATCGACTATCAGCTTCTGGGGTAGTTTATCGGCGGTTTTAGGTACTAATTTCTTGGAAATTGTGTAAATTTCATCGCCTGGAAATTACGTGCGAGTAATAACGCTTTAAAAGAGTCGGTTAGATCAGGATTGAGGTCCTGAAGATATTCAATGAAGCAGTTTTAGTTTAATTTCAGAAGAAAATGCTTTAGCTCCTTACAAAGGAATAAGCTTTAGTTTAACTCTAGTAAAAGATCCTTCATTTCTTCACAACGAAGTAAAAGCTTTATTTTAACTCTAGGGGAAGGTGCTTCAGCTCCTCACAATGGAGCAATGTTCAATTTAACTCTAGGAGAAAAAGCTTCTGTTCCTCAAGGAATAAGAAGCTTCTAACTCAAATAACCTACCACAGCATACCAAATGACCTACCATAACATAATAAGTGCCTACCTTCACATTCTTTATAATACTCGACCACAGCTTTACCGGTGAAAGTACCATTGATGAGACAATCGGCGGGTATCGTGTAGTACTCATAGCCGAAAGTCGATTCGCGAGAGGATTTCAAGGTTTCCTTTTTCTTTAAATAAACGACCAGCCTGTAGTGCCTGCGATGCACCGAAACCTCCATTTTGATGGCGCCGGGGAGCGCCGCGACGCCGTCGAAGTCGAGGAATTTCGACAATTTCACGGGGTAACGCTTCTCGTTGCTGAGATAGGCGAATCCATAATCCAGTCTAAAAATTTTACAGTTTCTTGTAGTGTTCAGTAAGATAAATTATCTCTAATAAATATAATAAAACGATGAAATTCGATTACCGGTGGCCGTTTTTGAAAGTTTTCATGGCGATGTTGAACAAATTGCCGTATTCGTCGAAAACGATCAATCTCAACGATTTTTTAACGGTGAATCTTTCCGCGATTCCTTTATGTCTGATTCTCGTCGCCGGTAGATTAACTACGAGTGCCTCCTGGTCGGTTTCGGTCTTAATGAAACCCTTCATCGTGCCGAAATACTCGAAACCCAGTAGATTTGAGCTGAAAAAATCCGCCATTGGAGTGCGAATAGAAAAAAATATATATAGAAAGTTTCTTGCCATTGGTTGTCGTCAGAACGTTGTTCTGCTGCGGATTCTGCATAAAAAGTACTGCGAACGTCTTGGGGGATGTAAAACGGCGAACTCAAGCAAGTAAAGCTAGAAAAGTAAATAAATAAGTAAAAATATTGTAAATCAAAATAATCGAATATTTGAAACTTTTGACAGGTGACATATGACGTATAGTATAGGACATGGAATCTTCTTTTTAAACGTCATTAGAGGATTATTAGAACATTTTTGAGGTATTTTCAAGCTAATTTACAAATTTTTAGCAATCTAGTAGCCAATAGTTACCCTATGTATAACATTAATTAAAATATTACACGTAGTTTGACACATAGACAAAATACATCTTTCTTTCTCTATGGTTTGACATTAGTTGCCATCTTGGATTAAAAAATTTGACGTATGACGTATACACATCAGCGCCGCCAACTCACATTAAATTGAACCGAACGTGCTCGATTTTCTCGAAATCCTCGCAGGACGCGTTCCTGAGCAATCCGTTGAATGTTATCCTGATTTTCCTGAAGGGTTCCAACGTTTCCAGATCGAATCCCGCCATCTTCCAGCAATCCCGCGGCAAGTTCGTCGCGCGAACGGCTCCGGCACCTGCTCGAAAAACGGAATTATTGTTATCGATTGATTATACGGGGGAATGTAGATATGTATACCGGGAAAGACGTACGTTCTGCCGTCTTTTAACCTCAAATGCACGCCGGCCTCCGCCGTGCTGTTTACGCCGATGTGCAATTTGAAATGCAACGAATTACCGGACTCGTCCATACCGTAGAAATATTGAGAATCCATAGTCTAAAAATTGATAAATATGAAATTGTAGTTTAGAAACTACGTAAGTAATAAGTGCTGCCATCTTCCGGTCGATTAAAAAACCGTGTATCTAAATGTCGAGCTCGCGCAGCGCTCATCGTACCAACCTTAGTGGTTGAAATGCGAATTTCCGTGTCTAATTTATTTCCTAATTGTTTCACCGCATTTTTACACTTTTGTTGATGCCTGCTAATTTTCCATTTAACCATGTAATATTTGCACAAGTACTTGAAACCTATTTGTAAAAAATCGTTAGCGTTCAATCCCATAGATTCCTAGATAAATTTGATAAATACCTTTAGGATGACGAAGGATCCTCTTGAACAAAACGTACGTGAGAATAGATACAAAAGAGAGAATTCCATAGTTAATAATAAACGAAAGAACACCCATTTTTATTCGTGATTTTTACATCACCAACTGAGATTGATAATTATGCATCGAGCAATTTAAATTCAATCATATCTTCTCGACAACAAACCTTAATTATCGTCTTATCGTTATCATTAAATTGTCACACTATCTTTAATACGAATATAATGATAATAAAAACGCGCACACACATACAAAAGGATCGTTTATAAAAAGGATGCGAGTGGGAAATAAATTTAAATCGCCTAAATTATATGTATTTAATATCTAAGTATCGAGTAGTTCATGGTAATTTATTGTAATTAAGCAATTATCCTTGATGTACAAGCGCACAGAATCTTGTTTGGTAACTTTAATTCAGTTGGCAGCAATGAAAAGAAGCGCGTGATTTTACAAATTGCAAAAAACTTCATCGAATTGCCGCTAGGGGAACAGCGAAAATGACATTTGGTAATGGTAATGTGGGTTGCATATGCTCAAGTAGACATTTCAATGGCCTTCTGCGACATCGGCGTCCAGCCACCAATCGGAAATCACAATTGTTTGAAACCGAAACTTCGATTCACTTCGCACAGAGGGCGTAAAATTTTTGAAGGCGACTGAAGAAATACTGACGCGCCAAATTCCCGTCGATCCATTACAGAAAATTAATAGGAGTAGCACGTAGAAAGATGTTTATTAAAGCTCGCAGGAGTGCATGGAGAAGTGATTGATCATGGACAGAGAGAGAACCCACGTGCATTTGGTGATCGAGGCGGCTTTCCGCATCGGCATGTGGACCTGCACCACGTAAACCGAAACCACCAAAAAATTAACCAAATGGTGATGTACTAAACGATTCGATTTCCAGCTGGCTCGACGCCAAAATGCCGTACGTCCGGCACATAGACGAAGACGAACTGTGGTACTACCGCTATCCGTCGCTCGATAGTTTCTTCCCCAAGCTGTACGTGTACTGTTTGATTGTCCTCTTCCCGTGCCTGGTGTTCCTCGTCGAACTGGCCACCATGAAAACCAAGACCACCACGCCCACCATCGTCACCAGCTGCTACGCCTTGTCCCTGGCCTACTGTCTAACGCACCTCTTCGTCGCCGCTTTGAAGGTCACGGTGGGGAAACCCAGGCCGAATTTCTACCTGCGGTGCTTCCCCGAAGGGTACTCTCGCTCGCCTCGCGATGCTTTTTTTAATATAACGCCGTTTCGTTTTTCAGCTACGGTACGGACATCGACATGTGCGACGGTGAGTACCACGGGCAAATGGACGGCAGGAAGAGCTTCCCCAGCGCCCATTCGGCCTTCGCCTTCTGCTGCATGGTCTACATGGCGATTTACATAATGCGAATGGTCGATTTGCGCAAGCCCAAGTTCATGAAAGGCTTCTTAATCACCGGCCTGGGCTTGATGTTCCTGACGGCTTCGTTGATCGCCGTATCCAGAACTATGGATTACCACAACAACTATTCGGGTATATTTGGACATTCTTCCACCTCAGAGCTTCTATCTGAAAGCTTCTATCTTGGACCTTCTTCCACCTTAGAGCTTCTATCTTGGACTTTCTTCCACCTTTATAGAACTTCTATCTTGGAGCTTCTTCCTTCTTGGAGCTTCCATCTCGATCTTGTAGCTTCTTCTATCTTGTAGATGCTTCAAAAACGATTATTGTTAACATTTTTGTTTTGTAGATGTGATCGCTGGTGCTCTTATCGGTAGTTTCTTCGCCATTGTGTGCGACTACTTTTACTCGTTGCCTGACGAACGGATGCAGATAAACATCAAGCGAATAGTGAAGGAAACTTTGGACGAGGAGGAGGTTAACAGGCAATTTTCTTTAATCGATAATATAAAGCCCGTCGCCGATCCCGATGCAGCAGACGAAGCTCCGGCCATCCCGGAAGCGGATTGAGATCCTATCAAATAAACTCTTATTAATTTACTACAGCGCTTGTTTGATTTGTAGTAGTTGGTGTAGAGGTTACTTCCAGAAATGAAGATTTAATTGTGGACAAGAGATCCAGCTTTGGTGCTCATATGAGAAGAGAACGATTGGGTTTTGGTCAGGAGAAAAAAGTTCTTTCTTGAGAAACTACCTTAAGTTTCTTATTACAGGAAAATAAGCTTCTCCAGAAGAGGAAGCATTAGTATTTCTGAGTCAAACAAGCTCTTCTTCTATCTCGGAGCTTCCTCCATTTAATTATTGCTTCTATCTTGGAGCTTCTTCTATCTTGGACCTTCTTCCATATTAGAGCTTCATCTTGGAACATCCATTCTTAGAGTTTCATCTTGGGATTTCTTCTATCTTTGTGAGCTTCTATCTTGGAGCTTCTTCTATGTTGTAGCTTCTTTTTAGAACTATTATCGAACTATAAGCTTCAATTATCCCCTCTGGTTCGCCCCATCAAAACTCCCAACAATCGACTACCGTTTATTTAATTTACAAGAGCCACTCAGCAGGTCCTTTCGTCCTCCACGTGGAATTCCACCTCCGTCAAGCCCTCGATGCCCGCCTTGACGACGTCGCCGTGCCGGACGGGCCCCATGTCGGGCGGGGAGCCCGACAGAAGCAGGTCCCCCGGCTCCAGCGTGATGTATTTGCTGATGTACGCCATCAGATCGGAGATGTCGAACAGCAAATCGTCGGTGGGCCCTTTCTGTCGCGGCTTTCCGTTCACCGTGCACCACAGGACCAGCTTGTAGGGATCGCAGACGGAGCCCTTGGGGATGAACTCGCCGACGGGGGTGGCGGTGTCGAAGCCCTTGCCCAGCGTCCAGGAGCCCCCTTTGCTTCTCGCTTCCTTCTGTAAAGGGGCGATTGATGAGCGCGGGGAATTTGATTGTTTAGTAGGTGTTGGTTACCATTCTGCAGGTGGCTGTCATGTCTAAGGCCACGCAGTAGCCTCCTACGTAGTCCATCGCCTGGCATTTGTCGATTCTCTTGGCTTTCTTGCCGACGATGACGCCCAATTCGACTTCCTGGTTCACGGAGAAACCTTCGGGTATCTGAAAAGCTGAGGATCTATCAGGTTGTTTTTATGATGGAAGTTGCTTTGTGGCTTCGCTTACGATGATCTTCTGGCCTTCGGTTATGTAAGATGTCGTGGGTTTGATGAAGATTTCGGGAACGCTCGGATGCGGCTTGTTCAACGCTTTCAACAACGATCTGATTGGGAAGACGAAGCGCGTTAGATTAGAAAGATTTTTGTCAAATTTTTGGCTTACTTGTAGTTAGCGGCCACTCCGATTATTTTCTTGCCGCTTTCCGCGAACGAACTTAAATTAGACATCGTATTGACGTTTTTAATGCTAGATTTCCGCGTTCCGAACAGGTTGTGTAATGAAATCGGAAAATTTAAATTTAGACTTGGCTGAATGCGTATATGACCAAAGGCATGAATCATTCTCAGAAGAAATGACAAATATGACAGATTGTCACTGAATTTTGGAGCGATTTATGACATTTACTGATTTCATCCATTGTATTGTATAAAATGGCGTTGTGTTAAGTTAAATATTAGTTTATAGTAATAGCAAAAGGTAAACAATAAAAAGCGTATGTTAATGCAAGTTACTCTACTCCTTAACAGCGCGAGAAATAAACGATTTAACAACAATCTTGCGATATTTCTTTCAGTATTTTAATTATAATTACGATGTCAAAGGATGAGATGTTTTCTGTTGTATTAGAAAGCATATCCGATTTGAGAACATTACTAACCAATGCGTGCGATCTAGAGGTTCTTTTAGTAAATACAGACAGGGACAAGGATACATTAATAGAAAAATCGAAGAAATTCGTAGACGATCAATGTGTTATAGCAGAAAAACTAAAAAAAACATTCTACAATGAATACGATAAACTAGTCGAACCTCGAATCAAGGAAGAAGTTATACCTAATGAATCTAGCAAATGTAATGATAACGATGACATCCCCGAAGGTAACTCAATTTATTTAAAATTAAACAATATTTTTAACAAACAATTTGTAGATATTAACAAGGCAGCCGATTCAACGGATCCATCTGCTAGCGAAACCGCCGATGCGAAACCATCGGGCAAGTCCATTATAAGAGTTGTCGATTTAAACAAGCTGCTGGATCCCAAGCGAAAGAAATCCGTCAAATTCGATAGTTCAATTATAATTCTAACCAGTTCCGAGGACGACGAACCCAAATCCGCGCCCTCGAAATCCAAAGAAAACGGCTTAAAATCCGCCATCAAAAAAACCGCTTTAGACGAGGACAAAGAGGACGACGCCGAATCGCCGAATCGATCCCGCAAATCCAGCCGGCTGCGATCGAACCAAACCAAACGGGAGCTCCGAAAAGAAGGACTCAAGAAGATATTCAAGCGATCGTCCGACAGAAACTTCGAAATCGTCACCAGAAAGAGCAAGCGAAGCTGCCCCCCGTCCAGCAAGTCCTCCGATTCGAGCGACTCGAGCGACTCGGACGGCCGAACCGACCGCTCGTCCGACAAATTCCACATCGACGAGCACAAAATCGACAAAGAATTGCAAATAACCCTGCCCAAAATCCCCGTGGACCAGCTGAAGGACGTCTACGAAACCGACAGGAACGTCTTCGAGCCGCAAAGGTACTGTAAATAATCAGCTCGTAGACTTTTAATCGATCCGTTTAATGTTCCAGCGGCACCCAAACGAAACGAACGTCGGGCTACGAGAGCGACACCGAGAGCAATCGAACCAAGAAAACCAAAACCTTCGAACGGAGAACCAACGACGAGCCAGCCGATCGATCGGGGGATCTGTTCGAAGACGATGAAAATGCAGCCGATGAAAATCTAGCCGATGAATCCGGTATAAATATCAAGGACAATGAACCGATTCCCAGTGAAACTCGAATCGAAGATGCCGATAAAGCTGCGAACTCACAAACCAGTTGCATAGACTCTACGAGTACGTATATCACAGCGCAAAGTGATAATGTTAGTGCGAACGAGGAAGAAACGCCTCGCGAAGACGATTCCTCGATTAGGCAAAGCGAGAAAGTCGAAGAAAAAGCAGAAGATGAAGTAATTAAAAGTAACGAATGTGATGAAGGTAGTGATTCTGATAGTGTAAGCAAAAATGAACTTAGGTAAGCGTCGAGTGTTAGTAACAGCTCGCGTATTAGCGTGATATTATTTGCAGTAAATCCACAAAGAAATCGAACGTGCTGAGCGATTCCGATGAGGGCGAGCGGGCGGCTCGATTGTCGGATAGCGAAGACGAACAAGTAAAGAAGAAATCGAAAAAGTAAGTTTGATTCGTTCGGTGTGTCTTCGATAATGATCTAACGCTCGGTTCAATTGCCAGGAAAAGGGTGAAAAAGAACAAAAAAACCGTCATAAGCGATTCGGACGATGAGGATAACGATAAAAGCGAGAAAAACAAGGAGGCATCCGACGTGGAAAACGACGAATCGCGGAAGAGCTCCGAAGAATCCGCCAAGCAAAGCGAAGAGGACGAAGAAGAAACGGCCAAAAAGTTTGTACATTCTTATCCGCGTATCGACAAATCGTTCTGGAGCGTTCTAAATGATTCTAGATAGTTCTAAATGATTTTGGAGCGTTCCAAATTGTTCTGAAGCATTCTACATGATTCTGGAACGTTCTCAACGGTTCTGAAGCGTTCTAGATTGTTATAGACAGCTCTAAATGATTTTGGAGCGTTCCAAATTGTTCTAAAGCATTCTAAATGATTCTGGAGCGTTCTAAATGATTGTAGATAGTTCTAATTGATTTTGGAGCCTTCCAAATTGTTCCAAAGCATCCTACATGATTCTGGACCGTTCTAGATTGTTGTAGACAGCTCTAAATGATTCTAGAGCGTTCTAAATGATTGTAGACCGCTCTAAATGATTATGGAGCGTTTTACATGACTATGGAGCGTTCTACATAACTTATTGAGCGTTCTGAAATGATTTAAGATAGTTCTAAATGATTTTTTAGCGTTCTAAAACAATTTTAGACAATCCAAAATGATTCTGGAGCGTTTTAAATGACTATGGAGCGTTCTAAATGATTTTAGACAGTTTTAAATGTTTTTGGACCATTCTAAATGATTCTAGACAGTTCTAAAAATGATTCGTTGCAGGAAAAAGTCGCGAAAGAGCAGGATAAAGAAGCGGAAAAACAGCAGCAGCGAAAGCGAGGAAGTCGAGACCAGGAAACACATAAGAAAAGTAATTATGTTAGCCATTATATCGCGCCTACGACGTTCCGCGTATCAATTTCTCGTTGAAAAGAAACAAGAATTGCTCATAAACGTAATTGTATCGTACAGGTTTTGGACAAGAACAAGCTCTCGGAATCGACGTTGAAAGCCGAGGAAGCCGAGAAGGAGCGCAAGGCTCGCATAGCGAAAAAACAACAAAAAGTAACGAACTAATTTCGAACTAAAAAAACACGCGCTAAATATACTAATTTTCCAGTACAACAAGGTCTACGAGGAGACGAAAGACGCCAGCGTCGACGAGGTCGTCTTGGACTACGAGGAGAAAACCAAAGAGCCCCGATTGGCCGTGCACAAGGACATCGTGAAGCACCTGAAGCCCCACCAGGCCTCCGGCATCCAATTCATGTACGACGCCTGCTTCGAATCGGTCGAACGAACGCTCAAATCGCCCGGCTCCGGATGCATACTGGCGCACAGCATGGGCTTGGGCAAGACGTTACAAGTAACACTTCTATCCACCTCTATCCTTTCTATATACAGGGTGTCCATGTTCGAGCGCTGCAAACAGTAGAAAGAGAGAATCAGTCGAACTGTGGACGAATGTAGCGCTCGACTTTAGACACCCTGTATACGATAACGATTCGAATCGGAATGTTTTTTTTCGTTTTTTTTGTAGATCGTGGCGCTGACGGAGACGCTGATGCGCCACGCCCGGCTGACCAAAGTCGAACGGGTGATGGTCGTGTCGCCGGTGAACACGGTGCTCAATTGGAAGGCCGAGTACAGGAAATGGCTGCCGAAGAAGGCCCAAGTGGAGGTGTTCGAATTGGCCACGTCGAAGAAGAACTACGAGCGCCAGCACGTGGTCAAAGAGTGGATCGACGAGGGCGGCGTGCTGATCATCGGCTACGTCATGTTCAGGAATCTCAGCAATCCGACCAACAAGAAGATACCGAAGAAAATGCGGGCCGTCTTCCACGAGGGTTTGGTCGATCCGGGTACTGTACGATTAGGACGTAGAGTGAACGTTTCTCGGCCTTTTTTTTTGTTGGAAAAATTACGTTATTCTTCTTGTTAAGTCGAAATCTTGGGTCCGAGACGGTTCTAAATGATTCTGGAACGTTCTGAAATGATTTTAGATACTTCTAAATGATTTTGGAGCGTTCTAAAATGACTTTAGAGCGTTCTAAAATGACTTTAGAGCGTTCTAAAATGACTTTAGGGCGTTTTAAATGACTATGGGGCGTTCTAAATGATTCTAGGCAGTTCTAAATGACTATGGAGCGTTCTAAAATGATTTTGGAGCGTTCTAAAATGATTTTGGAGCGTTCTAAATGATTGTGGAGCGTTCCGAAATGATTCTCGACAGTTCTAAATGACTATGGAGCGTTCTAAATGATTGTGGAGCGGTCTGAAATGATTTTGGAGCGTTCTAAAACGATTTTAGACAGTTCTAAATGATTCTGGAGCGTTCTAAGTGATTTTTGAGCGTTCTAAAATGACTTTAGAGCGTTTTAAATGAATATGGGGCGTTATAAATGATTCTAGACCGTTCAAAAATGACTATGGAGCGTTCTAAAACGATTTTAGACAGTTCTAAATGATTTTAGAACGTTTTATTAAATGATTTTGGAGCGATCTAACATGGCTTTAGACAGTTCTAAATTATTCTGGAGCGTTTTAAATGATTCTGGAGCGTTCTAAATGACTATGGAGCGTTCTGAATGACTTATGGAGCGTTCTAAATGATTGCGGAGCGGGCTGAAATGATTTTGAAGCGTTCTAAAATGATTTTAGACGGTTCTAAATGATTTTGGAGCGTTTTAAATGATTCTGGAGCGTTTTAAATGACTATGGGGCGTTCTAAACGATTCTAGACAGTTCTAAACGATTCAGGCCGAGAACTTTTCACCGTACCCTCGTGTACATAGTCGATATACGTTTGGAGCGAATTGATTATTATTCGAAACGGTCCCGCAGGGCCGGATTTGGTGGTGTGCGACGAAGGGCACCTGTTGAAAAACGAGAAAACCAACCTGAGCATCGCCATGAACAGGATAAAAACCGCCCGCAGGATCGTACTGACCGGTACGCCGCTGCAGAACAACCTGCGAGAGTACTGGTGCATGGTGCAATTCATCAAACCCAATCTGCTCGGCACCTACAAGGAGTATTTGAATCGGTTCGTGAATCCCATCATAAACGGCCAGTACACCGATTCGACGCAACACGACACCGTACTCATGAGGTACGATCGCGACTAACTAAATTTGTTTATTTATAAGTAATTAAGGGGGTCTCCTCATGGATTGCCATTTAAATGACTATGTGGCGTTCTAACTGATTCTAGACAGTTCTAAACGACTATGGAGCGTTCTAAAATGATTGTGGAGCTGTCTAAAATGATTTTGGAGGGTTCTAAAATGATTTTATACAGTTCTAAATGATTTTGGAACTTTCTAAAATGACTATATTCCAAAATAGTAGGCACTTAATTCTCAGAAATGATTGCGATAATGGGTCTCTCCCAGTGGCGTACGGAAAATATCGTAGGCTACAAGTGTGTTTGATAAATAAGAAAAGCGACAATATTTCCGAGAATTTAGTGCCTACTATTTTGGAAATAGAGTATAGAGCGTTTTAAATGATTTTTGGAGCGATCTAACATGGCTTTAGACAGTTCTAAATGACTATGGAGCGTTCTAAAATGATTTTATACAGTTCTAAATGATTTTGGAGCGTCCTAAAATGACTAGAGCGTTTTTAATGATTTTGGAGCGATCTAACATGGCTTTAGACAGTTCTAAATTATTCTGGAGCGTTTTAAATGATTCTGGAGCCTTCTAAATGGCAATTCAAATCTTGCTGTCTTATTGAAACACCCTAGAGTTTTACAAAAAAAAAAAATAATAAAAAAAAAATCGTCCACATCCAGGAAACGTTCGCACGTCCTCCACAAGCTACTCGACGGCGTCGTCCAGCGTCGCGACTACTCGGTGCTCGAACCCTACCTGCCGCCCAAGCACGAGTACGTCCTGTTCGTCCGCCTCTCCGACGCCCAGGTCAAGCTCTACAAGCACTACATGGAGCACTACGCGCGCAAAACCGACGGCACCAATCGCACCTCCTTCCTCTTCGTCGACTTCCAAACGCTACAGCGCATCTGCACGCATCCGCGCGTCCTCGCCGACAAGACCAAAGAGAACAAGGCCAAGTGGGACGACGAGGAGGACTCGGAGGGCTCGCTGAAGGACTTCATCGACGACGGCGACGACACCAGCGGCGCCTCGTCGACGTCGAACAGCTCGGACGAGGCCAGCGCCGGTAGTTCAGACGGCGGTAAAAGAGGCAAGCGAGGCAAGGCGAGGGTCACCAGGGCGGCGGCGGCGCAACGTGAGTGGCCTTCGATAACGCTGTTATTCGGGTAGCTTAATAAACAGTTCGTTTTTTTTTTGTTTCTGATTAGGAAAAGAAAACGGCGGCGAAGAGGCGGAGAGCGACGACGCCGAGATGCAGGCCGACGAGGTGAAGAAGGAATGGTGGCAGGAGTACTGCGACGGCGACGAATTGGACAACGTCAATCACAGCGGTAAATTGTCGTTGTTCTTCGAGATATTGAAGGAGTGCGAAGAGATCGGCGATAAGGTGTTGGTGTTTTCGCAATCGTTGTACACGTTGAATTGCATCGAGTATTTCCTGAATAAAATCGACGAGGCCACCGCCAACGGGGATACCGATAAAGTGGGCGGTTATAAAGGTAAATTTATTATTCAAATGAGCATAGGAACACTGCGCAACGAATCTACTATCTACTCTACATATTACTCTCTACCCTGTACTCTTTGCACTGACTCTCCGCTCTTTACATTCTACACTCTGCTCTTTACACTCTAGTTTTTGCACTATGCTCTCTACACTGTACTTTCTACACTCTTCTACATTTACTTTTACATCTCTTGTATCAGCAAATACATTATTTTATCTATTGCAATACTATACTCTCTACACTCTACACTTTATTCTCTACACTCTACTTCTACAATCTAAACTTTGCTCTCTACATGCTGCTCTCTACTTTCTATACTCTGCTCACTACTCAACTTTTTGCACTCTGCTCTCTACACTGTACTCTCTACATTCTGCTCTCTACACTCTGCTCTCCACTCTCTGCTTCTACACTGTACTTTCTACACTCTTCTACAGCCACTTCAACATCTCTTGCATTAGTAAATACATGCCTGTAAAACGTTTTTTTTTTTTATTTATATAGGTAATTGGGTGTACGGAATCGATTACCTGCGGCTGGACGGCTCGTCGAGCTGCGACAACCGCGCCATCTGGTGCGACAACTTCAACAATCCCGACAACGAGCGGACGCGGCTGTTTTTGATATCGACGCGCGCCGGCGGCCTCGGCATCAATCTGTTCGCAGCGAATCGAGTGATCATCTTCGACGTGTCGTGGAACCCGTCGCACGACATCCAGAGCATCTACCGGGTGTACCGGTTCGGCCAGACGAAGCCGTGCTACATCTATCGGTTCGTCACGTACGGCGCCATGGAGATGAAGATCTACGAGCGACAGGTCACCAAGCAGGCGATATCGAAGCGGGTGATCGACGAGCAACAGATCGACAGGCATTACAACCAGAACGATTTGCAGGAGTTGTACAAGTGCGATTTGGAACCGTCGGATCGGCCTACGCCGCTCGTACCGAAAGTAATTCTCGTTGTTCGATACTCTCGATCGTTAATAGACAATGTCCCAATGGGTTCATATCGCCCCAAAGTCTATAGTCCACGTCCCCGTAGCCTACTTTCCGTATTCTCACAATCCCGTGCTCTCTAGATCTCTCCTCTGATCTATAGATCTGCCCGCTTGGTTTGCTCATTTTTCTTCTCGCTTGAAGCAATCTGAATTATTTTGGTTAGTTCTAAGTCATTCTGGACAGGTCTAAACGATTTTGGAGAGTTTTAAATGATTACAGACAGTTCTAAATGATTTTGGAGCGTCCTAAAATGACTTTGGAGCGTTCTAAAATGACTCTAGAGCGTTCTAAATGATTTTGGAGCGTCCTAAAATGACTTTGGAGCGTCCTAAAATGTCTTTGGAGCGTTCTAAAATGACTTTGGAGCGTTCTAAAATGACTTTAGAGCGTTCTAAAACGACTTTAGAGCGTCATAAAATGACTTTACAGCGTTCTAAATGATTCTGGAGCGTCCTAAAATGATTTGGGAGCGTCCTAAAATGACTTTAGAGCGTTCTAAATGATTCTGAGGAGTCCTAAAATGACTTTGGAGCGTTCTAAAACGACTTTGGAGCGTTCTAAATGATTCTGGAGCGTCCTAAAATGACTTTGGAGCGTTCTAAAATGGCTTTGGAGCGTTCTAAATGGTTTTAGAAAGTTTTAAATGATTCTGGAGAGTTTTAAATGATTCCAAACAGTTCTGAACGGTTCTCCACAATTATGATTCTTCCTGAAGCAATCTAAAACGTTTCGGACAGTTCTAAATCAATCTAGAGAGGCTCTAAAAGTGGTTCTCGGTAATACTGATTTGTCCTGGAGCAATCTAAACAATTCCGGAAAATTATTCCCATATTCCCACAATCCCCAGCTCTCCTACGATCTCTAGATCCCTCCGCTTGGTTTATCCATCTTTCTCCACTTTACTCTTTCATTCTACAATCGTTTATTCCTCGGTACGCCTTTACAAGCGTATTCTACTGATGCTCGACGCTCTTTTTACAGGACGTCATGTTGGGCGAGATGCTGCAAAAGTACGCCAACGTCCTCTACAAGTACCACATACACCAATCGCTGTTGGAGAACAAAACCGACGAGGGCCTGAACGAGGAGGAGCGCAAAGCCGCCTGGGAGGAGTTCGAGAACGAAAAGGAGCTGCGCAAGACGTACACGAACTACGCCAACGTTTCGTACCTGACGAATCCGGCCATCAGCAGTCCGCAGGCGATCAACGCCGCCCTGACGAACATCGTGCGTCGCGACAATCCGACGTGGTCGGAGACGCAGATCAAGGGCATCATACCGGCGTTGGTGCGACAGTTGCAGATTCAAATCGAAGAGAAGGACATGTCGGTTAGTTTCACGTCCGGTTGTCGAACGATTCTGGGCTGTTCCCGATTCGTTCCGAAGCGATCTAAACCGCTCTGGGCTGTTCTAAACCGTTCTGGATGGTTCTAAATGATTGTGGACAGTCCTAAATGGTTTTCGATGCACTATGCTCTCTACACTGTACACTCTATTCTGCACTTTTTTATCTACACTGTACTCTCTACATTCTGCTCTCTACACTCTAGTCTCTGCACTGTACAATATCCTTTGTCTACACTCTAAATTTTGCTCTCTACATGTTCGCAGATGTACCAACGCGTCGTGCAAGAAATCCAAATAATGAACCGCGCTAAATTGAAGGAAACCATGTACCAACAGCAAATGATGAATTTCTACCAGCAACAGATGCTCAAGCAGAAGCAACAGAACACCGTGCTGGGCGATCTGATGGTCAACTACCAGCAATTGCAAAAGTACGTAGAGTTTCTCTCTACTTCAAAAATATCAAATTTCTTCATTTTTTTAAATGGAACCACCCAGTTTTTAGAGGTATAGGGAAGTAAACATGAACTTCCCTTATTTTTGACCGCTAATTTCATTAAAATTGAAAAAAATTTACACCCTGGGGAACCCTGGGACACCCTGCATATATAAACTGCTCCACAAAAGTTAAGGAAGTTCGCAAATTTGGCGATTATTTTAAAAGTTACAGACTTTTTGATCACCAAATTTTCAAACATGCAAAATTAAATGTTTCCTCTCATATCTGAGTGGATTTTTTGCCCCTTCTTCTCTATCTCATACTAAACTTGGCGATCAAAAAACCTGCAACTTTTAAATTAATCCCAATATTTGTGAACTTCCCTAACTTTTGTGGAGCAGTATATTTAGAGATCGTAGGTAAATAATATTCGCTATCGCATTTGCAGCATGTTCGGCGCGAACGCGCCCATTCCCGGCGCCGCGACGGCGTCGATGGGCCAACAGGGCAACGCCAATCGCGCCGGCGTCGCGATGCCGAACTACTTCAAAGGGCCCAGCACGTCTGCGCAGAATCTCCAGCCCTCGAACGATGTCATTGAATTGAACGACTGACGTTAGGAACGCCATTTTGTTTTCCGTTTCCGCTCGATCCAACCCCCCTCCCCCCACCCCTACACACTCGCCCCCCCGCCGCGGTCTGAACGTAACTCCTTTTATTGTTTGTTTTTTTCGTTGTATCATCTAGTTGGTAGATTTATTTTGTAAGTAAAAATATGATATCCTAAGTGTGCGTATTTTTTTGTAATCGCTCGCCTTGAATTCTCGCTCCTTTTCTAGTACAAGTCTACGCTCGTAGAGATAGTAAAGGAGGGAGAGTTAGGGGTGAGCGATAGGTGCACCGACCATTGTAAAGGGTGTTTCAATAAGAGCGATTTAAGATTCAATAAAGCAATGTTATCTGTAGCAAAATATGGAAATATTTATAAATTTATCATGTGTACATTTAGGAATTATATATGAAACAAAATATCTTGTAAATGGCCGCCACGGCTTTGCTGGCACAAGCGTACTCTTTTGATAAAATATTCAATAGCATTATTGTATACATTGTGGAGGTATTTTATTGATAGAGCGTCTAATTTCGGCTTTCAAGGCTTCGGAGTTCGCAGGCATTTTGGCATAAACCTGTGACTACAAGTTACCCCACAGCCAGAAGTCCAAAGGTGCTAAATCACAAAAACGTGGCGGCCAATTCTGCTCACCAAACCGGGAAATGACCCAACCGGGAGTAATGTTTAACAATTAGGTCGCGATTATGTTCCCTATCCAGATTCAATTATCCATATTTACTAACTCCCAACTGTCAACTTTCGATCTGTCATGTTATAATCACGTGTCATTATGACTGTCAAACATATGTCAAATCTTGCGGTCTTATTGAAACGCCCTTTACTTTACCTACCCTTTACTTTACCTACCCTTTTATATCGATAAGTGAGCTGGATTAAACGTGTGATTTTTAGGGGAAACGGCCTCTTTCGCTCGGTTATCCGGCGACGGAAATAAATTGTGGGTGGAAAATGTATGGGAGATGAGAGATTGTGGGTTAAAGACGTCCGCCCCTCGACGCAGAAGGGGCGAGATCGCGTTTCGCTCGGAACTGTTACCGTTGTTACCGATCCCCGCTTGAGATACGGCCTGCGAATGTATTTATACAGGGTGTCCCAATGAAGAGTAGCCCCTTTAGTGAGCTAAGAATTTTAAAACGCCTATTCATAAAAACATGCGGTTTTCGCAGGTATATTTTATTTTGCTATAACTTTTTGTTGCCGTGAGACAAACATTTTGTATCTTTCAAAATATCTGAGAAAACCGCATGTTTTTATGATTATGCGTTTACAAATTACAAACTCGTTAAAGGGGCAATTTTTCATTGGAACACCCTGTATATGGACGGGATTTATTTGTTATTTGCGCGCGTACTGTGTTATTAATTCGTTGGGATTCGGTATCGAGATGGGCGCATTGGCGGCGGAAGTGTCGCTAGGGTAGAGGGTTTCTGGGCGAAATCGCGGTTATCTCTGAGACTGGTTTAGGTGGGAACGTTCTGTTTGTTTGATTTTGTAGAAGAAACGTTTTTCTTTGAATTTTGGAGAATCGAAAATTTTCGAAAATCGCTTAATTTAGGAGGTATTTTGATTGTTTTAAGGGTGGTGACGAAGTTAGTAATTTTAGTGCATTTGCTATGAAAAATTGCAATTATCTTGAAAAGTAATTTAGGTGGAAACGTTCTGTTTGGTTTGTTTTGTAGAAAAACCGGTTCCAATCAATTTTTGAAGGATCGAAATTTTTCGAATATCGCTTAATTTAAGAGTTATTTCGACTGTTTTATGGGTGATAACGAAATGAGTAATTTTAGTGTTACTAAAAAAAATTACTATAAAAAATCGTATTTATCTCGGAAATTAATTTCAGTAGAAATGTTACGTTTGTTTTATTTTGTAGAAAAACCGATTTTCTTCGATTTTTGAAGAATCGAAAATTTCCGAAAGTCGCTTAATTTTCGAAATATATTAATTTTTTTATGGGTTACATCGAAAATTCCTAATATTACTTTTCCCTCTCTCAAACAACGATTTTACTTCTTTAATTTCATCCTTCAAGAACAGGTAAGTACCAAGTACTTGCAGGTACATTTATTAAAAGCCAAAATTGTTTGCAATACAGGGTGTTCTCTGTGTACAGGTCGAACTTATGACATTAAATTCTAGCCCGATTCGCAGATTTCATTTTTTCCACAACAAACAAAATAGGTGAGGTAATATTCCTTTCGAGTTTAAAATTTATGTATTTTCTTCTATTTCTAAAACCCGGTTTACTGCGAATACAATCCTGGCCTGAATAGTCAGCTGATCGGGATTTTAACAAAAAAAAAAAAAACAGGTTCGGTGTATTTTATCAGCAAGCGGAAATTTCCCCCTCCACCCTCCAGCTTTAGAAAAAAACGTTATCGATACCGATCGTTTATCGTTTTCTAGTGCGTTAGTGCGTATTATAACATCAAATTTAATCGGGGTTAAATAGATTTTTTGATTAGACTTTAGTGATTTATGTGATAGTTTTAGTGTTCTTAGTTTAGTTAGTTATTGTTCGGTATAGTGATGTTCTGGAACAATTAAGCAGTTTTCCACAACAAAATAGGTAAGCTAATAGATATTCCTTTCGAGAAGTTTATTTTCTTCTATTGCTTGAAAAGCCCGGTTTACTTTTATAATTGGCTCAAATTTACTTTAAATATTGTTAATATTTCTTAACACAAAGTTAGGTGAAGTAATTGGGGCACTTTTTACAAAAAAATATCATGTGCAACCTGTTGAAGAAGAGAGCAAGTCGAAGATGACAGATTTAAAATAAAATACTGGTTTTAAACAGAATAACTTTATTGTACATTTTGAACTTATTTCAATTGAATTAAATTCATTTTAACAAATTAAACTGATTAATTAATACCAATTTTTTGTTATCTCTGACATTTGACATTTTGACATGAAAAACTTTAATTATGACACGGAACCTTGATATCTATCTGGAAATGGACTATAAAACAATAAAATATAGAAATACAGATTGCTCCTTTTTCATTGCAACATAGGCTATGGGTGCAACAGAGACAACTACAATTAGACACTTATAAAGGAAAAAGAAAGAGTGATATTATGTCATTGTAACTTTTCACTCTGACAACTGTTATTTTAGTAATCTTTCTTTGTTCAGCTCATAGAAATGCCCATGTTGCAATCGCAAATGAAGCACAGTGTTTATTACATTTTCAATCAGTTCCTTTAAATTTGCCGGTGTGTGTATTTCGAATTTTGTTTATTACAATTAATTATGCAAGTTATGCAAACTACCACGGCTAGAATTTAGCGCTATAAGTTCGAGAACACCCTGTATACAGGGTGATTCTGAAATAAGTGGTCAAATCGAGGTCTTAATCAGAGAAATTAATCAGAGAAAACCATGAAAACCAAGTTTACAATAACCAAGGACAATTCGAAAAAATGACATTTAAGTTTTTATCATATTTTGAGGTTCTCTACTCGCTCCCAAAGTTTGACCACCTATTTCAGAATCACCCCGTATATATTAATTTTTGCGCGGACGCCCGCGAGTCGACGAGAATCTCCCATTTAGCGATAATATGTCGCTGCCATTTTGTCCTGCACATACATATGAAAAAACGTTTTTAATTGCCGTTCATTAAAAGCTTAGCTTTTAAAATAATATTTAGATATCCGATACGGCCGGACCGTTCACTCTCTCGCTCGCTCTCTCGCTTTCGCCCGTCGGTCCGTCTCCGTCGGGCCCGTGTAACCCGTACCCGTGTAACCCATGAATAGATTGTGGGTGTGTCGGAGAGCCGTGGAATTGGACGCGCTGTACCACATATCGGGGGTCACGACCCCGAAAATCTCTAATGAATGAGAAATACTATCTCGAGACGGCTTGCGGTATATGCCTGCAACATATTTAGAAATTTATGCGCCTCGCGCGCTCGACGATTTCGTGAAATTGTTTTCGAAACGGGTGGAAAATAACGCGTGGGTTTCGCACTTTTTCTTTGCTTCTTCTACTGCTTCTTATCCTCTCTTCTTTGATTCGTGGAATAGATAACTATCTACGATAACTATTCATTACTAGGTACTCATAATTTAGCTTTAATAGGAAATTAAGGGGTTTTTTCAAAGAATGTTTTTATGATAAAATCGTTTACCTAGTCCGTGAATTCATCACTTAAAAATATGTTTTCTTCGCAGAGTAAGCAGAGTTTGAACTTCCGGAAATGTCAAACGTCATATCAATCAATTTTTGGAGAATCGAAAATTTTCGAAAATCACTTAATTTAGATATTTCGATTGCTTTATGGGTGGTAACGAAATAAGTAATTTTAGTGCATTTCTATAAAAAATCGCAATTTTCTTGAAAAGTAATTTAAGTAGAAACGTTCTGTTTGGTTTGTTTTGTAGAAAAAACGTTTCTAATCAATTTTTGGAGAATCGAAATTTTTCGAAAACCGCTTAATTTAAAAGATATTTTGACTGTTTTATGGGTGGTAACGAAATGAGTAATTTTAGTGCATTACTATAAAAAATCGTATTTATCTCGAAAATAAATTTAAGTAGAAACGTTACGTTTGTTTGATTTTGTAGAAAAACTGTTTTTCTTCGATTTTTGAAGAATCGAAATTTTTCGAAAACCGCTTAATTTAAAAGATATTTCGACTGTTTTATGGGTGGTAACGAAATGAGTAATTTTACTGCAGTTCTATAAAAAAAAGCATTTATCTCGAAAATTAATTTAAGTAGAAACGTTCCGTTTATTTTATTTTATAGAAAACCCGTTTTTCTTCGATTTTTGGAGAATCGAAATTTTTCGAAAACCGCTTAATTTAAAAGATATTTCGACTGTTTTATGGGTGGTAACAAAATGAGTAATTTTAGTGCATTACTATAAAAAATCGTATTTATCTCGAAAATGAATTTAAGTAGAAACGTTCCGTTTGTTTTATTTTGCAGAAAAACCGTTTTTCTTCGATTTTTGGAGAATCGAAAATTTCCGAAAGTCGCTTAATTTTCGAGATATATTGATTTTTTTATGGGTTACATCGAAAATCTCTAATATTACTTTCCCCTCTCTACAACAACGATTTTACTTCTTTAATTTCATCCTTCAAGAACAGGTAAGTACCAAGTAAGTGCAGGTACATTTATTAAAAGCCAAAATTGTTTGCAATACAGGGTGTTCTCTGTGTACAGGGTGAACTTATGGCATTAAATTCTAGGGTTGGTAGTTTGCAAAAATATTTTTTCTTCGCAGAGTAAGCAGAGTTTGAACTTCCGGAAACGTCAAACGTCAAATCCGTCGCGGGAAAATTCAAATGGGCTCCTACAATTTTTGACGTATGCTGGTAAGTGTCAAATTAATTTCAACCAAGAAAAATTCAGTAATTTAAAATTGCAATTTTTTACGAAATTTAAATGAAATAACCAATCGAAACCCACTGTATAGGTGTACCATACCATACCGTACCGTGTATAGATGTAGAAACCTTTATAATATATCATCATCTTGATTCGACAAACACCTTGCCATTAATTAACGGAATTCCAGGTAAATATCCACTGGCTGTGCCTCCTCTAATACCAATAACTATCCGGTTTCATATGCATCGATAAGATCTTAATCGTTATGATCTTAATAACGAGTGAATATGAATTTTAACATTTGTAACAGGAACGTTTCTCTTGTTAGTCCCACCGGTCGTAATTCAATTAAAAATAAACAACCTCTCTACTACCCGACCGCTAGGCATTAATGATACCTTTTATTTATTTATATATCTGTCTGGGTTTCTGTTTTTTATTTTTTTTATTTTTATTCTTTTTTTCTGTCGAGAATAAGCCGCAACCCCGCTCAGGAAAACGATATAATATCGTTATAAGTTTCGATTTTAATTGCCAGTTTTATTTTGTATATACAGGGTGATTATGTTATTTAATTGATTTGTGGGAGGTTGGCAATACTGTTGTACTACTGCTACGATTTTTTTTGTTTATATACAAGGGTAAGGTAAAAAATTCTCTGCCTGACAACGAAATACCGCTATTTTCAGTTGAAAAATTACATTATTCTTTTTATTAAGTCGAAAACTTTAGTTCGAGTGATAGTTCTAAATGATTCTGGAGTGCTCTAAAGGATTCTGGAGCATTCTTCTAGATTGTTATAGACAGTTTTAAATGTTTCTGAAATGTTTCTGAACTTTTATTAACGATTAAATTAATTTCATTTGTATAAATTCCACTGACCGACAAAAGGGGGAATTACCAACGTAATTATTGACGTTTATTGCCAACTTCTCAAAACGAAAATCCCACAATCGTTTATAGTACCGAGTTTTATTGCGCGCGTATTTCGCTCGCTTTCGTTTGACTTTCTAATATTACTGAATTTTATTTTATTCCATATACTTCTATACATTAGCATCATCTTCTTTCCAATTAGGCACCATCTAATTGCCCTCTATTGAATGGAATTGAGTGGTATCGATAGCGGTAATTTAGTAAATCGTCCAGTCCAACGCACAACCTACAATTTTCTCACAACAATTAACATATATAGTACCGAATTTCGGGTACTACCGTATATTCCGGGCGATAAGATTATAATAATATAGCCGAAAAGGCGATTGGTGCTTTAATTAAATCTATGCCTACTGTCGGTGGGAACGTATATACAGGGTGTTAGTTAATTGTATGCCGGTACTTCAGGATGTGAATATTTGGATGATTTTAAGAAGAAAAGTTTATGTCAAGTTCTAAATCTCTTAGTTTTCGAGCTAGAGGGTGTTAAAATTTTAGAAAAAAAAATAACTTTTCTATCATAATTTTCTTATTACGGCAGATATTTTTAAGAAATTTCGGACGTGGACGTCACTGATAATAGTAGAAAATTAATTTTTATCCCCAAAAAAAGTGTTTCCGTGCATGGTGGGCGCCTATCAAATTTCAACAAAATATCAAAAGCAGTCTCAAAATGAACTTGGGAAAAAATGGTTTTGGTTTTTTTTTTTACGCGAAAATGGTGCGTCGTACGAAAATATGTCTTCTGACCGAATTTGCTACAAAATAAATGAGTATTTTAAAAATAATTTTAGTTTTTAGAAAAAGCAGTGGCGTACCATTTTTTTTTCAAACATATTCAGTTCAAACCCCGTACGGACGTCACTGGTGAAAATTTAAAAAAATCTTATGCCTCAAAAAATCCTCCTTAAGAATTAAAAAGTGTATACAAAATTTCATAAAAATAACTTAAGTTATAAGAAAATTATGATAGAAAAGTTAGTTTTTTTCTAAAATTTTAACACCCTGTAGCTCGAAAACTAAGAGTTTTAGGACATACATTGATATAAACTTTTCTTCTTAAAATCATCCAAATATTCACATCCTGAAATACCGGCGTTCAATTAATCAACACCCCATATACGGGGGTAATAAAACGAGTATCATTTTAAAATCACTTCACTTTTATTCGGGGTTTTTTTTATAATTTTTTTTTGTACAAAACATACACGTTCACGCACGCGCAATCACAACTGGCCCACGTCCCCTATAAAAAAAAGTAACAGACGAAAATTCTATGCGACGAATAAATCGTATTATTTACACGTTTTTATTTTACAAATGCCCGTCGATAAATGCCGAATTTTTGGTCGTTTCGAGCCCCAAAATCTTTAAAAGTGCCGCGCGAAGGAATAATTAAAACGTTACAGAAAGAGATATCACATTCAATACGTTTAGTAATTTGGGAATCGCCCAACTGACATTTGACAATTTTGACATTTGACATTTCTGGCATTTGACATATGTTGCTGGCATTCCCCAAAATGGCATTGCGAATTATACAATTCAAGAATTAAAACTAAACTTCCAATATTGGATAAATTGAATTGATATGTACAGGGCATTGTTGAGTAAGTGTAGTAAAATTTAAACGTTTCTATCATTCCTTCGCACTAAAAAAATATTACAAAAAATACTAATAATTGCTCTGTTCGGTTATAGATATAATAAAATAACATTTATTTAAATAAAATATTTATATACTGGCCGACTATATTTCTTATTATCTACTAAAAAGAATCGAACAGAGCGCATTTAAATATCACTAGAAAATACATTTTACAAAAAAAATAATTAAATAATATGTACAATTAAAAAAAAAACGATTTACTATGTACAATAACAATAATTGCGTTCATACAATAATCGATAATATCGTTGGAAAACAACAAAATCCGGAAAAAGTTTTCCCCTCGATCGCCACAGAATCAAATGGAAAAACGAATTCCCGCTATAAACACGGACGAAGTTCATCATAAATGGTAACATTAAAAAAAAAAATAAAACGGTTAAAATAATTACTTTCAATTCAACGCCACGACCGCAGATGTTAATTTTTTCCAAAACCAGAAACCGATTGTGACCATTTTCGATTTAATAGAGGCAATTTTTAGACCACCTAGTCGATAAATAGCCCCACAAACTTCCATCAAAAAGTGACATTTATTCAAAAAATTGACATTTGACATTTGACGATTCGATACGTCAATATATCCACAAAACATCGAACGTTCGTTGACAGGTGACAGAGGAACGATTCGTGACGTCGTTAGTGGGTCAGTAAAGCTCCTGCGACGGGTCATAACCCGTCCATTAGAAGCGACATTGTCCTGTCAATGGATGCTCGTCGAGTTCCCACGGAGATCTAGATCTATACACGTTCGCAAAACAATACTCGACAATTAAACTCCGTAGCCGAAGAAGAAACGATCTTTTATAATAACGAATTGACGCGTGAGGATGGAAAACGATGTGTTTTCTATCTAACGGGACGAGAGCTTGCGCATTTTAGACGGAATTTATGGTATTACGGGCGTCCTGCGGCGCCGTGAACTCGATTATTCCTGCGGGGTATTCGATTCTACGCCGTTTTTTTTTCTTCTTCTTCTTCTTTTTATACCGACGAAATGAATAGGTAAAGGCCGTTTCTAATGTACACATCTATTATTGACATTCACGAAATTGACGGTTAACTGTCAGTTGTCATCGAGGATTAAGTCGCTCACAATTAAGGGCTCACAATATTTAATCATAAAATATTTTAACCATCTGAAATCTATTTCAATGTATGAGTGAAAAATTTTGTGTCTGGGCTTAATGTTATAGTGTATCTAGTGAAATTTTTTCTAGTAAAATCCAATCAAATTATAGAATACCTACTAACTAACCTTCAAGAAATAATTTTTCTCGATTAATACGGCTGAATGATGAAGAAGAAGAAGAAGATTAAGTCGAATTGAAAGTTATTATTTCGCACGCATATACAAATTTTATAATTCGCTATAATCAAGTGTTTCGTGAATGCTCAAATTGACATTTAGCCAAATGACTTACATGACACATGTCAAACGATAGATTGTGACAAGTGACAGCGTTTGTTCGATCAAATTTGAATCAATTAACTTCAAAAAAAAAACAAAACAAAACAACCTACAATATCCGCGCTATATACCTGACGCCGCGGCGCCGTTTCATCGTTCCATCGCCGCCATCATCAGGTACTATATACTGTTTATATCAAATATATATTGGTGGAGAATCCCCCTCACGCCTTGGTGGTGAGATCGAGCGGCGCCGGCCTGACGAGCTTCATCCGCTTGACGGGCGTCGCGCCGCCGTCGTCCGACGCGCAATCGCTCTCCTCGTCGGCGTCGCTGCCGTCGGCGCCGGGCGGCGTCGCGCTGCGCGCCGGCGACGACCGCTCGCTGCCCGCCTTCATGCTCAAATCGATCGGCGTCAGCCCGTCGTCGTCGTCGCGACGCCGCTCCGCCGCCGGCTCGGCGTCGGGCGTCGGCGATCGCTGGCTCTGCAGCACGGCGTCGAGGAAGACGCGCTTGCTGAACGTCTCGGCGCCGCCGCCGCCGCCGTGGTTGCGGTTCTTGATGAGCTTGTTGTTGTTGGCGGGCTGCAGTAGGCCGGGATAGAGGGGCGGGTAGCCGGGCGGGAAGAGGAAGCCGGGCGGCGGTAGGAAGGCGGGCGGCAGGAGGCCGGGGAAGTAGGGTAGGCGGCGGGCGTCGCTCACCTCCACCGACGAATCGGAATTGTGGGATTCCGGGGAGCTGACCGAAGGGGAGGCGGTGTACTTGTTGCATTCGTCCAAGCCGAGCAGCATGAGTTCCTCTTTAGTTTTGGGCAGGTGGAGCAGCGGCGGCGGGAACGAGTTGATGCCCAACAGGCCCATGCTGAGGTGACCTGCGGTGCCCTGGTGGTGGTGGTGGTGGTGGTGGTGCAACGGCGGCGTTTTTTGCTGTTGCGGTTTCTGATGGGCGGCGCTGTTGGCCATGTTGGCCTGTTGCTGTTGCTGCTGTTGCTGTTGCTCTTGGAGGAGGCAGTGGATTTTGAACCAGTTGGAGCGGCGGCCGTAGCGCGAGCCGCTCTTGGACATGCCGACGAGCAGGCACTTTCGGAGGCGGCACGCCTTGCAGGCGGTGCGGTTTTTCTTGTTGATGACGCATTCGCCGTTGTTCTTGCATTCGGATATCGAGCTCAGGTTGTTGTAGGAGCGGCCGAAGAAGGACTGCAACAATACGAAATTGTCTTTAAAACAAGTTTTTTATAAAAAAGTGTTTTGGTCACTACTATCGCAGTTATACAGCTCATTTTATAGTTTTAGTATCTATTTATAATATCACACAAGTTCCCCTGTTCTTTTTGCATATACATTATCAGGTTTTAATTGGTACTATATCTCCTAATATCGAAGGTAGTTATCTAAATTTCTAACGAAACAATATTTACAACAAACAGTTTTTTTAATAGTTTCGCAATTTTCATCGGATTTGTTTTATCAGTTCAACGATTTCGACCTTCCTTATTCATTTTCACAGCCCGTTTACCAAATATTCCAATTTTTTTCCGTCTATATCCGAGCAACTTCACAAACCCAATCGCATTGGGTAAGACTTTCGAAACTTCTCGCTCGATCGAATGTAGTGCAAACATTTATTTTTCTAGTAATACACCTGGTAATTTTTTTTGTCTTTTCCGAATACGAACCCCCCCGCCGGTTGACCCGCTTTTCGCCCCCCCGTTCATCGAACTGACCGCTGTTGTCCATTAGGAAAACGCCGATATTTTTATATGTAACGTTAAACGTTTCCTTTTTATCGTTCGCCTTTACGTAACTCCATTAGCGATGCGTTTACGTACACGCAAAATGTCCGTGAAACCTTCGAAACAATCGCACGAGCCGAATTAATTAACCGCCGGTAACTGGATTAAGAATGCGAGTAAATACATTTTGTCACGTTTCAAGCGGCATTTCGTTGCTTCATAATGTATATCTACGACTTTTTCCTTGCGGATTTTATTTAAAAATGCCTCATTAACTACCATTTCGCAAAGAGGTATATACTTGAAAATATTATCTTCCGTTTAAGTATAACCAACGGTTAAAAGGGTTTCTTGTTTCATATTCTATCGATTTCCTAAGATTCTATTATTAAGTGGGTTTCTTGTTTAAATTTCCCATCGATATCCCTCATTTAATTCTCTCATTAAGTGGGTTTCTTGTCTCATTTGCCATTTAATTCTCTATTTACACCTAAGTGGGTTTCTTGTCTCACCACCTATCGATATCTATTTGTTTAATTCGCTCAGAAGATTATTCTCTGTATATAAACCTCTAAATCTTCCATTCCATCGCTCAATTTAATTTTTTTTAATCAGAAAACTCTAAGCTTATAATTTGTACTACAACATCGACATGTCCTGCGGGACATCCTGTCCCTAATCGCGACATTTTACAAACAATGTCCCAATACATTTCTAAACAATTTGTCGTATTACACACTCGAAGGATTCTCTCTTTCTGTCCCGGTGCTCGCGCGGAAAACGCCGCCTAGCGTCTCCGCCTTGGACTTTTAAACGCTTCGGAATTACATCACTTTCGGCTTCCGACCCACTGAACCACTTGCTCATCCAGCAAAACAAACAATACCGATCGGCCGGCGTTTAAAACCCACTTTAAATAGATTATTAAAACTGATATTGTCTATAATGGGTTCGGAGAGTTTGTATGTGAATTATATGGGGAGATTCGAATAGAAGATGAGACGGGAAACCCATTTTATAAGGGAGATTCAAATGGGAGATGAGACAAGAAACCCACTTTATAAGGGAGATTCAAATGGGAGATGAGACAAGAAACCCACTTTATAAGGGATATTCGAATAGAAGATGAGACAAGAAACCCACTTTATAAGGGAGATTCTAATAGAAGATGAGACAAGAAACCCACTTTTATAGGTGATTCAAATAGAAGATGAAACGAGAAACCCACACTTGAGAATCAAATGGGAAGTAAGACAGGAAACTTGTTTTAATGGGATACTTATAACAATTATCGAATGAATCATTTTAATTTTGTAAGTAGTATTATGAGGAATCTCTTTTAGGTACTTTTACGAATAATATACAGTATGTCCCTTACATAACGAGCAACCTTTGGCTTAATAGCAAAGCACTCTTTGACCTACTAAAAAAAAATAAATTTGCCCAATTAAACGCAGCCAATCCGAAACTAAATAAGTACCTTACATTGTTACACATATAACGCGATTTCCTTAAACGTAAGTACTAAATTCGCTCGGCGTCTCGCCCCGGCTATAAGTTACAAAACGCCTACGCAACCGCGTATATAAAGCAATTGACAAATTGTGACATTTCAGGTCGCATTTTCAGGTCGACGTAGTGTGAAATTTCTCGTCCTTGGCACTGAAAGCCGATCATAATGAGCCTTACTGAACAATTGAATCGGATTTTGCGTTGCATAATCGGGAGCATTTCGAATTCGAAACAAAATCGCGATACAACGAAACTATATCATCTGTCATCTGTCAATTGTCACGTGTCATTTGCGGTGCGTTAGAGATGGCAGGCGATTTTGTCACAGGTTAATGAATGGTGGAGTTCAAGAGTAAATTTTCTTGATAAGCGTATCGAAGCGATTCGACAGGCGCGCTTTTATTTATTCACATCGGGATTGTTCGTCATTGCGAGGCGGATATTTATAATGGGTTTCGATTAATAAAAAAATATATTTAACTTGGTATATAACAACGACGGTCGTTGTTTGTGTGAATCGTTGTAGAAATTGTAGAAATTTGCGTTTATATAAGTATTAAAGCGTTATTAATTGGTTGTAATTAGTTTTAATTACCTTGCACCCTTCGCATGTGAAAGCTCCGAAATGAAAACCCGCCGCTGGTTCACCGCATACTTTGCACGTTTGATTCATCTGAAACAAAAAAAATTAATTAGGGTAAAGTAATTACTTCGGACATTACTTAATTATCCATTAATTAATTATCCATTAATTAATTACACATTAATTAATTAGTCAATTAAATTAAACACTGATACACTGATGAGATTTATTAAATAAATATTTTTCTAATAATTAATTAATTACCTATAGCGCAATTTAAGTTAATTACCGGTAGGTATACAGTAATCGCCCAATTAATTAGACACCAATTGAATCAGACTCACTTTCTGTTGCGAAAATTTCGGAATACCGCCGACCGAGCGCGAAACCGAAATGACACACTAATTAGAACAAATCGAAAAAATAAATAAAAAAAAATCTCTATTTTGGTCAAGGGAACCGATCGAAGTTTTGTTTCCAGTTGTATAGCACGCGTCTCTGTTAGAAAACATCCTGTATATGGGCAATGAAGCCGAAAAAACACCGTCCATTGTTGCAAAAGAAACAACTAAATATCATATAAGCGAATTTCCTCTTCAAATCACATTTATTTTTTATTATTAGATAAATTTAATTTATTTAGGCAATAAATATCTAAATATGGCAGTAATCTGCATAATGCATATATTGGTGCAGTAATTGCTAGTATAATTGATATACTTGGTGCAATAATTGATATATTAATTGGCACAGTAATGGATATAGTAATTAAAGCAGTAATTGATATATTAATTGGTGCAGTGATTAATATATTAATTGGTACAGTAATTGATATAGTAATTAGATCAGTAATTGATATATTAATTGGTAGAGTACTAGGTTTATTAAATGTTTTGTATATCTTACAATAATTAACATAATTTGTAGATTATGAATAAAATTAATTGGCATTCAATTAGTTTTGTAATTGGTGAATGTAGAAGCGAATTTCCGCGTGCAATACAGGTAGCAGGAGTCTGGTAGATGATTCGTTTCTATAGAAAATGCACAAATATACTTTGTACAGTATAGCATCGGAATAAAAATGATTGCGCGATTATTCCATTGTATTGAACGGCATCAATTTGAAAGTATAAAAGATTCGTATTGATGAACCAATAGAAGCAATTTGCGGCGATTCTCATCAAATTATATTAGATTAGTGAAACTAATGTTAAAATTTTCTTTCAAATCGGTGTCACGAACTCTCGCGACCTCGATATAAACCGATAGAGTTCCGAATCGTAAATGTACATTTAGAAGATAAAAAATATATATGTGTGTGTGTGTGTATAAGGTGAAGAATTTTTCGGTCCGGAGATGACCTGGAAAAAGAGGAGCGTCCGAAGTAACATTCACGAATAATTATCCTCTAATATTTGAATAAACAAATCCGTTTATTGGAATTTCCATCGCACATTATTTTTTTCCTACCGAGTACAGGTTGTTTGCATTGTGTAACTTCTTAAAAATGGAACTATTAATGCTCAGAAATACCTACATTAAGTTTATATATTTTGAAAAATCCACTTAAAAGGGAGATATCAATAGTAGATGAGATAAGAAGCCCACTATTTCGATGAAAGATGAGACAAAAAACCCTCAAAATACGATTTTTTTGGAGATTTCGATGAAAGATGGGACGAGAAACCCTTTAAATTTGAACTTTAAGTAGAGATATCGATGAGAGATGAGACAAGAAACCCATTTAACAAGAGATATCAATAGGAGATGAGACAAAAAACCCATTTAACATGAGATATCAATAGGAGATGAGACAAGAAGCCCAATTCAAACGAGATACCAATAAAATATGACACAAAAAAAACCAGTTTTACGCGAGACAAAAACCCAAAAATTCCCAATTACAAACAAACATACTCGGCAAAAAAACCACCGGTATAACCTTTAATTATCTCTACTCTCGCTAACAGCGATCAAATCGAACGAAATCAGGCGAGCATAGAGGCGACTGGAAATTAGTTTTCGATTCGATCCGTGCATCATTTAGGATACTGACCCGCGCATATAAAATGCGGATCGAGCGAAATCCTTGAGGCGGGCAATAACAATGCATATAGCATGTGCAATAACATCGACTTCCTATCATTGTCCTACCGATTAATGGAGCTGAAAACCAAAAACTAAATCGATGCTATCATATCCTTCGAAGAAACCAAAATAAGTATCTATCGATACGAATTATTTGGAACGGCGCGAAATTACGCAAGTACTCGATTATCTTGTCTAACCCTATCGCTTGATCCTTCTTTAAAAATTCAAAAATTCCAGCTGCTAAGCTAAGTTCGATGAGGTATATAGTAAAAAGCGACATCTCCTCTGCTCCACAAAAGTTAAGGAAGTTTGCAAATTTTGCGATTATTTCAAAAGTTACAAACTTTTTGATCGCCAAATTTTCAAATATGCGAAATTAAATGTTTCCTCTCATATCTGAGTGGATTTTTTGTTCCTACCTCTACAACTCGTACTAAATTTGGCGATCAAAAAACCTGCATCTTTTACAGTAATCTCGATATTTCTGAACTTCCTTGACTTTTGTGGAGCCGTATATAGAAATCGTTTGGAAATGTGTTTGATTAAAAATCACCGGTCGATTAGCGATATATACAGGGTGTTCCAAAACATCGTGTACATCCGAAAGAGGGTTATTTTATGACTAAAAGTTCATATAAACATCTACAGGGTGTTGAAATTTCAATTTGTTTTTTCTTTGTATCTCCTGCACTTTTTGAGATATTTAGCTCAAATTTTGAATCTAGATTGCTTTATAGGGCACACATTATTGGGTATGTAAGATGGTTGTTGAATTCTACAGGGTGATATTTTTTCAGGGGTCATGTACCCTTTTTCCCCCCGAACTTTTTTGCTGTGCGTCGCTGGTAGATTCTAAAAAACAAAATTAATTGTCTGTTTTGTTTAGAAACTTTGTTATTTTTAAACTTTTTTCGTTTCTGTGACCGTTATCGAGAAAAAAATTAAAAATGATATTCTCTACAAATGATTTATTTTACAAAACAAAAACCCTAAATAATAATTATTAAATTACATTATAATAAATGTTGAAAGTGACCCCCCTACTACTCAAATTATACTCTATACCCTATATCCTATACCTAATTTGAGCTAAATATCTCAAAAACTGCTGTAGCTCTAAAAAAAAACAAAAAAAATCTTGAAATTTCAACACCCTGTAGATCAATAACGAAGCGTTTGCGGACCCACGTTTATATGAACTTTTAGCCATAAAATACGCCAAGGAATCACCCCCTCTTCGGATATACACCATATTTAGGAACACCCTGTATATAGAAATCGTTTGGAGATGTGTTTGATTAAAAATCACCGGTCGATTAGCGATATATAGTTAAACAAAGGCTCGCCTGGCGAAACGACCTTACGCCGAACGCGCGGAGATCGGCCGAGAAACGCGCCGGGTAAAAGTAAAATTTGTTGAAATTATTAACGCGCACGTATTATTTATGTTCTCACGTTTCACACCGAAACCTGCCCTCTGGCCGTCGCTGATTAATAAACAACCGACCTTATGTATGTGTATATACACCGCCGGTATAGATTCACTTCGCTCGGGCTCTCGTTTTCCCGCTCGTAAAGCAATGTATAATACCCATCGTTCGAATTAAATTTAAACACTTTTTTTTTATTAAATATTTGTACCACCTGTATATCTATAACAATTCACGTTCTGTGTGTGTGTGAGAGCTTTAAGAAGAAATATCTAGATAGAGTTTTTTTTATTTTGGTGATGCTGCGGTAGGGATGCAAATTAGGCGCAAAAAAGGATTATTGGATATTAATCTTTGATGTATAAATCTAATTTATTCGGAAAAGTGGGTTTCTTTTCTCATCATCTATTTGAATCTCCCATATAATTCTATTAAAAATTGGGTTACTGTTCTCATCACATCGCCTGTTTGAATCTCCCATTTAAAGTGGGTTACTGTTCTCATCACATCGCCTATTTGAATCTCCTATATACATTGGGTTACTTGTCTCACCACCCATTTGAATCTCTCTTATATTTCTCACAAAAAGCGGGTTTCTCGTCTCATTTACTATTAACATCTCCACTTCCATATTAGCTTCTGTTATCTACTAGGTACTTCCTAATAGCGAACGGAGTATATAAAATTCTTCGTTACTAAATCTTCCGTTACAAAGTCGCCTTATTTATTTACAAAAAAAAATTACCAATGCATTATTATCGAAAATTAACAAGATGCGTGTGTTGCAAATTTTCTAATTATACAACGATGAAAAATCCTCCGTTCGTATATCGGCCACAAAAGGCCTCCTTGATGGGCTCTCCCATTCGCTCGCCGGACTTTCTAATACCCCACAATACGCGACGTAATTCAATCTCGCGGATGGATTTCCGAGATTTTTGTTCGCTCTTTTAAAACGGCCCGAGAGGCCCTTTCGCGCTGAAACGCATCATTGTGCAATTAGCGATGCAACATGTGCGCGATTCGGTCCCTTTTTTTTTCTATCATCGCGCTGAAATTAATAACTGTCCGTCCTGAATAGATGCTCTGTATATATAATGCAGGCGTGAGGTTGCAGGAGGCGATTCGATCGATCGAGTTATGGCCGGACAATCAGGATGCAAGAAAAAGTACGGTGTAATTTCCGTGTAAATTTAATTATTGATAGGGTAGATAGGTACCTATACAGGTTGTTTCGAATAGGTACTACTAGCGATATTTATATTGCATCAAATAAGTGAGTTTAATTCCCTATTTGGGTACTGGGTTTCTTGTCTCATGAGACACTTTCGATTGAAATCTCCCATTTAAATATCTATTAAGTGGTTTTCTTGTCTAATTTCCCATCGACATCCCTCATTTAATTCTCTCATTAAGTGGGTTTCTTGTCTCATTTGCCATTTAATTCTCTATTTATACCTAAGTGGGTTTCTTGTCTCACTTTCGATTGAAATCTACCGTTTATATCTCTATTTAAGTGGGTTTCTTGTCTCACTTTCTATTGAAATCTCCCGTTTAATTCCCTAT